CTATCGATCCGAGTGGGGAGGTAGAGTGTGCGTAGACGACCATCTCCGGGGAAGGAATAAGCAAGCATGATTGACTGAATAGCTCCATCAAGACAGGCTGGATGAATGATCAAGGGCTTTTCGGTTTCATAATCCACTGGGACAGCGATCAAACCTGCTGCCTCGTCCATTTTTCTGCGCAAGTTGGAAAGGGCCTGGAAGGGTCCAGTGTAGCCAAAGCCGAGCTTGGAAACTGAGTTGTAGAATCGGTCGCCTTCCAGCTCCAGGAACGAACCTTGTGGCTTGGCGTGTGGTGGGAGGATATCGTGTTTAGGGTCACCTAAGATAATTTGCAGGGTGGCAGATGCATGAAGAGACATGTTGGACGAGCCCTTGTTGGCGTCTGAATGACAGGCAAACGATGCGGACACAGTATTATCGTTAACTTGATCAAGCGAAAGTCTGAAAATTGTTTCCACTCCCCCGTTCTCCTCCAGCACCAATGCTTGTCCGATGACCACATCATGAAAGTCGATTAGTTGCACAGAATCTAGGCCATACTTTTGAACTACAGCCTCAACCGCCGCTGATATATACCCAGCTGCAGGGAATACCATTTGACCTTGGACCTGGTGATGCGACAGCCAAGATACTTCCCTAGGGTGAAGATAGTTGCGCCAGCGCAACTCATTGTTTGTCCCATCGGGGCATTTGACACCCAGTAGGGAGTGGAATGGTTCCTTCTCGGTGCGGATTGCGGTAGATGATCGAGATTCGTGCCAATAAACTCGATCATGATCCCATGAATAGGATGGAAGGCCTTTGATAAGCTCTGGTGTTCGAGTGTTTTGCTTTTGCATTGCCTTCATTTCGAACCCGGCGAAATCTACAACACTCTCACCTAGGGCAATCCATAAGGCACCCAGAGCGGATGAGAAAGCCTCGGTATCATTTTTCCCGCGGTTCAAGGTCCCCGTGTAAGGCAATGTCTGGCCAGACACTTCCTGAATGGTTTGCATTGCCGGCCCCTTCAATGCTGGATGAGGACCAATCTCCAAGGCCATATCAAATGGCCCAGCTGCAGCAACTGCATAAGTGACGGCCTGGGAGAATAGTACTGGATTGACCATGTTGTTGCTCCAGTATGTGTCGGCAAGATTATCATTCACGCTTTCAATATTGGCGCCATACACACTAGAGATCCAGGTAGCACTGCCACTCGGGGAACGCTGAATAGTTATACCACACTTGCGGATCGCTGCGATATAAGGTGCTGAGCAGGAAACCATGTGATGTGAGTGATAGGCTTTATCCACTTTCAACATGCGAGCAAATTTCTTCTCATCTTCAAGGATTTCCCTAGCCTCGTCAATCGCATCCGCGTCGCCGGAAAGTGTGACGCTGGCAGAGGAGTTGCTAGCCGCCACGCAAATTCTGTTGTCAAGTGACGGCATCTCGCACAGCCCCTTTGCATCTTCATATGATGTCCCTGCGGCTATCATTGCTCCTTTTTTTCCTTCCTTGTCAGTTGCGTATTGAAGAGACCATCCACGGTAATAGGCAATGCGGATTGCATCCTCTTCGTTGAGATATCCCGCGGCATAAGCTGCCGCAATCTCGCCAGACGAATGGCCAACGACAGCAGTGAGTTTCAGATTGGCTGCCCGGAGAAGCTGAACCAATGCAATTTGAATCGCGGTACAAAGAGGTTGCGAAAACGCCGCCTCTCCAATACGAGATGAGGATTTCTCTTTAACAAGCTCCTCCCTCAGCGACCAAATAGGGCGATGCTCCGTGGGTAGTTCCTGTAAAGAACGATCAAGACGTGCCACGCAATCACTAAACATTGGTGAGCTTTCGAGCAGCTCGGCACCCATCCTTGCCCACTGTGCTCCTTGGCCTGTGAACACTCCAAGGAGTTTTGGTTCAAGGATACTTCCTGTCCGCGTGCTTGGTGTTATTGTCGAGGAGGCTACTGCATCATCCAGTCTTACAGCAAGATCTTCTGGGCTCGATGCCGATACCGACAGCCGTACTGGCAAGGTGGAACGCCGAGAGTTCAAAGTCCATGACAAGTCACGAATATTGACATCTGAATACTTTCGTAAATAAGCCGAGTATGCTGCAATGTTGGCAAGAAGCGATTTTTCGGATGAGGCAGAGAAGTTGAATGGTGACACAGTTAGGCTACTATGTGCGGCGTTCCGACCACGCCTAAGCAGGCGCGCATCAAACCCTTCCAAAATTGCGTGCGCATTTGCACCGCCAAAGCCAAAGCTGTTGACACTAGCACGGCGGGGGGTGTTCTCAGGGAGTTGCGGCCATTCTTTCGCGACTTGAAGGATTTCAAGGTCGTTATAGAAGGGACGTACCGTGGAACTCAACTCGTTGAGTAGTAGATTAGGTGGGATGACAGCATGTTGCAAAGCAAGTGATGCTTTGAGTACAGCTGCAAGTCCAGCCGTGCCTTCGGTGTGACCGATCACAGTTTTGATGGACCCAACATACAAGGGGTCCTCCTGGGTACCATCACGCTGGTATTTGGCTGCTTGTCCAAAGAATGCAGTGCTAATAGCCTCCGCCTCGACAGGGTCACCTGCCGGAGTTCCTGATTTGATCAGCAAAGCGCTATTGATTTTCATATTCACTCCATGAAGACTTACCGGTACCATGAGCCTCAAAATATTGTGGTCGGTCGGTGGGTTTGGAAAGATCGAGTCCAGCTCGAGCATAGGTCGTCCGAATAAGCTCTGCTTGAGCCATAGGGTTTGGCATTGTAATTCCTTTGGTGCGACCATCTTGATTGGCACCTGTCTCTCGAACGATGCACTCGATGTGATCCCCATCTGCCAATGCTGCACTCAATGGTTTTAGTATGACGGCAGCAATTCCGTCACCACGTGCGTACCCATCTGCGCCTTTGTCCCACATGCGCGAGCGGCCGGTTGGGGAGAGCATCTTCAACTTGCTCTCTGCGATATATTGCTCTGGTCCCAGCAGAAGATTTGTTCCTGCTGCCACCGCAACATCGGTCTCCCCACTTCGCAGGCTCTGTACAGCCTGGTGTAGCGCAATCAGACTCGAAGAACACGCTGTGTCAATTGTCATAGAAGGTCCGCGCCAGTCAAAAAAGTAGGAGACTCGGTTGGATAGAATGCTTCGAGCAGTTCCTGATGCAAAATAGGTCGGAAAGTTCTGCACATCCCGGCCTAGCATATCGGCATAGTCATTGGTCATCAATCCAACATATACAGCGGTGTTAGAGCCTTGGAGCTTTTCCATAGGAATGCCAGAGGTTTCAAGTCCCTCGTAGACGGTCTCGAGCAACAGCCTTTGTTGAGGGTCGATCGAGTTTGCTTCGACTGGTTTGGTTCCAAAGAATTGGGCGTCAAAGAGTCGATGATCATCGGACAGCAAATAGGAGTGTCGAACATTCGTAGTGCCATGGTGAAGGCCGTCGGGATGGTAGAAGGCTTTGGTACTGAAGCGGCTTTCTGGGATCTCGCTAAGAACATCTCGAGGTGCTTTGAGCAAGTCCCATAGCCTGGAGGGTGTTGTTGCATCACCAGGAAAGCGGCAAGCACTTCCCACGATGGCAATCGGTTCCCCGATATGCTGAAGATCGCCTGTCATTATGTAGCTCAGGTTTCACTGACTCTGCACAGGGCTAGTACCACCAATGTGTGACTGCACGTATTGCAATGAAAGGTCTATAGGGTATCAATAATGGACAATCGGGACAACGTTTTCTCCGTAGCATTCAAACTCCAGTTGCCAGGGACGGGGAGTGGTACATATCAATGTGCCGAGACTCGCTTTAGTTATCAAATTAGGAGTCTTCGGACATCCACTCTCGCTGTCAGCTTGTTATTGCTTTCAGCTGGTTCCGACTCCGAGGGCTGCCTCCGGGGTTGTCATATGAAACGAGACAAATCATGATGAATGTATGGGATCTACCATTGTTTCGCTATGTGTGTAGGGCAGAATCATGCATTTTCTGGCTCCAGGTTGCACTATCAATTTAGAAATCCTGAGGTCGTAGGATTCCAGGGGTTGCCAATCCGTCTAGTTTGAAATATCAAGTCCGAGTCGGAGTCCGAAGAGCATGCCCTGTCGCATTTGCATGTTTGGGATTTCATCTAGAGAGCACACCATCCACGACTCTCCAGCACGTGGGCAGGGATCGTAAGCGCTTGTCCTATGGCGAATAGGGTCGATGACAGGGCGGTATTTCAGAAGAAGCCTCTAGAGACATGTTGCGCCTCCATAATCATATTCCTACGGAGACTGGACTCGGTAGGCTCAGCACCATGATTCAAGTCTGAGATAAACCACATACATACCTATGTAGGCGGGGATTCAATATAGAACCCATTTCCTTGGGTCATTCCCACGCTTCAGTTCTTAACCACATTTCCACGTGCAATGAATCTTTGTCAATTTGATCCCTAGCCTCAAAGGTATTTAAATTTTAACTGATAATATCCGACGATTGCTGCATATTGTAGTTTGAACGATCAACGCGTGGCAAGTAGGCGTGATCCAGGGAGCTTATGGTATTTGCTTCCCTGTCCCTCTATAGGCAGGAGGTGAAACTCTAGCCTATCTGCTCTAGGAAGAGATAAAATATATCCCATACTATATGGAACGTGGCTGGGTTCATGATGCATAGGCAGGAGATGCAAATTAATCCTACCCTATCTAGGGGACGCGACTGAGATAAGGATAGGCAAGAGGGAGAGATGAGGGCTAGACTTGCTAGAGACAAATATGCACAGAGGCAGGAAATTGCAGGAGTTACCCGGAAGTGAGAGAAGAAAAGATAGCAAAGTAGGAGAAATTTACATGCATCTACCAATCCTGCATGGATATCGCGCGTTCGTCACTCAGGCACCAAATGTGGACCTCCATTTATTTATGACCAGTCTGTTTACAGCAAAACGAGGAGAATGAGACACTCTGCTCACTTTCCCATAGTATCAGTCAATTCGCATATATTGGACCGCATATGGCCACTAGCTTCAATAGATATAAACAAATTCATCATTTTCCCGATCGGTCAAATCCTGGAACGCATTGTCTCCAACTTGCACAGTCTCGTGTCCAGCCTCCTCCAGTATATCCTGCGTTTCGTGGTAATTATTTTGCATCGAAAGATCAACAATTTCAGCTCTCTTGCCGTTTTGGACACGGCGACGAGCTTGTTGTTTGTTGAGGAACCATAGATTGGCCCACTGAAGGACAACAACAGCAGCCAAGGCGCTAAAGATTCCGAGACATGCACGCAGGCCAGGTTGGTAGGCTGGTTTGTCCTTCTCGTTGAAGAGCAATGGACCAATAATATTTCCAGCCGAGCTTGCCGCGTTATACAAACTCATGATGACGGATTTCTTGGTGGTTCCTGCCGTGTTGCCGATGATCCAGGTCACAACCAATGGATTGCCGCCAAATAAGAATGCAAGTAGATAGTAACCAGCAAGCAATTCGCTCTGCACAGACGTGTTCCGAGGCACCGCATACAAAATTGATAGACCAGCTATCACAGGCAGCATGAAACCCGCGATGATAGCACTCTTCAGACGCGCAGTTTGGGCGAGGTAACTTGCCAGCAGAATGATGAGGAATTGTAACGCGCCAAATGGCATGGTCAGCAGAGTTGTCCGGTATTTATCGTAACCAAGGCCGCTTAAGATCAGTGGACCAAAAATGTTGGTCACGCTGGCGCCGATGTTGAGGAGCATTGACATTCCAATCCACAGATAAGTTTTGGGTTCTAAGCAAACCTCAAGCACATGACTGAACTTGAACTCGGGATTTCCGGTTCCAGTCTGGTTGGCTCGAAGGCGCTCGATTCCTTGAGCTTTCTCATCCTCGGTGAGGAACCTAGCGGAGGATATATCGTTGTCCAAGCGCCAGTAGGCGATTGGAGCGGATGCAATAGTTATCAGGCCGACAACAAGAAAAATGCTAAAAGGAGTCAGAATATACCACTTTCGGGGGGTTGATCTTTGGATTCCATACATCTGCCATGATTTGAATACGTCTGACTTGATTTGTGCCAGTCCATATGATAAAGCAGCTGCGACGATGGTTGCTAAGCCATTTGTACTATACCACGCAGCAATACGGATTGGTTGCTCTGCACGTCGATACCATTGACTCGTGATGACACCAAATAGAGGGAGACAGCCGGCCTCGAACAAGCCGAGAAAGAATCGAGCCGCCATCAAGGAGTTGAAGTTGTGGCATGCAGCCATGCATGTCTGCGCAATTCCCCATCCAAGGCATAGCGATGGCATAAGGATTTTGTGTGGAACCTTGACAATCAGGTACGAAGAAAATGGCTGCCAGACAAGTTGTGCAATGGGTGAGATGGAGCCGATGAGCGAATATTCGTTGCCGGTAAGACCTGTGTCTTTCTGTAAACCGAATGTTGCACCGTATCCCAAGACTGTCTTATCGAGGATCTGCAAGAAGTAGACCCAGACAAGCACAACAAGAATAGTTCGGTCGGTCTTGCGGCAGATTCGCTTGCTGTCTTCTTCAGTCAAGGCGACGCGTACGATGCCACTATTATCCACCGGTTTGTCACCATTCTGCTGCTCTGCCGATTCATCGTGGATAACATTTGGTTTGGACATAGTTGAGTCTTGCATTGCATAAAATTGGAGAACCCTTGGGTCTTGACTGACTGAATCAAAGACCAAAAGCATATATATAGGTCAGTTGCGGCACCCCACGTCTTCAGGGCGGCACTTCCGTCATCCATTTTAGTTTTCCCCATGTTCCCCCACGCCTCCACATCCCCCACGAAAGTCTAACGCTGCCCACATATTAGCCAACCTATTTAGCGAACTAACCTTGCCGCATATCGATTAGTGCTTTCATTGCCTTCCAATCGATTAGAATATCCTTGTTGCTTGACACTAACAACGCATCGTGGAGCTTCGGACGTCCCATTCAAACATCCCGTTATTACCGAGACCAACCGAAACTAGGGGGTTGTGGGGGTGAACCCGTGACATTAGTGCAGGATCAGATGTATTCCATGTGACATTCGGGTACTAAAGTGAATCGTCGGTATCTGCCGTCGGCTCCTTGCCCGTAGGTTGTCATTGCAAATGCCAACGACCGGCCGGAAATATAGATCGAAAATAATTACTATTCACTTCTAGATCAACTGGAAGATTATATATAAATGTCAGGATATTTAACAAATAAGCTTTAGATTCACTCCCCCGGCACAGAGAAATCCAAGCCTGGCCATTCTATTTACCTAGTTTTGTTAATGTGATACAGAAAGCATAAGTGGTCAAAGTGGCCGGGGACTGAGACCCTTGTGTCCACAGTTGAGCTGGCCGGTGATCCCCTCATCCCTTGGCGTATTTCACAAGCGGCCCGGCCACCGCAGAACACATAGCAAATGCGATGGATTACAACTTAATATCTGAACAACTATGGTCTATGTGGACTTTTCCTTATAGCCTCCTACTTTCTAGGTGATATATAGTCTCGTCAGGGGTTTTAAGGTTTTGGGTTCATGGTTCCGATATATATATTTGTAGTTTTAAGCAACGCAATGTTCGGGTAATTTGGAAATGATGATAATATAGCCTTATACGCTATTTTAAATTCATACAGATATTATCAAAAAGTCTTGTCGAGGACTATCGACAAATAGGGAGCTAAAATAAAAACATGGTTGTTGGATCACGGATCAGCTGAACTGTGCTTTGAGTCACATGACACTTTCTCACTTTCATATGCCCCAGGCAGTAAGGCAGTAAGGCGTTTAAACGCCAAGGCAAACGGACGCGTCTCAAGATTATTGTAACATCCAAGATTCAACTGTTCGGTGTAAATGCTTCATAGTACTCATTACTATCTCACCATATTATATTCTGAGAACCACCACGAAACGTGACTATTCATTTAATTTCCAATAAACTCGAACAAATCTCGATTTCACCACGTTGCTACTACGATATTGCGAGAGTACCCGACCCTACTCTTTGAGCGCATCATGACCCCAGTTTTTGAGCGACCGGTAACTCTTGCTACTCGTGTCATGCTTGGCTCGCTCCTTTGTGCCAGAGGGCGCCTACAGTAGGATACCACGCGACGCATGTGGTTAATGCCTTGATCGCTGTAGCCGGATGGGTTCGCAGTGGGATTGTGCTTGAGGATCCGCAGAATCCTTCGGCCACTATCGCCACCTTTAGCTCTCGTTGCTTTCGTCTAGTTGGTGGGATTCTGCGACCGAGAGGGAGCGAGGGTAATTAAGGGAAGGAATACTGACTGACATTTCATGACCAATAGTCTCCCCTGAACCGCCCACCCAACCCGATGTTTGTGATTGCTCTCCCTTAAGTCAATCACGAAGCTCAGTTGGAGTCAGTTAACGTTGAACTCGCTGGTTAGATTATCAACCGCTTATGTTTCTCAAGCCTGCCTGTTAAGGGGAAGGCACTCAATCACGGTGTCTCTGTCCTTCATTGTTTCTACTGTGGACATGTCCTGATGAGAACTGAATATTGGATTCTCAGTTAGTTGCGACGTGATTTCGCTTTTATAGATGTGTTTGTAAAGTTAAGTTTGACGTCATAGCGGCGGAAGCACACATATCCATAGCGAAAGGTATTCCAAGGTTGCTATGTCACAATGACAATCCTTGGAAGGCTACCCAGGTGGTACCGAAACACCTGGGTACCCTGCATAACCTTCAAGGTGGGTCACTACCTCATGCACAATATAACGGAGTATGCAGCACGCGTGTCGTAGCCGAAAGAAGAGAGATCTAGAACTACTGAAAGGTAGGATCTTGAAATATCGACTTTCGGGGTGCATTAAGGAGAAGAATAATATGGCACACGACAGGATAGACAAACAGGGGGAGGTCCCGTGACCTCCCAGCAGTAGCGTTGACAATTAGAACACTAAGTAGATCCGCGGAGATGTACGATCTCGAAACCATATCCTTATCTTGCCAAGACCCCCGATTCTGATAAGTAATTCTCTTTTGACTCGATGGATCTTCGCGGTGTGAATATGCTAGCTAGTCGGTCATCCTGTCAGCAAGCTTAAAACTCTTATCTGAGTTCAATCATAATAAGGAGTGCCGGAACTAATCGTGAGGAACCATGCAAGGGAGGATTCCTGCCGTGGTGTGAGAGATAAGCCTTTCATTGTGCTTGCACCAGGTAGGGAAAACTCGGGCAAAAATGATATATTTTCCCCGGCCCTCCAGAGAGTTATATGTCTGCTTTTCCCACAAAGGGGGTTGCTGCTAATTGAACCGACAATATCTCCAAGTGATCGCCGTTGTCTTCTGATCAACATGACTTTCGATGCGCTCTCTCCATTAGGGGTGGTTGAGGCCGTCTCAAAACTAGGCGCACATAAGGGGCACATGCGACTGGACAAGGTGTTTTTTAGTGCAGTATCAGCTGGCTGTTTACTTGCATTCGCCTGCGGGACTACTCTTAGTACCAATGCCAGCCCTTGGTTTCAAGAGAACGCCCCAGGTTTAATGCGGACTATTAGCGCCTTGGTGTTTCCTTACGGTCTGTGTATGATCCTCCTAACAGGTGCAGATCTTTGCACTGGATCCTTTATGGTATGACTACTGGCGAAACGGACATGGTAGACTTGATGGGGACTGTAAATTGGCTAACGTGTAAACCAGTTTACTTCAGTTGCTGCCCTCCATCGCCGCTTGTCTTGGTCAAGAATGTTGCTTCACTGGGCTGTGACATTCCTCGGCAACCTCGCCGGATCTTTATTTGTCGTAGCTATCATCTTCGGCTGTACGCATTCGACTCTCGCTTCCCTACTGCTCCAAATCAATGTGACTAATGTTGGACTTATAGATGGAAATACCTTTTCCGCAGAGCCCTTTAGGTCCGCCGTCATTTCTTTCGCCACAAAAAAGCAGGTTACCCCTGACTTCCACATGATACTTCTGCGTGGCATTGGATGCAACTGGCTTGTATGCTTAGCTTGCTTCCTTGGTATTCAAGGACGTGATCTGGCATCCAAGGTTATTGGAATCTGGTTGCCAACATTTGCATTTGTCTCCCTGGGCTTCGACCACGTCGTTGCAAACATGACATTTATTCCATTGGGTATCTGGCTGGGAGCGCCACAGATTACGACTGGCCTCTACATCTGGAAAGGTATCATCCCGACCTTGCTGGGAAATATCATCGGTGGAGGTGTATTTTGTGGTCAGTACCCCAACCTATATTTGCTAATAGAGCATCTCAACTGATGACAAGTATAGGAACTTACTATTGGTACATGTACCTTCTCGATCTGAACACTCTGCCTTTGTATGGCGAAAAGAGAGTTGGGAGTAGCTCATTGAACTCAGTATCGAGCTCAGATCGAGCAAGCACTAAGCGACCGGACGTTGAAGCATCTGCTAGAGGCTTTGGGAACCAGAACCCACCTATGAATGAATAGAGTTAATAATAATAATTTAATAAAGCGAGGCAGAACTGAATTATAATGCATGGCTTACCTATCTACTGTCCAATGTTTTGAATATCTTCTATCACAACCTCGATTGGAGATTTGGGTGTGTTTATCGACGCACATTGTACATCAATGTCATAGTCTCCAAACTCCGATATTACCTACACAGGTCCATCTTCTCATCTCTTTAATTCGCTAAGGATTTCGATTATATGGATACATATTGCGTGATGCCAGCTTTGGTGTATGTCGGCTTATTAGCCGACCAGCCGTCACAGCCTTGGAACAAACCAGCATCGGGCTTCACGTTGTCATTTGAGCAAGTGAAAATCGGCATATTTTTTCTTTGAATTTGACGGTTATACACGGTGTCGTATTCGCACCCTGTCTGTTCTTGAGAAATTTGAAGTACATGCAAATCGTGAGGGTGGGGTAGACTCACAATGAAGCGACAGGCCGAAATCGCTCGGCGCGACCAGCCGAGCAACCTTCATCCCACCAGGCCTTGGGGATGTGGGGTGACAGTATATATAGCAATCAGAATCTCTTGTTGAGGGACAATAAAACTCTTCATTTAGGGATACTGGTAAACAGATTCCTACATTCAAACTGCTGTTAACATTTAATTATATCAAATAACATTCAATCATGGCACCCGGACTGGTGGAAGCTGCTGGTATCCAGACCTCGGAGAGACCCGTCAAGCTCTCTGTGTTCCCTGATGGATTCAAAACATCCGGTCAGCATCCTCCTATATATTCACAAGTCCGGCCCTATGCCGATTTCCCGAAGATCCATACCGGGCCTACATTGTGGAAAGCAGAGGACTATCGCGAGAATCCCGAGCTTTGGACACATCGATTCACCAAAGAGGAGGTTGCAGAGATTAGCTATGCCACAGATCAGTTTATACAGAGTGGAACCCCTTTAACTGGGATATCGAAGGTAAGATTATCTGTGAGAACGCGAGGAACATGACATGTGGAAACTAACAGGTCTACAGGCCAATTTTCACTTGCCTAATTTGTCTGAGCGGATGGAGAATCTTCGATATGATCTGATTAATGGCAAAGGTTTCTTCCGTTTTAGAGGACTTCCTGTTTTGGAGTGGGATCTCCAAAAATGTGCAACAGCGTACATGGGCCTCGGCACATACTTAGGATACTTCGTCAGTCAGAATGGTCGTGGTCATGTCCTTGGTCATGTCAAGGATTTAGGAGAAGATCCCACCAAAACTGACAGAGTTAGAATCTATCGAACAAATGCTCGGTATGCAACTTGTCATATTGGATATCGGATTGTGTGAAACAAAAAGCTAACTTGTTCACTAGTCAATACTTCCACACGGATGGATCCGATATTGTTGGACTCCTGTGTATCGCCAAATCTCTCTCTGGCGGAGAGTCTGACATCGCGTCCACACACCACGTATTCAATGCACTACAAGAGAGACATCCTGATGTGGCACAAACACTATGTGAGCCAAACTGGTACTTCGACCGGAAGGGTGAGGTATCCGAAGGCGAAGAAAACTGGATTCGAGGCAGCGTGTTCTACCTCGAGAACGACAACGGCAGCTCCACACCACGAGTATACGCAAGACTCGATCCTAATAATGTGACATCGTTGGCACGTTTCAACTCAGGGCCCGATGCACGCATACCTCCCCTGTCAGACAAACAGAAACACGCCCTGGAGGTATTCGAGAAGACGTGTGCTGAGCTGTCGCTACACATGATTCTTGCTCCAGGTGATATTCAATTCCTGAGTAATTCACATGTCTTCCATGCACGAACCGCCTACACAGATCACCCAGCTGGGGCTGTTGATGAGGACGGCAGGCCTGCCCGACGACGCCATTTGATGCGACTTTGGCTGTCGGCCCCGGAATCTGAAGGAGGATGGAGGCTTCCTTACCACGATTCTTTGGAGAAGAAACGAGGAGGTATCCAGGTTAATGACACTCCTCCTGTCTGTCCATTGGATGCGGAGTGAACATATACATTGCTGTAACAATTTTACCAAAACTCTGTGAGCATGAGATTGTACATACTATTGCAAGGAAATACGAAGTTGGTGCTATGAAACCAAATATCGGGCGTTGAAGTAATAACGAAAAGGTGCTTTGAACTAAGGAGGTCATGCGAGGGATATAATAAATAAGAACCGGAGACCCCACAGAAGTTACCCCAATGCTGTCAACTTTGCTGGGGAAATGGAAACACAGGCAACCAGGGTTGTGGCTGAGTGGTTGGATATCCACCTGCCCATGGCAATAGGCCACCTCCCTCAGTTCCCGATCCAACTGCCGTGTCTGCGGGCTGCCATGCCCACCCAAGATCAGACATGAATAAGCTTTGTAGCTCCTCAAGACTGGGCTGCTCAACTTCTAACTCAGCCGGACCGTTTTCCGCCTCGGTATCACTAACAATTTCGCAAGGGGAATGATCGATATCGACACCACTTTCGGGGAGCACACTATTAGATGCGGATGTGTTGCCCGCCTTCTCGGGGGCATGCCGCTCTGGTATAGATTTGCGTGCCATTCGGAAAATAGTGAGCGGATTAAGGACGTAATCCGGCGCACTTTGAACTGGAGGTTGTCTATGGTCGTCACTGGAATTAAAACTTAGCAAGTGAAGACCCTTTTCAAGAAACGGTCTAATATACCTCGTGTCTTCCTCCTCGGCTGACTGATACGGGTCATCGGGTATGATGTTTCGGGTGACCACCTCAGACTCAATACCGGAACGAGCAAGCATAGTTTCTGCTGCGGAGGACTGGTATACGGAGTAAATAGATCAGCAATCGACAATTTGATTCAAATTGGGGGGTTTGAACAAAGCAAGTGAACTAACAAGTGAACTGGCGATTGCATTGAGAGATCCCATTAACTTTAGCGCGTTGATATTACTGCGCAGCAGGGGAATTGCAGCCAATACCAGAGCTTGTGCATTCTCTGAACGCGGATCTAGGATGTGAGTCAAATGATATACCATGATTCGGCTGCTGTCATACGCGATGGTGGGAAGCCAGGAGTCTGCCAACATTTGAGGACCATGCGCAGCTGTTTGACCAATGATAGTTGCCAAAGCCCGAGCTGAATCGAAGAGAACTTGTTGCAGATGCCGAAGGAATTCCCCCTGTTCAGGAGGGAAGTCGAAAGCGGCTCGGAGTTTGTAAAGCGCAGGGGCCCCTAATCGATAGAGGTCACAGATGGTTTGATAATGCGTGCAATGGAGCAAACACAGGGCGCCTAACTGCGAAGTGTCTTTGCGAATGTATATTGCATCTGGTGTAAACTGTAGACTTGCTGGTAAAGAGTCATACCACGCCCGGCAATCTGAATCTAAATGAGCAAATTCTGACGCAGGGTGCCACGGAACCATAGCGTCTCCCAAATGCTTGATATATCTTGTTCATCATTAGAATGCTTCATAAAAGGAAAATAGAGGAAGGTTGCAAATTTTGTGCTGCATATACCTTAGAACCCTTTTGCGGATTGAGATCTGTCGAATGAAATATGCCATTATGCCCATGTTAGGCAACAGAGTCTTTGTATCTATATCTTCCGGTAGGATTTTGAGCCAACTTCCAGGATATAAAGTTTCTGTTAGGCAGGGAACTTGCTGAGTGAAGTTGCGCTCGTTGCATGGGAGTTGAATCTTGATGTCTCTTTCGTCCATCAGCATCAGCTGGTCTACCCCACTGCCAACAAGCGCATCCATTATATAGCAGCTCCACATCAACCGCCGACGAGACTCCTTTGCTGTGACTGGGAGGCCGTTGTCGGTATCCTGGCAGAGGATGTCGGTGTTGTATTCGAGATTGATCTGTAGTGCCTGGGTCATGCGCGTGGTAAGTCCACTCAACATGAAAGCGTTTGCAAAGTTCCCCAATCGAACGGCATAATCATGAAGCAGAACAGCCGCCTTGCTAAATTATTAGTGACTATATTGTGGCATGAATGTGGGCTTGCCTTTCAAGCGGGGTGCGCACCATTAGACTTTCAATGGTTACACGATCTATGGTCTCAAGAATGAGTCGTTGGGCAACTTTAGCCCATTGTGTGCCTGCCAGAAGGACAAATTTGGGCTCAAGTGGAGCTGTAGTCACGCTGTATGACAGAGCATGAAACCTTCAAAATAGAGATGAGCTCATCGGACTTTGCTTCCGCGATGTGAGTTGGTCGGGCTTACTGGGCTCCCAATGCACATATCACATGTAAAAGAGCACTATTGTGGGGATTTTTTGAAAGTTCTCCATCCAATCGTTGCAGGAAAGAAGGTTTGTGCATAAAGGCAAAGGCGCGCAGAGGGTGGACGTTGTCAAAATACTCTTCGACTAGAATCGCGATTCTCGATGAGTTGGGGAGGTAATGGGTAGACAGCCTGCAGCCAGTGAGCAGAAATCCAACGGATTGATACATTGGCGAAAGACTGGATAGCTCACCAGTCAAGCGGAGATGATGAACTCCCGGCAGTTTCCACCAAGGGAAACGCTTGTTGTGATATAGGCGGCGTCCCCATTAAGGTAGGCCGATTGTCCTGCCTAAACGGTGTTTGCTCATAAGATGGTTCAGGCATCGCAGGCAAAGGTGGAGAGGAGTCCCTGTTGCCTGTCGGGCTCAAGTTGACTCTGCGCACCCAAGTCGGCTGTCTAGACTCGACGTAAACACACTCGGTTGAACATTTCCAACGGCATCGTTGGCATGGTCGCTCACCAGAGCATTTGGTCTTCGAAGTACGACATGCTATGCAAGAACGAAATGTCCTTTTTCCTCTCACATAATTTTCCTGGTCAATTTCACGCCCAGTTGTTTCAGAGCTGAGCGGCGTTGTGTAGCCGGCACAGACTAGTCGCAACCGAGCACAATTCCCGCATTCGCCAGGTCTTTCGTCACATTTCACCTGTGAGATTACGATTGCATAATTTAGAATACCATATCGCCTGAAGGAGAGATAGCTTCTCACTTTTCGGGCACGACAGGTGCGACAGCCTACACATATTAGCGGAGTGACCATTTCTGCTTAGGGCAAGACTCACCAAACCGTGATCGCGAGGTTTTTTTATTCGAACCCATGCCAATGATGGAGTCAATAGTAGTGTCACGAACATTGAGATGACATTTCGGACCATCGGTTGGTCGGCTAATGTTATGGCGGGATATGCATGTCGAATGACGAGATCCTAGAAAATGTGGGGAAGGCCTAGATCCTACAAAGGGTTTAGCGTTGGTTATACGGATGCATACAAAAATGTTCAAACACAGCAAACCCATCAAACACCACAAACATACTAAAACTCGGGCCAAGGCTTGGGGGCGGGCCGCCCCTCACCCGTGGACACGAACTTTTCTTACTTCCAAAACAATCCGTACAGTTGATTATTGAGTTACTTTTCTTCATGTCGACATGGGCTCCAAGACAGCCGAGAATGACAGCGAGGGAGGTGGTAGTATGTTACACAGAAATTGACCTCATCGAAATAGTTAGCTGACATTTGGCAGATGCTCCTCCCAGCTCAACCAAAGCGAATGCCACTGGTGGGGAACCACGGGGTGCCCACTGGTCCCGTGATGGTGATGGCACACTTGGAGAAGGAGATGCAGATGATGATGCCGACGGCGACAATACTCCCTGCACCGTTCCCTTCGTGAACTCGCAAACTGCACCCTCGACAAATTCGAAGAAAAAACGAAAGAGGACCAAGAAGAAGTCTTCCGTGTTGAAGCAATCTTCACCACCTCGGGTTCCACTTGCCGATCTCTTTCCCGCTCGGCAATATCCGCATGGAGAATCTCAAATTTATGAGTCTATGGTGGAAAATACGGCCCGGACAACCGCCGAGGAAGTCCGATACCAGTCCCGTCATCACATCGAAGATGAGACCTTTTTAAATGACTATCGGAAGGCCGCGGAGGTACACCGCCAAGTGCGACGCTGGACGCAAGAGAGCGTTCGCCCGGGCCAGACCCTCACGGAAATTGCCGTGGGAATCGAGGATGGCGTGAGAGCGTTGCTCGACAATGCTGGCCTTGAGACTGGCCAAGGTCTCGTATCCGGAATGGGATTCCCCACTGGCCTGTCACTGAACAATTGTGTTGCGCACTATACGCCAAACCCAGGCCAAAAGGATGTGGTCCTCGACGCGAGCGACGTCATGAAGGTCGATTTTGGCGTTCATATAAACGGCTGGATTGTTGACAGTGCTTTCACAATGTCCTTTGACCCAACCTACGACAATCTGCTTGCTGCTGTTAAGGACGCGACCAATACTGGCATCAAGGTAAGCATTCTTTATTTTTATGCTATACCTACCGCTAACAAGTCCTAGAATGCTGGGGTCGATGTCCGCATTAGCGATGTCAGTGCAGCCATACAGGAAGCAATGGAAAGCTACGAGGTTGACATCGACGGTCGCACATTCCCTGTGAAGGCAGTGCGCAATATCACTGGACACAATATTGCGCAGTATCGCATTCACGCCGGAAAGTCTATACCGTTTGTCAAGAACAATGACAATACGAAGATGGAACTGGGAGAGATATTTGCTATCGAGACATTCGGGACAACCGGTCGTGGCCATCTCTTTGAAGGGGTAGGTTTCATCCCCATTGCCTGGACTCGTCACATACTTACCCATTTGTTTAGCCTGGGGTCTATGGTTATGGTAAGGATCCATCCGCACCAAAAAAGATCACATCGCACCTTGCCAGCGCCAAATCCCTGTATCAGAAAATCAACGAAAATTTTGGCTCACTTGTCTTCTGCCGCCGCTATCTTGAACGTCTTGGCGTCGAACGGTACCTGGCTGGTGTAAGTTTTTATAGCTCTACTATCGAAAACGTGTGCTTACAGTAAACAGATGAACAGCCTTGTATCCAATGGCTATGTCGAGGTCTACGAGCCTCTGATGGACGTCAAAGGATCATATTCCGCGCAGTTTGAACATGTATGTGGGCCTTCTTCATCATCAAAAACCCCGCGATTCTAACCTTTCTAGACCATTTTGTTGCGAGAATCAGGCAAGGAAGTGATCAGTCGTGGAGGTGACTATTAGGGTCACCTCAGAGCATTACCGAAAGTGTAGCTCTTCCATTACTTTTTTTCCTGCAGTACCCTACGTCGATCGCTATTCAACATGGCTTTCATTGAACATTCCTTTACCGTTGTCTGCCCTTGTTGTTCATTTAACATGACATCGTCTTGTTTGATATAACATCGATTGCTTCAATTCAAGAATCCTTTTCTCCAATCACTATTTACAGCCCTGGCTCACAATGTCACGCATCTGGATCAGTGGACATCCGTATAAGGGTAGAAATACCACGTCTTTGGCTACATGGACTGAGGCAGAGTGTTAGAATGAGTCGTCGTATCCAAAAGAATAAAAAAAACTCGACTTGAATTGCTAAATTGGAGCCAAGTACGGAGTATTCCGTAGAATCACCAACAAATGCACCAATCGAAGGACAGCTGTCCAGTTGCAAGACAGCTTGGCAATTCCAAAGGCGTAAAATTCCGGCGGAATTCTCTCATGTCAACGCGGTATTCCAATATTTACGGGGTAACCAATCCGGGGAAATTCATAGGTGAAATAAGCCTAAGTAAATATCCACAAATCGTGTGCCGAGTTCAACTTGTTAACGCAGAGTAAACGTGATGTTCTGCCCCTTAAAGCTTCATGGATCTCATCTCATAGCATAGGAAAACACAAGTTAAACTGGACGACAAGATGAGAAACAAAACCTTTTCCATTTTAATTACCTTCCTTGCGGTTTGCAGTTTATCATTCGCATGGACCAATCCTATTCGAAAACCGAGTGGAAGTGACCCCTTTATTGTGCATACTGGTGGATATTACTATCTTCTTACGACTACCTGGAGCGACATTGAGATATCCCGTTCAACGACTGTGGAAGGTCTCGAGACTGCAACGAAGAAAGTGGTATACTCCTCAACTACCTCCTCTCGATGCTGCAATGTGTGGGCCCCGGAAGTGCATTACCTGGGTGACAAATGGTACATTTACTACACTGCCGGAGAGAGTGCCAATCTTGATGGACAGCGCTTACACGTTCTAACGGGTACTATCTACAAGTCCAATCCACTAGAAACTCGAAGTCCAAACTGATGATCTTCCATAGGCGGCACTTCCCCGTGGGACGACTACACATACACTGGACAGTTAACAAACGAATGGTCAATCGACGGCTCAGTCATTCGTTTCAACGAATATGGGAACTACTTGTTGTTTTCGTGTTTCCACGGAGTGACATACCAATCCCTATGTATTCAAAAACTAGGATCGGAGTTTGTCTCTCTAACGGGGAACATTTATGTTATTTCGCAACCGACTGAATCATGGGAGAAGGTTGGAACACCCGTCAACGAGGCCCCCGCGGCACTTTACTTTGGGGGAACTACATACATATCGTACTCGGCGTCCTATTGCTGGACTGCGAGTTATTGCCTTGGTCTCTTAGCCTGGGATGGCAAGACGACTCCCACTCAGGCGAGTGCCTGGTCCAAGAAAAATGGATGTGTGTTTGCTTCGGCGAATAGTAACTATGGAACTGGAAGCAATGGATTCTTCCAAAGTCCAGATGGTTCACAGACTTGGATTGTGTATCATGCCACCACATCAACCTCGGGCGCCTGTGACGATAGTAGGTATACCATGATTCAATTGCTGGGATCGCATAGCGATGGCAGTCCGAACTTTGGTGTTCCGGTTCCTTGGACACATGCCTACAGTGAGCCGAGCTGATATTGATTATTTGAGATGACGAGATATCTGAAACAGGTAGAATGGAGCATTATTTTGTAATTAAGAACATGAACGGGTAGGAATACCTACGTGTAGACCTTTTGTTCGTATTGTTTCAGTGACCTGAATACCCTGAGTAGACTGGAAAGCCCTCATAGTCTATTCATATAGCCTGGTGAATCTTAAGGAAATTGGAAGTTCATTTATCCTGCAAGAGCGAGGGCAAATAACGCCGGAAAACAGTGGTTCAAACAATAAACTCATTGTTTGTCGAAAGTTCTTACATTGACCATGAAGGGAAAATAGAAAGAGAGGAGAAGGCAATCCATAATACGGAAGGAGCGAATGCTTTTATCTGCCCCGTGGGCAACGGTGAAGTCACGATCTATCAAGGAAACATGATAGACCAACACTGAGCAAGATTCAACAGATGTGATAGTACCTCGTAGCCGGATCATATTCGAGTGAGACTTCTGTCTCCATAGAGCTCACGTCCACAACAATCTGCCGCCAGATACTGACCTCGTATGAGTCCGCCAACCCCCCTGACAATACCATGGCACATAGATATCGCTGATAAGGGATTCCTGTGAGATCTGTCTTCTCTAAACAATAACTCGGGTTGACCTCATTGCCAAGAGCGTCTTTCATGTTCTTGCCAACGACATCCTGAGGACACAGAATCATGACCAGTTTCTCCTGAGATGAGGTCCCAGGAAAGTTCGCCGTCGCATTACAACGAACCACCATACCGGGTCGAATGCGGTCTTTGAATGTCCGCAGGTCCCCCTCGGATATCAAGTTACGGGTGGAAATCCGAGTCACGGATAACATGCTCTCCGCGGAACTGGGCACTTGTTGTATTGAATCAATGACACCCTTGCGACCTGCGCCGGAGCCGCGTGTGGAGTCAATGTGTAGGCGCCAAAGCTTAGCATGAAAAGCTTTCGCTTGATTCTCCGTCACACCCTTAGTACGGAGGCAGCGAGCGACGAATTTATTCAACGGGATAGCTAGAAGCTGAGAGCCCGACTCGTGTGGTGCAAGAATGGACGGTGAAATCACGGGATTGCCCGACTTTTCAGTGTCAATATGCCAGCACGGGAGAGTTATGATTGGCATTTGGAATGTATCACTCACCTCTTTGGTGATATAGCTTCGAACAAACTTGTTACTCCACGACTTTGGTATCGCAGGATTATACTCCGCCGCCTGGTACTTGACTTCAGTCGAACAAAGCATATGAGCGTAACGAAGTGTATTTTTGGTTGCCGAGGTGTCCAAAAAACTCGGGTTGATGCAGGCTAATACTGCAGTCTTGGAATTTCGAGTACCAGACGGGTCAAAAACATGCTTCAAAACCTTGGTCAAGGTGCTCTGACGAAATGGAATATAAGGTCCTTTTTGACCCATTTTCACAGTGCCGGGTGTGTTGTTAGCGCTTGCGATACCTCGTATGCAATCCTTGAGTATAGAGAGACTGATATTGATCTCACGGGTCTCTTTCATGCGATCAGCGCTATGGTTGGCCAGGTCCCGTGCTGCCTCTGACTCTGCAAGGTCAATCAAATAGAGGATGCCATCTTCCGAGACTTCTGGTGATATGTCCACGGCTCTGATGCGGCAAATTGCGTGCGAGCGTGAGGATCCGTCGTTCTTCTCTGTACCGGCAGTCTGTCGGAAAGATGTTGCCTTTTCAATCAGTGCTAAAAATTCAGACTTGCTATCAATGGAAAGCTCCTGGGCCCCAACAAGCTGTGTATTGCCAAACGAGTCTTCGAGGATCGAGAACGGCGCACGTGACTCTAAGAGGTCTGATCGTGATGAAAGTCAGCATAGGATATATCACAGTAATACCACGCCATTGACATTATCTTTTCTTTCTTCTGGAATGCAAGAGCGCACGTAGGAAATTCTAGTCGCCTGATGGATTACCTACCATATGCGGAATTCCCGGCAAGCTCGAACATGGAAACATATAGTTTTCGCTGAGTTGTCCAAGCCGCATCAAACAAAGTATCAGCGAGCAGTCGTTCCAATCCGCTGATGGTATGGGTTTTGCCCGAGCCTGTTTGTCCAAAAGCAAACAGTGTGCCTATGCCTCCTTCCCATACTGATGGGAGAAGTGGTTGAAGCAGAATTGTATAAAGTGTCTCTGTAGGGCAATCCGTACCGAACACATTACCAACTCGGAATGTAGATGACTAGGAAGATGTAATTTGGTTTAGTGTTTCTGTTTCTACTTGTCCGCTTGGGCGTCCGAGATCGGGTTGTGTCCACTAACATTCAAAGTCGGTAGACCTCTGACCACTCTCTTCAATTCATGAAGGTCCACTACTCCACTTTCGCTGCGAGGGAAAACAGCGGGGACCTGACCGGATAATGTCTCGTGATCCAATATAGGCCGTATCCGAATGGCTACAGCAATGTTCGAGCAGTCGGCCACGTCTTTATTCTTAGTTGTGGTAGGTCGCCGTGGCTTAAACCGCTGTACCAGACACTGATATCGCGACACATTTGCTAATAGATATTGCTCCATGGTCCTCGGCAAGCAATTCCGGGGATAGGTAGGAAAGAAAGGCGACGAATCCGTAGGTAGACAAGAGTATATAAACAGGAGACACAATATGAATGAAATTTCCCTGTAGCATTGCGGTGTCTTAAAATAGCGGTGAGTAAGCTCAGTTGTGAGCATGGATGTTGGTTAAGGGTGTCCAAGGCACCCGTTATCTGGCAATCATCGTCCCGAGCCTCAAATTTGCCAACCAAGTACACAATGCCAGGTATGACATGTCTCATCCATCCTCTCAGATTACCCATCCGCCCAACAGCCATAGTCCCTCAGCGATCGAAAACCACCCGTGTCATAAACTCCAGGATAAAATGACCGAGCCGCAATTTACGCTGGTACCCGCACTACCACAGGAGTCTTAATTACTCCAAAAGCATAGCTTGAATTATCCCCCGCCGTTAATAAAACGCCGATAGCAGCCCCTTGCATCATTAGGCGCGCAATATTTTGAACCACGACCGCCTTTCGAGGTACTGCCCCGGTCACGGTAGGACTTGATTGGGCAACATCAGGTGAAAGTGTAGCTAGACTGCAGATCGAAGAGATTATTTGCGGGATCCACGGGGGTAGGGTAGGAGACAGGGCCGGCCAGCACGAGGAGACCTAAGGCGACGGTCAACTATCTGACAGCATTCGCCAGGTATCTACAACTGGAGGATCCGAATCTAGCCACGATTGGAATATATCGCCGTAGATGTTGACATCATGATCGGTAGAAGTGAAGGTAACACTATCTTCAGTTCGCTCGGACTCGCTGAGATCGGAGTTGATCTTTTGAAGGGCTTCGGTGACGAGGATGATAGATTGCTCGGGGGCGGGGTTCTGTGAAAATTGCAGATAAACGACAGTCATGATGGGTAAGATCAGTCGATGCTCTTAATTTTGTGTTGGATCGGAGGGGAAAAAACGAAGTCCGAGGGCCACCTAGGCAGATTCTGGTCCAGATATAACCGGTTTTGAGTCAGAGAGACAACCATAGAGTTCATTGAATAGGAGGATGAGAACAAGATTAAAAGTGGGCATGTGATGCCTTCGGTCTCCGTTTATGACACCGCTCTGCACGTATATCCATCGTAATTTATAGGTTCTAGTATTGAAGCCCATTTTCCTTGGGCTTTGTGCTGACACATTTACGCTTGAATCTTGTTTTCACTCAAGGCACGCATGAACGAGGATTTCTGACAGTGCCTGATGCGAACCTTGGACCTATGTCCGCAGATCTTACTTGATTGTTCGCACACATAAGAGTAATTTGCTTAGTCGTAATTTCCTGGGGCCCGGCTATTGTTGGATGTTGATTGTGCTTAGAGACAACAGACTTTGGTAACAGCCGAGACATAGCCTCAACTTCAGTTTACGAATCAGCCATGGTGGGGGTAACTATCGAAGAAGTATTTTCTGCGGAAGTTTCCGTTAGTCCAACTAGGATGCTTAAGGTCGTGTAGTATTAGACGGTCTTCAAGTGCTTTGGATCGGACATTCATACAGGTCTTCAGATGACGCCGTGATCTTATTTATCGGTTGATATTTTAGTGGTCCCAACCTAACTCATGTATTTCGGTAACAGTTTTTCATCGAATGATTTTGATATATGAGTACCGCAAAGTAGCTCATAAAATTCCTACCAAGGTCGTGGTGAGGCCGACTGGACAAAACTTGAATGAACAGCAATCGAATGGTTTTGACTAATGTCCTCGACGGAGTCATTTGAAGGGTGCATGCCTCCATTAGGACCGACAGTGACATAGTTAGTTAGTCCGATTTCATCGTCGTTTGCGCCCTTCATTTTATTGAAACCATAGTCAAATGTTGGTCCATGGTTGTTGATTTTATTCCTTTGGAGACCCTGCCCGGAACCACTTTGTCCTTCCATTCCTTTGGAAGAAATACCGGTGGCCCGTTGTGAATGCAAACTGGATAAGATTGATCGATGGGCGAGTCGGGCAAGCGGAGCAAGATGCGGCATACAGGCACAAACCACAGCGACTGATGGCTCGATGGTTGACCAGATGAATACAGGCCCCATCAGCCAAGTCACATCGGCGGTCTTCATAAACTCCGATAGAAAATAGATTCGCACGATGCTGGCAACACATACACTATGATAAATATAGTTCAGCTCTAGTCACCGAATGAGGTCTAGAAAGAAAGATGGAGGGGACGTACAATATTCCCACGGCCATAATGCCACAAATTGCTAGTTTCTTCCGCAGAGTCATTTGGAGCTGGGCGATTCGCGGAAAAGGGATTATCAGAATGATAAAATCATTCAGCATGTTAAGGATCCCTAATGCGAGGAAGAATTGGTTGACATTGATGCATTTCCCCTTCGTGTCGCTGAATTGTGTCCAAAAATGGGACACTGGTCGGCAAGCATTTCCCATGGTTACCCAAATGATGATTGGATAGGAGAGTGTGAAGAACAAGCCACAAAAGAGCGCCACTTTCAACGACTGTTCCAATGGGGAAAAGACTCGCCTGTAAAAAGCAAGTATCGAGAGTCTGGTGCAAGTGCAGGCCGCTGCATAAATAAACGTGTAAGAGAATAGGAGCTAAATAAACCTGGATTAGAAGATCGTATGGTGCTTTTGGAGGGAGTTCTCTTACTCTGTACAAATCCATCAATTCTTCCAGCTTGACAGCCCAGATGTGTTTTCCAGAACCAGTAGTGCCGCCTAGATACGTTGCTTTATTAAACAATGCTGTTTTGCCTGGAGCTTTAGTTCTCACCTGCGACACTTAATGCAGTTGTACCAGATATACAAGTCTTTGTGGAAATATAGTCAGTAAATTTGATCTAACCTCGTCAAGCGTTAACTCACTAATGCCGCAATAATTGCCCAGTCATCCGCCATCAAGGCATTTCCAAGGATAATCCGAGCAGTAAAGCGTAGAATCACAAACACTGCCGCGAGACAGAGCATTGCAATGACCACGCCATTATTAACCGATACATCACTCGCAGTGAGGTCAACATTCGACGGAGCCGGCCCAAAGAGAGCGATAATGACCGGGTCTTCATTCATAGCAATATGTCCGTCCTTGGTGGGTGAAATGTCACAACATCGAACTAATTTCTGTCGTAGATTCTCCCCATCTGCCAAGAAAGTAATGCAAGCATACGGCCCCTGAGACTAAATCATAAGTACGTTGAAGAGAAACTCATTACTGCATGAAGATATTGCCCTGACAGTGAAACCGGGTTGTCTTAGTTCACAGACTAACGTTATGACAGGTGATCGGCGTCGGCCACAAAAGCGGAAAAAGTACCGATCCCACCAAACAAACGCGTTCGCAGTCGAGAAGCGGCCTTATTCGGGAGGGATCGCCGGGAATTATCCTCGTCTAGTATGGAGCAAGACGGCCGTTGTACCCTTATCAGGAACGCTTAGCGCTAGAGCCAAATCCTGCACCGCTAGGCTATCTTATGATTCCAATAATTACCAGTGCCAACACAATTCAGCAAGACCGAGACTGCCTGACGATTGACTAATTATATTATTTGAGGTACTGTATATGCGATGCAAGTGATTAGCCGGAGTTGAGTGCCTCGGTACAAGAGTTTGTACAATCCATCACAATGTTGTTATCCGCGCTATATTTTAGTGAGATTGCGATGTCCGGTCCCGCATGGCCCTAGCAAGCATCTTGAGGTTTCAGTAGCCGGGACAATGCTCATTGAGTCTGTCTGGCCAATGAAATGATATCATGTAAAATGTTTATTGCAAAAGTACCGGTTCATACTTCATATTCCACTTAAAATTTGTACAATAGTACATTCCAGATTGTACAAAAATCCCCGCAGAGGCTATGTTTATTAGTCCCGATATACCCAACCTTCACCCCTCTAGCAATCAGTACTTCCCCTTTTGCAAACCCCCTATTTCCGAGTACCCTAAACCAATTGATGCAACATGGGCTCTATTATGTCTGAGCAACCGATTCCTGAGCTCACAGCTTTGGAGCGCATCGGGCCGAAGGGCTATCTTCGTTATATCTTCCCCTTTCAGCTCCAAGAGGACTATGACTTGGATGAAGTTATTGGAGTTCTTCAGGCCGGGTACCAAGATCTCATACAACGAATCCCAGAGGTCGGGTGCGAAGCCGTTCCCGATGTCAGTTTGAAACAAAGGGGTGTCATGAAGCTTCAGAAACCGGCCAATGAGGACATAGGGCGCATCGTGGTCAAGGACCTGCGTGAGTCCTATGAATCCGATTACGCGGAATTGAAAGGTAAATCTTTCCCGGTGGCCTCCTTCGATGCCGATACGTTCTGTGCCCGTTCTGTTTGGCCTTCGGCTGGAGACCAACTGCCAATCTCACTTGTGCAGGCTAATTTCATCCGCGGAGGGTTGGTCTTGTCATGGTGCATCTTCCACATGGTGGGCGACGGTACGACATTCTATACTTGGACAAACATCTGGGCAGAGGCGTGTCGGCGGGCACAGGGACTAAACATCCAGGATCCCATCCAGCTTCCAGAGGCCATTTGGAAAGACCGCGCACAAGTGACGAAATCGTCCGGCCGCAATGCTGGAAAAATCGAAGACCATCCAGAGTATACCCTTCTTCCTTTCACACCCCCGGGAGCCCCGCCAAAGATGACTTCCCTGAGCCATCGCGGTCAGATTTTCTATTTCTCGCCGGAATCCTTAGCAGCTATAAAGGCAGAGGCGTCCCCAGGCAATGCGACCGAGCCGTCTGATCAAAAATGGATCTCGACCAATGATGCTCTTGCGGCGCTACTCTGGCGTACAGTTATGGCAGCCCAGTCGCCGCTAGAGACTCTTGAGGGTGACCCTATGTCTGTTTACAATATTGCGATTGATGGGCGGCAACGGACCGACCCCAAGTTGCATCCAGAGACTTTAGGATGTTTCCTGGAGTATGTTTCAGTCTCGGTGCCCGTCCGCAAAATTCTTAGTACGCTGAGTCTGGCCGATCTGGCGACGAAGATCCGCAAGGCACTTATAGCAGCCGACGAGCAGTTCACGGATGACGTGGTAACTCTCGTAGAGCAGGTTGAAGACGTTGATCGGCTGGTACCTACCGCGTTCCTGGATGTTCCCGGTTTCAACTGTGTGCTAACCTCATGGGTGAACTTCAAAATGTATGGGCTAGAGTGGGGACCACTGCTGGGCAACAATATTGAGGCTATACGAGTGCCCCATGTCGGTTGCATTAACGGCGGTCAAGTCGTGCTCCCAGTGTTGCCGAATGGTGGTATGGAGATTCTGGTCGGCGTGGAAGGCAGTTCCTTGGACCGACTGCTGAATGACCCCTTGTTCACGAAATATGGTGTGGCTCGGTAGAGTCTTCATGAAGAGTAATTCGGCAGCTTGTTGTAGATATACGACACTATATCTTTAACATCACTGCTGGCTTTATTTCCTTCTTTTCCGCATTCAAATCTCCAGAGCCCCAAACAACTCACCTTGGAATCGCCCTGATGTTGAAAGTGGGCCGAATTGTTAGTCGGCAGCTTTCTGAAGGTACAGCGAATGCAAAAAGGATCCGTCTGATAGTTGTTTGTATTCCGACCAACCTGGTTCTTTGTACGGATTTTGTTTATTTCTGCCCCGGCTCTGGATTCTGTGTATCAAGTTCGAGATAGGATCGTGGTTGAATCATTGAGGATAACGTGAAGGGGATGGTTTGCTAGTATCGCCGTGACCTCATTGGCCTAACGATGGGATGAGATATGCGACATAAGTCAATTTAATGATAGTTCGCTTTATGCATGAATGCCATATCATCGATGCGACGAGCTCACTATTATCTGAACGGAAAAGTAGCAAACCTGTCTGCCCAGATGTTTCATATTCCGTGTGATCATACGAGTGAGAAGCGATTACGTTGGCCACATGAAAGGCTTCAACGAGGAAGGATATGGTGCTTTTTCCAAACAAATGACATCCTCCTGCTGATGTACACGGAGATGGAAAAATCAATTCATCTCTAATGTTATTCCTTTTATATGGTAAGAAACAATGGCAAAAATAATGATCTAAAATTCCACTAATAATAAAGTCGTGTTGGCTCATTTCTCCCCAGGACCCTTTCCTCTTCTCACAAACTCTCTGAGCACATTGTCCGTCAATTTAGCTACCTCGTTACTATAATCATCCCAGCCCATACTGCAGAACCAGTTGATACTGCCAACGGAGAATACCGCACCACCTCCAGAGGTGTCGTAATAGACCAGATCACTTCTGACCATATCACAAGTGGTACCCAGAGTGTTCACCATGGGGAACATGGAGTCCTCGTTGAAAAGTCCAAAGGAGTCATCATGCTGCAAGCTTCTTCCCAGCAAGACCGCATTGGATGGTGTTCCAAGCGCATAATCAAGGCGATCAATCTCGTCGCCACTGGCGCCGCCACCGAAACCCTTTTCGCCAATCGGCTTTGTGACGTCAATGTCCTTGAAAATCCAGCTGTATTTCTCATCCTGGGCATATTTCAAATCCATCGTATAGGCCTTTCCTGGTCCAGTACCGAATGCACACGGTCCAATACCAAAGAGGTAGTTGGGAGCACGACCGCGGCTGCGCCACAAACCTCCAAGGGTCCCGGTGAGACTGTGCATGCGTTCTCCGGCAGGGAAAGTGACAGAGCGACAACCCTGATCGCCCTTGCGGACCTCCATGCGGTGAGGCCGCTCATTGACAACATCGGCAACCCAGTAGAATCCGTTGCCGCCCAGATACATCAAGTTGCCGCCGGATTTGGCAAATGCGCTGAGGGTGTCGAGAGAGGCGAGAGTGTGGTATTCGGGGTGGCATCCAGTGATGAGGGTGGTGTATTGCGCGGTTGACTCCTGACCTCTGCTGCTCAAGCAGTGATCGGTAATAATATCATAGGGAATTCCAGAACGCTCCAGGAATCCAACCATGAGAAGATCAGCGCTGAATTCGCGAGGTCGGTCCAAGGCCCAGTGTACAAATCCGGGTCGGAGATTGAGAATTGGTCGGAGAGCAGTGGAGTATGCATTGGGGGAGCCGTCCGTGTGCACATCATAAGCTGAGAGACCCAAATCTGGTCGTCGGGATAGTCTTTCATAATACTCATTTCCTGGCCCGATGCTAACTCCATCTGGGGTTGTCATCGCCGACGACTTGGTCACATCGTACATGCGCTCATTAGCGTACGCGAGGTATGTGAATGTTGTAAGAACTAACGCCACCTTTGCCGTGGAACTGGGGTTCGGTCTGACGAAGAATGTGATCATGTCGCTTGTTCCATCCGCACACTTGACCTCAACGGCGTATGCACCGGAGCGAGCGCTTGATGGAACAGTAATAGTGAAGTTTGTTGACCATTTGGCATCATCCAGATCATCCTCGTGGAAGTGAATGGCTCCATATCCGTATGAAGCTTTGGTCCAGTCTGGCTGAGTGCCATCCCAGTTATATCCCTTGACGCCTCGTGTGGGTGCATTGATCAACACACCATGGCGATCGTTTCCAGACACATCAACGATCGAGTCGCTGGAGATATCTTTGGAGAAGTCATACTGCGCAACAGTGCGGCGTGATGAGCCCGTGAAGGTGAAGGAAGGAGAGTCGATCCGACCATTATAATAGTTCGATGACTTGGAGCTCTGCTCATCAATGTCCTTGAACATGCCTGCACCAAACAACAAAGAGTTCGAACCCAACACCATAGGTGCCGACAGGTCGGTAGTCATCTTTTCCCCATCGGGGGCAGTCTCGGCTAGACGGTACAATTGGTGAATGCTCGAAGTGAACGTGTTGTTCACGACAGTGAAGCTGATTTTGAGCCATCTCCAGCGATTCACGAGAAGTTGGCTCTCGATGACCTGAATTTTATCGCCTGTGCCGATGAAGAATTGAAGCTTAGACTCTTTCAAAACAACGGCGAATCCAGTTCGAGAAGAGACGTCAAGACAAGATACAAGAGTCTGGCAGAAGTAGGAAACATCAAGCAAGTATGGCTGAGCATAGAACTCTACTTCGAAGCCCTCTCCCGCTGCAGGTGCCACGTCCGCCCAGGATGGGATAATAGCATAGGAACCGGCACAGGCATCTTGGAAACAACCATCCTCGTGGTGACCAACGGGGACCTCGGTGATATCCTCTATCACAACGGGGGGAGCATGAGCACCGCTAAACCCCTGAACAAGACGTACTAAACGGTGATCATATCCCTTTTCGGTACTTGAGATCTAAAAAGGGTTAGCATATGCAAAGTGCCGAGATACTCCAGGGAATACCTCCGTGGACCTGACCATGGATGTAGATAACTTACTTTGATGTCAACCGGTTCTCCAGGGGAAACAATCCAAGGTTGAGCATAACCAATAATTTGAGTCTGAGACATGCCTGTAAAGCCGGTTAATTCAACATTTCTTGGCTTGTTAGTCCGGAATGTTAGCGCTTACTGGGAAAGGCAAAAGAGGGGTTAGATCGGTCCTGGATCAGAGAGAGACCTAAGAGTTCGTCTGCCCATTTAGTACAGGAAGCTAAGCTTTTAAAAGCTCTATAGTTCAAGGATACTCACCTAGATTCCAGGATTGGTAAGTGAATAATTTGCTACATTCGGAATGAGAGGAGAGATGTGCCACTTATCTATGCCTCAATCTACCAAGTGAATGACCCGATTGGGTTAGAGATAGAGAGTATGCGTGTGACAATTGTAGCTTCCTCCCGACATCCGATCGGCTAACCCCAAATAGGCGATGGCTTGACGGGGGGTGTTTAGCTCTGCCGGCTGGCTTTTCCCCAAGCTCCCATCTCAAAGGCGTGTTGTACCACACTAACCCGGTCGGAAAGCAGATCTAGTCCACCAATCGCTGGTGCGGAGATTTGGAGCTAACAGTCCTGCTTATCCAGTGGCGTCGACTAAATCCCCTTATCACCTCGCTTGGAGTCTTATCATTCAGTGCTACGCTACGAAATTCATTTAGGCCAGTTTATCTTTGTATTTTGTATTGGTTTTTCTACCCCTAAGCTATCAATGCAGTTCAAAAAGTGGAGCAAATCGAATTACAAATATTACTCGAGATATCCTATCTCCAATATGGGGTCATTGGAGTAGGGGTGTAACCTTAGTGTAATATACGAGGCTGGGGAGCGAAAATCTCCGGCTTTTGACGCCACGATACCAACCATCATGGAGCTCGAGATTACAACATTACCACCTTCGGTAGGAGAGACCAAGGTATTATACGCTAAGTACCCAGACCCACTCTGGGGAAACACAATTACGGGTTACCCCAGACTATAGATACGTAATCGGCAATCAATGACAAAGTGACCGGTTAGTTAATTCATTCTCTTCGTGAAGTGTTATCTGAGGAACTTTATATAAGCTTGGCATGATCTCCTAGAATATTTTCCCATCTTGCTCATCCAAGACTTTTCTCTCCTTCATATTGCCCAGAGAAGAGGTTCGCTCATCATGGCCAAAGACAATCACGATATTGAAGCCGTGGCGGACGCTGCCTCGCAAACTTCTACCCCGGGGGCGATGGAAGATGTCGAAATCGTCACTCTCACGAATGAAGACGTATGGCTCACACTGATACGCCTTGGTAAAAGAAACCTAGCTAATCCCTGTCCGTTTAGAACATTCGCATTCGGAATAAGACCGACAAAACGATCCTAGCTATTCTTACCTGGGTATACTTCTTGCAGGTGAGACAAGTTAATGAACCATCCATTCTATACGATGCTGATGAGCCGCCAATTAGGTCTTAGACAAGGGTGTTTTAGGAACTGCTTCCATTTTTAATCTCCAGGAGGACACAGGTCTCGTTGGAAGTCAATACTCTCTGGTTTCATCCATTGCCCCTATTGCGCAGGTTGCATGGCAGCCGTTCTCGGCATGGCTTATTGTCAAGGTCCCTCCCCGTATTCTGATGCCCTCCATGGTCTTCTGCTGGGGAGTTGCAGCAACCTGTACCGCCGCATGCAACAGCTTTGCCGGCTTGGTCACCGTTCGTTTCTTCCTCGGTCTCTTTGAAGCTGGGTGCTTGCCTCTCTTCGCCATCCTCACTGGCCAATGGTATCGTCGTGTCGAACAGCCACTCCGTGTGTCCATATGGAACTCCATGAACGGCACAGCCACTATGGTGGCCTCTGCCTTGTCATATGGACTCGGCCATATCCCCTCGGATCTGCTGAGACCGTGGCAAATGTAAGTCACCGTGGATCATGTTACTGAATGTCGCTAATTCTTTCGCAGTATCTTCCTTGTTGTTGGATTGGTTACTATTATCAGCGCGCCCTTTATTTACTGGAAACTTGACAACGACATCACCACCGCCCGCTTCCTCACCGAATACGAACGGAAACAGGGCGTGGAACGTCTCCGCGCCAATAACACTGGTGCTTCCTCTTACGACTTTGACTGGTCTCAGGTTATCGAGGTTGCTCTTGACCTTAAGAGTTGGCTTTGGATTATCATGGCCTTGCTACCAAACATGGGATCGGCGATGACGAGCACTTTCGGACCTCTTATTGTCAGGGGTTTCGGCTTTGATGCATACGAAACTTCTCTGCTCAACATTCCTTTCGGTGCTATGCAGACTATCGTCATCATCAGCGGCTGCTGGGCCTCGTACAAGTTGAAGCTAAAGTCCGCCATTTTGATCGGTTTCATGATCCCTGTCGTGGTGGGTATCGCAATCCTCTACGCACTCCCCCACGAAGCCTCCAAGCAGGGTCCTCTTCTCCTCGCATACTATCTTTGCTCCTTTTTGTTTGCCGCCAACCCCCTTCTTCTCTCATGGGTCGTCGCAAACACTGCTGGTGCCGCCAAGACCTCTGTCACGATGGCTCTTTACCAGGCTGGTTCTTCCGCTGGTGCCCTCTCTGGCCCGCTTCTGTTCACCGCAGAGCAAGCTCCCTCATATCGCCCCGGTATCCGGGCTGTTCTCGGAGTCTTCATCGCTTTGGTTGGTTGTGTTGTCATCCAGGTCCTCAATCTAGCCTGGTTGAACAGAGTAAACAAGAAGAAGAGAGTCAGCAATGGAAAGATGGCTGAAGTCCAAGATCAATCTATGACTCATGGGTTTGAGACCAACGGAAAGGTCCAGGATCCAGCTCCAACGGAAGTACCATTCGTGGACTTGACTGACCTGAAAAATGACGAATTTGTGTACGTTTATTAAGCGAAAGACTTGGAAGCCCTGCCAGGGAAGCAGTGGATGTTTTTGTGTTCTTGCATGATTGAGAAAGCAATGCATAGTCGGACATTATATATACCCCATATCTAGAATTTTTGCCAATGATGAAATGTTTTCTCCCGTGACTCGAAAAAGATGACATACTGGTGTTACCATTATCACAGATTTCGACGTAGCCACTAAGAATGCCTGTCCATAGTATAATACCGTGTGTCACATGATTGTACCCCATAATGGACTTGTACAGTCTTACTTCCTCTTTCTCCATAGTTCTACAACCTTCCAATATATACGTATTCCCTGATTATCCCCAAGCTCTCAACTAATCTGTACATTCAAACACGTGAAATCTAACATGATGTCAAGTCACTTGCCATATAAGAGTTCTAATCGGACTATAGTCATTTCTTTGCATTCGACTAATTCGACTAAACAGCTTAATAACTTAATGCACACTAGGTTATGTATGAATCTAGAATTATTGAGCATGCGCGTCTAAATTATGCAATATGTACAATAGCAAACGTCGACGTGTGGGATTTGCGGGTTACTTAGTTAAAATTGCTTTCCTATACCTAATTACGGAGGTTGATTAATTACAAGTATGCAGCAATATTGATAATTGAAATTTTTGTTTTGAGAAAATCTATAGAGCTATGATGCATGAATCATAAAATCGGAGAGAAGAGGCATAGCAGGCATGGGCATAACTCGAGGACCAAGACAAAGAACCTCATGCGTTAAGAGACAGATTATGCGAAAATAGATCACTTAGAAGTGGCCCTCGATCTCGATGGGGGTGTATACCTCCTCCAAGTACTTCTCTTCCTCGGCGGTAAGCTCCTTACCGCGTGCGGACAAAGCATCCTCGATTCTGGCGACGCTGCTGAATCCAATGATAGGACTAGCCACGCGCTTCAGCTGCCAGGCCAGTGTAACTTGAGACATAGTCCATCCCTTGCGCTTAGCGAGCTCCTCGACTCTGTTGATAATTTCCTGAGATTCAGGGCGCAAGCTGGCAACGGTCTCGCCAGTAGATCTGGCAGTGGTTCCGCGGATATTCAGGGGACGAGCAAGCTGTCCTTCTGCGAGAGGGCCCCACTAATGATAAAGCAATCCAGTCAGTTACAAGAATTGTGGAGGGTGAAGATAGGAAGGGTCTTACGGGGACAACAGCAACACCAGTCAGGTTGCAGTAACGGATCATCTCACGTTCTTCCTCACGGTACAGGAGGTTGTAACGGTTCTGTTTTCATGGTTAGCACTCCGCATAATCTAGTCGGGGTTTTGGAATGGTACGTACCTGCATGGCAACAAACTTGGTCAATCCCATCTTTTCGGCGTATGCCTGCATCATGACAAACTGGTAGGTGAACATGGAGGAGGCTCCGAGGTAACGGATCTTTCCAGCAACGACAAGGTCGTGAAGAGCGTGCATGGTCTCCTCAATGGGGGTATCGGGGTCGAAGCGGTGGATCCAGAAGACATCAATGTAGTCAGTCTCGAGACGCTTGAGGGAATCATCGAGAGCCTTAAAGATGGCCGACCGGGAAAGGCCTTTGCACGACAGTTAGTATGTCTACTTCACAGATGTAGTTGTCATAAACTCACCGAACTGGTTCACGTAATCCTTAGTCTTCTTCAGATCCTCAATGATGGGGTATGCGTGGAACTGTTGTTCTCCAACACAGCTGTAGGCCTTGGTCATCAGAACCAACTTGTGGCGGGGGATCTGATATTCCTTGATAGCCTGGGCAATAACGCGCTCGGAGTCGCCATTGGAGTAAATGTTGGCGGTATCCCACTAGATACAGTTAGTTTTCGGGTTTCTAACCAAGTGAGATGGGGGCACAAACAGTGTTGACACCACGGTCATAGGCAGCCTTCAGTAGGGGGAGGGCCTTATCAGCACCAATGACCCAGTTGGCCCACTCGGGGTTTCCAATGCTCATACATCCAACAATGGGAACGGAGACACGGAGACCACAGTTACCAAGGCGTCTATATTCGACCTTGGTCTCGGCCATAGACTTGGCGACTCCTTCGGGAAGGTTTGACATGATGGAGGTTTAGAGGTTTGAGGTTTGAACGATTTTCCAGTTTAACTTGCAATGGTTTCAGGTTTCGTCCTGACCTGCCTTTTATAATTCCTAATAGTATCTCTATAACATACATCTATACTACATTGCAGAGCAGAATCCGATGGTCGGGTCGGTTATGGTGGGGGAGGGGGAAAAATGAAGTGGAGGTTGGGGAAAAAGGGAAGGGCCGATTGGGGGCCGATGACCGAGCCGATGTTGGTTGCCTATTTAGGAACAGCCGCTCGCCTACCCAAAAGGGAAATGTCTGTTATCTCAAATAGGCAGGCAGATACACATTTCTGTTTTGGGGAAAGACGCGGGGTACGGGTTAGATGTGCTATTATGTAAGTAGAATCGAAATATAACTATACATGTACACGTGGTCCATTCAATCTACAGCTAATTTACAACGTGCAGTAGTAAAACACTAGTGTTATTTAGTATCTACTAGGTCGTCTCTCGGGATTAATGCCCAAGTCTCCCTGATGAACCTATCCGTCAATATGCAGAAGATAGCTTAATAAAATAATAAACTAAAAAGAAACTAGGATGCTTCATCTCTCAAGCTTTGACAGGTCCCCCGCCAAACCCTATCTAGGATTTGTGTACTCCGTTATCTAAGTAATTAACACTCTACACAGTAAGTTGCATTTATAATTCCACATGTTTGATCTCTCTAACGTTACAGCAGTGGAAAAATGTTATGGTAGCGTCGTATCGCATTTAATACAACATCTCCATGGGGATCGACTTAGCGTCTTATAGGATTCATAGAGCTCATTGACCCTTGGCGTGCGGGGTCCCGTATCTTTCAACTGATTGGACAGGCCAACAATAACAATAGGCGGGGAGTGGAAGTGGTGGCATGGTGGTTGAATACTTTTGCCGTGTGCTATCGGAGCGCCTGTGATAGTCACGCCTGGTCTTCGGCCGATTTTTATTTTTTTCCCTCCCCTTCATCATAGCCTCACCGAAAAAAAAAAATCAGTAATGAGTGGCCTACCTACCATCTCTCGTGAAGAGAATCGTCGCCCGTATGGTCCACGGTCGCGAAATGGCTGCCTGACGTGTAAACGCCGCAAGGTTCGATGCAATGAACGCAGACCTCGATGCTATCATTGCCAGCGTCTCAATCTGGAATGCGATTGGAAAGCTACCCAGCCCCGACAGACCCCCTTGGAAAACGACGCCGATCCGTTCAAGTCAAACGTCACTTTGGAGGTGAACCAGCTGTCGCAGGGTCCTCACATGTTTGACTTTCAATCCATGACAGCTCCCACAGAGGGCTTTTCCATGTTCCAAAATGTCTATTTTCCCGACTTTGGTGATTTTACCACCTTGGGAAACGCTTCCTATGAGCAGGCGCGATCTAGCGATGCAGATTCCCCGAATTCATCTAAACCCCAACGACAGTCACCACAACAATCCCCCAACGCCAATCCCGATGTCGAAAACCCACTACATTTACACTTGCCACCAATTCTTGATCCGGTGGAGAATGGCCCGAGATGCGCTTCGGCGCGGGAACTGCTGGAAAGCATGGCGGCCTCTTCCCCGATGCTCCGATCTTCGATCGCGGCCTTTGAAGCCATCCAGTCCGGAAGTGCGGGAGCGATAGCGGACTACCAACAACACTACGACAACGCTGCAACAGAGTTGTCGCAAAAGTTTGAAACATCCGCGGGGGAAATTATAATCAGCAATAATGAGCTCAGATACGTTCTGGCCACGATCTTTTTTCTTACATACATAAATGTCAGTTCATGTAACCCGGTGGATTGGTGGTTTGCTTTGACTGACTTGGAATTCAGTTCCTTACTGCACGACTGGATCTAGCCTATTTGAATCTCGGGAAGGCGCATAACGCCCTGCAAGCATCCGAGAGGGGTGCATTAGGCTCCACGGGTATGTAGAATAACTCGCTAGCTTGGTGCTCCACCTGCTAACGGCGTATCAGAGCTACGAATCATCTCTTGGATTCGGTTGTTAGACGCCCGAGCGGCATCGGCCGGTGGGGAAGGAGTCTTGGTCAATGACACGTCGGGAATCTACACATGTACCTCGCCCCAAAATTCGGCCTCCCCGAGCTCAACCCCGCAAAGCATGAGCTCCACCACCAATCCCGGGGCGCACGAGGTGATTTATGATTTGCTCTGCCAGCCAGGGATAGCGTTCTTTATGGAAGTCCAGACCATCACCGGTCGTATCACCAGAATCGCTCATAATCACCGTAGCCGAGGAAGTGTGGAGGACGAGACTGAGGTCATGGCTATTGCCGCGGATATTCTGTCGGATCTGGCATCCTTGTATGACCGGCGACCACCACTGACAGACCATGCTGTGGCCGGCAGTATTGGCAACGATACTCTGGCCGAGCCACTCGCGTCTACTATTGTTCGCTCATTCCAGACGTATATGGCTAATTTTTACGCCTGCTACATTCACCTGCATCGAGTCGCACACCGTCATTTGGTTCGTTCCAAAGCAGCGGTGACTGCACTATCCAAAATCAAGGAAATAGTACATTGCATGGTCAACAATAATGAATCTATATCGGTCAACATGTTGTGGCCACTATTTCTATGGGGTACTGAAGAAGACGACTATGACGAATTTCAATGGATCCTTGAGACCATTCGTGGTCTTCAACATGTCTTCACCAACGCGAACATGACCGCCGACGTGCTGCAGGAGACCCAACGGAGACAGCGTGAGGGAGGCAAGCGGGTTGACATTCGTTCAGTGTGCCTGGAGTTATTCTATACCACATTCGCTATTGTTTGAAACTCACTCATCGGCTTCTGTGAACGTGACATTTGACGGAAATGATGATTTTGCGATTTTTTTTTTCATTCTTCTATCATCTAGCGGGCATCAATATGTATACTTTTTGATCTCTATTTAAACCTTCTTGGCCTTCAGCTCCTCCTCAACGGGGAGAAGGGGTGCGACCAGGCGCACGACACGGTCTTGCTTCTCCTTGTCAGAGAACTTGGGGAAGGGGCGACGGCAGTGTGCGCTGGACAGGGGGTAACCACGCTCCTTGGCGATAATCCACTTCATTCCGCTGACATCGGATGTGCCAATTCCCCATTCGGGAAGGACCAGCTTCTTCTGGAGGGCAGAAGCCTCTGCCATCTTTCCAGCCATGTACAGATCGTAAATCTCAACCATAACCTGCCAAATATGTTAATAATAGATCGTTTTGCCATGGGCGGGGGTCTTCTCTTACCCGGGGGAAGATGTTGGCGACACCTGAAATGCAACCAGTGCTGCCAGCGGCGAAGGCAGCAACGAGCCAATCACTCATACCAGACAAACTGGTGAACTGAGCAGGCTCGAACTGTGTGGCGACTCTCTGGGCCTTGCCGACACCTCCACAGGTCAACTTGACAGCGGCGATATTGGGGTGGGCGCCAAGCTTCTCGAGCATGTCGCAGTTAACATCCAGACCGGACAGAAGGTTGGGGAAGTTGTAAATGACAATGGGAATGGGGGCACGGTCGGCGATCTCCTCGAAGAAGTCGGTAATGGCCTTCTGGGTCATGGCCCAGTGGAAGATGGAGGGCACCAGAGTGAGGGCGAAATCAGCACCGTTCTTGTAAGCGGCCTCGATCTGGACAAGGATGTCACGGGTGGAGCCAGCCAAGCAGCCCATAGTGACAGTGAAATCAGTCTTGCCATGGGCGTCGGCGATCTCCCGAGTCTTCTTGACCAACAGACCCTTCTCTTCGACGCTCAGAGTGGCTGATTCACCGCTGGAGCCGGCGAGGACAACTATGATTCGATTAGCTCTACACCGTCAATTTGGAGATCGTACCAATAAGACTTACCGCCGTGCATGCCAGAAGTGACCATGTACTCCAAGTGTCGTTCTTGGGTAGCCCAGTCAATCTCCTGTTGCTGATCATCCTGGAAGAAGGTGATAGAAGGGCCATGAATGCCGGGGGGGGAAGGACTTGTTGATCTTGGTGGATGCCATGGTTGTAGGATAGATGACTGTGAATATTGTGAATAATAGTAGATATCCATTACTACGAATTTTGGCACTCATTAAGTACTACTACTCCTTACTGTAGATGTTCGCATGTCTCCGCGTATCATGGGGATCCAGGTCCGTGATGTTGGACCCGATCGGGTCATATTGCGACGCGATCGGATCTCCGATCGGATCCTGGCGGTCGCATTTAGATTTGTGGAGTCATGGAGAGGGGTATCTCGTGGCGCCGGGTGGCATCGCGTGGCTGTCTTAGGTCGCTTAGATTCTTCGCCGCAGAAACAAGCCCCGGAAACTGTGATAATGCAGTCAGCATATAGATCTCTTGTGAAGATAAACCCCGGAACCAGTGGAACGGGTGGATATCTCCTAGGGTTTGCATTTTGCGGGGAAGTTGACGTATGCCAAGCAACTCAATTTGGGGACTATCTATCCATTCATACTCCTGCACTTTATGCCCCTTTGTCTATCAATTGTTCATCTATGGTAGATTAAAATTCTATCCTTTTGTCCAGATTATTCAGATTACTCAGATTAAGACTAGAGGCAGAATCCAATCTTCTATATAGATCCCTTTCTCTTCAGAAAAATAAACAGTTCATCCTCTCAGCTATTTCCACATCTCCTCTTTCACTCAAAAGGCCCACTTCTTCCCGGTAATTGTAGTAGAGTATCTTCAAGATGCTCTCCACTTTGATCCAATCTGCACGCGAGTGCTCCATCAAACGCGCTATCTCTTTATGTGCCATCCTCGCCATAGCAACTCCTGCGGCGAGCGCAGCCATCACTGCCAAACATACACTGGCTATAGCTGGGTCGGGAGAGTTTGCACACTACCGAATTGTTGCCCTGGCAAGCCTGGGCGATGGTATCCTCCTAGCCTCCTACGATGGACGCCCTGATGGAGGAGACTCCCCATCCCCCAATTCGATTATGCAACGGCGTAGTACGGACGGTGGCGCGACTTGGGGCCAGCCGACCTACATTGCCAAGGGCCAGGCCAAGACATCGTCCCTTCAACAGTACGGATTCAGTGACCCAAGCTACGTGGTCGACTCCAAGACTGGAAAGGTTTTCAATTTCCATGTCTTCTCGAAGAACCAGGGATTCGTCAACAGCGTGATTGGAAATGACGATACCAACTTGAACATCGTGAGCGCTCAAGTCTCCGTCTCAACCGATAAAGGTGTTAGCTGGAGCACTGATCCAAAAAATCAACCTTCCTTGCCTCCTGTTGCATCTTCTAAACTCGGTGCACCCCCACTCATCACCAAAGCGATCAAGCCGGTGGGTAGCACCGTCGATGGGGTTGCCAATGTGGGTGGAATCACCGGACTGTTTGCCTCATCTGGAGAGGGCATTCAACTCAAATATGGCGCACACGCCGGCCGCCTGGTTCAACAATTCCTCGGCAAAGTCATCCAGCCAAACGGTTCGAAGGCCTCGCAAGCCTTCAGCGTCTACAGTGATGACGGCGGTGCTACATGGAAGAAGGGAAATGTTGTTGGCACTGGAATGGATGAGAACAAAGTCGTGGAGCTGTCCAATGGAAATTTGATGCTCAACTCCCGCGCGAGTGATGGTAGCGGATATCGCAAGGTTGCTACCTCAACTGATGGTGGTGTAAACTGGTCAGCCCCGGCAACAGAGACCCAGCTCCCTGATCCTGGTAACAACGGTGCGATCGCAAGAGCGTATCCTGATGCGGCACAGGGTTCGGCCAATGCCAAGATCCTCCTGTTCACCAACACAAACAGCAAGACTAGCCGGAGCAATGGCACAATTCGCTATTCTTGTGATGATGGAAAAACTTGGTCTGCTGGTTCGGTCTTCCAGGCTGGCGCAATGTCTTATTCCACTGTCACTGCGCTCGGTAATGACAAGTTTGGAATCTTTTATGAGGGCGGTAACAACGACCTTGTCTATATTGAAGTTTCCAAGGCATTTATTGGTATTTCTTGCTGATTAAACTCTGACTGGTGATGCGCTTGCTTGGAAGATGGGTTTTTACATTATGCCCAGGTATATATATGTATTTACTAGAGCGTTATTTCCAACAGCATGATTGAGTACCTGATATATATACCATGTACCAAGATCAACTTGACAAAACGAAAATGATTCGCAAGATGAACATGATGTAGCAAGTAGAATTAAAACTCGGCAATAACTACCACCAAAACTATCCAAATAATAATTGCGTAGTTCCCTGTCCATGACCAGGACTAGGTCGGGTCTTGCTATCAATCACGGCACCCCACCATTTTCCTGTGGCCCAAATTTCATCAAAAAGCACAGGAACAGAATTAAACATGCTATAACGAGATTTCTCCCCCCAATACGCACAATATTCCTTCACAAAATGGCGCATATCTTCATCTGAGGTCTCGCTACCTGCAAGGAAGACCGGGATAAGGAGTTGCTTTTGTGTCTGGGATGTTCGTCGGCAACACCGAATGTGATCAATCGTCTTACGCACCAGCCTATTGACGCCGAGAGACCGCCTTTTGCGATCACTCTTGAATATATATTCAAGATAAAGGAGCAATGCATATCGCCAGGCCTCAGCACAGTGGTAGCGATCTTGTTGCTCGTGGAATTGCTTTATCGCCTCGTCGTCAGTCAAGTTGGAGTCGTTGTAACTTGACGAAGACTCTGCGTCGTTCTTCCACCCGATCAGTTCCTGTTCTATTTTTGTGATAGGAGTCATGTTGAAAGTCAGCCATTTCATGGATAAAGCGACCTCGCACTGCTTGGCTAACTCGGCAAGTTGAAATAAGTGAACAAGTAACTCTCGAGGACATCCAGTAAGATCGAAAAAAGACCATTCATCTTGTTTCTCCCATCGCACCAAAAAGTTAAGGTATGCTTGGTCCATGATAGGACTCTGCCGAGATATCAAGGCGAGTGTGGCATCCCACCTTATTTTGCGGGTCAGTAACACAACTCTCGATACCGAAGAGGGTTCAGGTTATTACCAGATTAGCATTGCGACTTGTGACCTAATGCGAGGTGTCGTCAATGCGCTTGGGCCTCCATGGGCCTGGAGCACTGAATGCGCCCGCATCAGGTGAGCTGACCAATTCCCAGTAGCGGAGAGGGCACACTGGGGATAAGTATTAGCATTCAGGCTCAGGTATCATCGGAATAAATGACTTGCATCGAGAGTAAACAGTATTAGTATAGGCTCCAATAGGCTCAGTACTGGGCTACTTTGTAATGCGCATTCAAGTAACTGAACAGCTTTCCGGCGATGTTCAGCGGCTTCACTTGGCCAACTACCATCCAAGCGCCCTAGGTGTTGACAGCATAGCGCTAGGATGGAATGAAAAAGAAGGCGTGAGCGTTGGGACGTCTGACGTTTGCAGCGGAATGGATTCACTGCCCCAGGTATGTCCCCTGTGAGAGGCAGCACACAGAATTCGGAGTCATCTACAGTATGATAAGCTTGATCCCTTATGATAAAATGGCGAATCGGTCAGAAATCTTACATAATTCAAGGAGCTTTTCATGGTCGTTGGATGAAATATCGGATATCATAGGAACACCTTGAACACGCGCGGAAGCATAAGAGATTGCGGGTTCTTGAATGGTTCGTGGAACCATATCACCTAGAACACTCTGCTCTCGTTCATCTCGAAACATGTCAATATTTTGAGCCATTGAGCTGGTTTGTAGATTATGTAACGCCGGCTCAACAGCCCTATCGGCTGGAGAAAGAGGTGTCATTGTCATTCTGGGTGTTTGTATCAGACCCGACGCTTCTGCTATCAGTGCCTCCTGGGGCTCGATATCGGGGAAGGGAGTGGACGCAAAAATGTTAGGAAGTAGGGAGTCAAATAAACTCAAATCATCAAAGAAATGTCCGTCTTGCAGTTCTAAAAGAATAAGGGGTAAGCTACATATATAGGTTTGAAACATTGCAGGGATAGGGACACTTAAACATACCCAGCCCAGCTAAGCTATTAGCTCTTTGGTGATCATCAAATAGCTCCAAGTTTTGCGCTGCGGTCCTACGCACGACCTCTGGGGTAATCGGGGAGGTTTCTGTTACAACTGGTTGTCTTGCTTGTTCCTTTGGCGAGTTGGCTCTTCGACGCTTCTTTGGCCGCGAGGCACCCTTGACAAAGCGAAAGCGTTTAGGTGAATCTGACCGCGCGGTAAATGCAGTGGGGACAGCCTTGGGGGAGGAGTCGGCGACGATCTCCTCATTCGGCATATCTCTGGATGCACCGGCGGCCGAAGGATTGTCTGACCACATTCGTCTAGGGTCCCATGAAAGAGGCATTGCAAAACCACCACATCTGCGGCTTTGACCAAGACATGTTGAACATCTAGGTCGACGCCGGTCGCACTTTTCGCCCAAAGAAGCACAAGTATGGCAGTCTGTTTGGGCAAATCCAAGGGAATTTGTTCTCTTTCCTTGATCAGAAATCATCACGTCAGATGCTGAAAGATAGTTCATTTCCTTTTTTTTTCCCTTGGTGTATTGTATGGGAGTAAAGGGCCCGCTCTCCTTCTGAATTAGGGAATTAATCGGAACAGGTGACATTGCCGCGGCATTGACCGCGGGACTTGTGTCATCTCTCTCTCTACATCGGCTCGCTCTATACACGTCGGACTCTCTTTCCAGGCTACATTTAGACTAATGCAAAAAATTAAACCCTCTAGGAAATGAGCTATTGCTAATTAACCCTAGTTAACCCCTCACGAGGTATCTCTTATCTCGCATAATATCCCGACGAGCCCAGTATGGCCACAATAGACCTGTTTTTAAATGAAACAATTATTAATGCAAATAAACTCCCAACATATTCTATGGCAGGGATTAGGGTTGCAAGTTTCCTAGGCCGATATCTCCAGCGCTTTTATAGCTTGGCTTGAACATTCCAAGCTTGATCAATGAGGTCAACCGCGGCCTGGGCACATCCATACGAGGATTGATACCCAGCACCTCCAGCACCATAGTTATGAACCACCAAGACTCCTCCAATACGCTCCTTTTCAATTCTAGTACCGCCCTCTCGGACAGGTCTCAGGCCAACTCCGTGACGGATGATGTCCAGATGTTCAATCCCCTTTCCACCCGTCAACGCAGGGCACATCTTGACAGCCCGCTTCATGATCCGGATTGCCAGGTTTGGGTCGGGTTGAGATTCCCAATTACCTTTCTGGTAAGACCCGCCGAGGATGGTACCTCCACCGGCTGCTCGAGTCATGACATAGCAGGCTTCTTCGTCGCCATCATCCGTACCGGACATGTCCAGCATTTTTCCTGCATCGTTCCGGACGATAACAATCTGTCCTCGTGCAGGGACCACCGTAGTGTCTTGCACTCCACCCAGCTTGGAAGCCATCAAACCTGTACAATTGACCACTAGATCAACACGGCCGTTCGGGTGGATGCCTGATGCAGTCGCATCTAGAATATGCTCAAATACGCTGCGCTTGAAAATGACTCCGTTGGACAGACATTGGGAAACAAGCCACGGGAGGTAGATTGCCGTGTTGATGCAAACGGAAGTGAAGACTGTGGCCGAATCAATGCCTGGACCAAGGGCCTCTTTTGGGAGTGCCCGGAACTGAGCTTCGAATTAGTATCCTGACAGGGGGAAAAGGTGTTCGCTGTCTTTTAATGCTCACATTTGGAACAACCTTGGCGAACCAAGGGTTGGAGGATAACAGCTCTTTGAACCATTCAGCCGTCGCTGACCCGACATCCTTCGTTCGATTGTGAATCTCACATTCTGTCCCAATTATTTAGCAAAGGTGACATGAATTGATAGAGATATGTCCCACATACCTTGGAAGTGTACACCTGCTCCGGGGTTGTTTTTCGCGAGATCTGCAAGGGGACCCCATGTGTTTTTGTCCCATTCGGCAGCATCTGTCCCGCTGATAGATACGCTATGATCTTCGATTAGCTATAAAATTGTCATAAGATCTTCAATTGGCTCAATAAGTTTGACCTACGGCATGTAATTGGCACCGGCCCATGGTGATGCGTATTCAATGTCGTAGTCGCCAGGCATATGTTTCGCTGCAACAACGATTTTGTAGCCAGGTTTCTTCGACAGCAGAAGAGCCGTCGTCAGTCCAGCAACGCCAGCACTGTTCAAAACATTAACAATTGTTCTGTGTCTCAGTATAGATCATCTTGGTCAACTTACCCAATTACCACGATGTTCTTCGTCATGATGGGTGGGTATTTCTTTCACTTCAAGATCCAAAACCCCCCTGAAAACGAGGAAAAGACTCTAATATAGCTATCAATTGTTTTGTTTGCTTGAAAACCAAATATCTCCAAGTGTTTTTCCCGATGTCACATGTCCCTTGGGTCTAGATCCGATGGACCCGCATTCCCGATCGGGAAATATCTACATTGCCCGATCGGGAATGCGAGGGATCCCCGCATCGGCTCCAGATAACGATAGCCACCTGCCCGATCGGCTCTTGTAGTATCACACCAGCTATTACCCATTGTAGCGATCGCGGTATCGAGGTCATACAGAGACATTTAAAGGTCCTTATATCTACCTAGAGATCTACCTTTGTTCACACACTCCTCAACTGTGCTAAGCAAACCTCCAAACCTCCAAACCTCCACTCCCAAAAAAAAACAGTCGACATGGCTACCATGGAGAAGATCTTCGCCGCCTACCAGGAGCGTCAAACCGCTCTTGCGGCCAACACCCACCCCTTCGCCAAGGGTGTCGCTTGGGTTGAGGGCGAACTTACTCCCCTCCACGAGGCCCGCATCCCCATCCTCGACCAAGGCTTCATGCACAGCGACTTGACATACGATGTTCCCTCCGTCTGGGATGGACGTTTCTTCCGTCTCGATGACCACATCGCCCGTCTGGACGCCAGCTGCACTAAGATCCGCATGCAGCTCCCCCTCCCTCGCGAGGAGATCAAGAAGATCCTGGTTGACATGGTCGCACAGAGTGGCATCCGTGACGCCTTCGTCGAGATCATCGTCACCCGTGGCCTGAAGGGTGTCCGTGGTGCTCGCCCCGGTGATATCGTCAACCGCATCTATATGTTCATTCAGCCCTATGTCTGGTGCATGGAGCCCGAGGTTCAGCCCACCGGTGGCAGTGCCATTATCGCACGCACTGTCCGTCGCGTTCCTCCTGGCTGTATCGACCCCACTGTCAAGAACCTCCAATGGGGTGATCTTGTTCGCGGTCTTTTCGAGGCTTCGGATCGTGGCGCCGAATACCCCTTCCTTACCGATGGTGATACCAACCTCACTGAGGGTTCCGGATTCAACATCGTTCTGATCAAGGACAATGTTCTGTACACTCCCGCTCGTGGTGTGCTTGAGGGTGTTACCCGCAAGAGTGTGATTGATGTTGCTCGCGCCAGCGGCCTTGAGATTAAGGTTGAGTTGGTTCCTGTGCAGAAGGCTTATGATGCGGATGAGATCTTCATGTGTACCACTGCTGGTGGTATCATGCCCATTACCACCCTTGATGGAAACCCCGTGAAGGATGGAAAGGTTGGACCTGTTACCAAGAAGATCTGGGATGGATACTGGGCTATCCACTATGATGATGCCTACAGCTTCGCGATTACCTACTAGGTTACTCCCGTTCGGTTATTTTCACGATCCATGATGCACGGTCTGGTTATTTGGGACAGTATATAGAAGTTACGGATTACTGGAAGCCAGTGTCATCACTAGGCTACCAGTGTGGGATTGTCAATGTTATTAATGAAATCAATCAACCAAAATCAAAATCACAGTTTTACTTTAATTTTTGCAAGGCCATTGCCGATTGCCTTTTTCCATCGTATTATGCGCCTACCTCACAGATGGGCCTCGTTCGGCATCTCGATGGCTGCAAAATAGCCTTTCTTTACTTTGCACAATACCGTGGCAAAACGATTTGCCTTGGAATGATTGAACGTTACAGATTTCTGTGGACAAGGATACATCGCAGATTCTATCCTTAATTTGCTGCTCCTTACCAAGTCCCTCAAGCGTATCATGGTTGATACTAAGTCTCTTCAAGGTTGAATATTGGGATATCTATACGAGTCACACAAGTGCTGGGCAAGGCTGCTTAGTGCATGAGAGCCCTTTAGGATGCCTAGATAATCTTGATTATATATGATTATATATGTCTCTTGAATGGACATTTAGTTGGCTGCAAGTTACATCATCTGGATTCCGTATATTTTATAGACGACATATTATTTTCAGGAGCCTTCAGTTTCCTCAATGATGGTGGAAAATTTGCTGAGGACTTGCTTCAACGCAGGTCTTCGAATGGGTTTACTGCTTTCGTTAGTGACAGATCGAGGTCCTGCTTGTTGGCACCAACTAACCTTATGAACATATCCATTCCGCAATCCATGCAGTCCTTGATGTTGCTTTCTTCTGCAAAGGCACTTAATGCGACAATGGGCGCAGAATAGCCCATCTGTCGTATAAGTCGGGTGCTCTCGAGGCCATCGAGGATCGGCATCTGCATTGGTTAGTGTTTTCATAACTGTGCGAGAAAGAAAATTCTTCTTACTTGGATGTCCATGAAGATTAGATCAAACACATCTCCCTTCTCCATATTTGATTTGACAGTGTCATATGCCTCTTGACCGTCTTTGACAATTGTCACATCATAGACCTCCTCCAGCGCAAGCATCCTAGTATCTAAGTCAGCATTTGAAATATCTCACGGAAGGTTTTATCAGCACGCACCGTCGGACAACTTCCTGGTTGACAGTGTTATCTTCAGCAACCAATACACGGATCCGTTTCGTATCGGATGAGTTTTTATTGGATGACAAATTGCTGGGTGCTGATGCAGGAGATGATGGAACTGTCGGCGTGAAGAATGGTTGACTCAATCCAACTAAGCGTGGTTGAATTTCTGACTTCTCGAATCCAGGCGCAAGGGGTTCGTTCCTCACTGATCCATGGTTTGAGGGTGTTCGCGCGGCGTGGGAGAAGTCTTCCAGGGACAGGACACTTGGAGTCCGCGATCCTGGGACGCTTGAAGCATGTGTGCTTGGGGGCACTTCTTTGACATACCCCAAGGGGATTCTCAGAGTGAAAAGAGACCCTTTTCCTTCTTCGCTATCTAACAGAATGTCACCTCCCATAATGCGGGATAACTGAGCACAGATGCTGAGACCCAAACCAGTTCCACCGTATTTCCGATTCAATCCTAGGTCACCCTGAACGAAAGGATCAAAGATACGCCGGTGGAGATGAGGAGGAATACCTGGCCCGTTATCTTGAACTTCAAATTGGAAGTTAAGCTGGTGAAGATCGGACTGTGATACTCGCTGTCCTTTGGGTTGACCCTCGGTCGTATCGGCAGTGCCTCGGGTCGACGAATTGACACTTGAGCCGGTCTGGGACCGGATTCGTGAGTTGCGTCGAAGCGTCTCATTCAGAGCCAGGCCATTGATTTCAAGTCTCAAAGGCTCTTCCACAAGGCGGATGCGAACTTCTACTTTCCCGTTCTCGGGTGTGAATTTGAGACTGTTGCTGACCAAGTTGATCAGTACCTGGAGGATTCGATGTTGGTCACCCCAAAGGACCATATCTGCCATTCTGCCAGACTTTGTTAAACCCAACCCTGAATGGGTCCGTTCCAATCCGTTTTCGCGACATGAACTGCCTCTTGGCTCCATCATTCCACTCGAAACAAAGCTGACGCTGAAGTCAATGTGCTTCTCATTAACTTGATTTTGGAAGATGATAGCCAGTTGCGCTCGAACATCCGACAACTTGAACTCCTTCTCCTCGATCTGAATAGCCTGGTCAACTTGATTCTTACTGAATGTAAGCAGATCGTTTAAGAGGTGCAAAAGCAGATCGCCCGACTGATAGACCACCTGAAGTGATTTTTTGATCCGGGACAGGTCCTCCTCGCCCATACACACGGCACACATGCCGAGGATTCCATTGAGGGGAGTTTTGAGCTCATGAGAGATGTTGGCGATAAACAATGTCTTGCTATCATTGGCGGTTTCCGCGGCCAATTTGGCCTTCTCAAGCTCTCTAGTGCGCTCAGCCACTCGCTCTTCCAGCCGATTATACTGAATAGTGAGCTCATCTGACATCTCGTTGTAAGTTTTCGTCAGCTCGGTGAGCTCATCCGTGACACAATGTCTTCGTTCTTTGACTCTGCCCGGTATCTGGAAGTCTCGGTGAGTTCTTGTATTGCCGATAGTTGTGGAACTGTTGAATCGCCCCAGGGGACGCCTTAGGCGTTTCGCCCACGTGCTAGGGGAGCTTTTCTCATTCATGTGCTCCACAATTCTTTCAACTAAATCACCCGGTTCATGGTCGGCTTCGAATCCAATCTGTTGTGGCTCCGAGGTGGGGCGATGTGGTGTAATCTCGGGCTCGACGGATTTCTGGGCTGCTGCGCGCAATCTTCGGATAGGAGCAACTGCCCAGTGGGTCAGGATAGGGACCAAGAGGATTATGGCGCCCGCTGTGCCAAAAACACATGCAAGAATAATCTTCCGTAATCTGGCAACTGGTGCAAATGCCTCGGAGTGAGTCTCTTCTACAAGAAGAACCCATTGAACGAGGGTGCTTTGCGGACGAACTGCACCCACAGCAACACTCGCCCCTCGTTCGTTTCGAGATGACAGATCACTCATCGCTTTGCCTCCGTTCATGTATGATTGTAACAAGGTTTGTAGAGCCATCGGGTATGTAGAAAGGATAAACGGCGTATCGGTCGACATGCCACTGTGCCGGCTAATTTGGGTGGGCAAAGGGGTAGGCTCGAACACGTAATGAACATGCGCTCCACTAAGACCGGCAACACGAGCGCTAGATGTGGCTGTTGCAGGCTGCTCACTAGAAAGGAAGGTGTTTGCTCGTCTTGAGGGTCCAATGAGGAGAATCTGGCCGGTATGTGCTAGCCCATCTCGCGAGCTAACAACACTCTGTAAATTTGCGGCACTAGCAACAATACTGAGGGATAATTAGTTTTGTCTCCAGTGTTTCCTACGCATTCAGAAAAGCTACTCACGTTATGAAGCCCAAGATTTCTATATCTGAAGTGTTGTTGACAATAGGCAGGGTCAATGACAGGAGAGAGAAGGAGTTGTTGACTTTCAATGGACCAAGAAGCATTGCCGAGTCTAGTCCAAGTTTATAATCGGGGAATGAATAAGCAGTTGCTGAGTCGTTGGCGCTCGGCCCGCCATGGTAAGTCAGATTTGGGTACAGAGAAGGAGGGTAGCCCAGTCCATCATTTCCCAATTTCACAGCAGTCCCGTTCGAGTACGTGTATGGAAGGGTGATGTCCGGAACAGTGTCACTGGTCTGGTTTAGTAAAGCATTTGCTCCTCCATGGCCGTTCTTTGAATAGATGATGGCCTGGTAAAGGTCCAAATAACCTCGGCTACCAAGGGCCGATTGAACATCCGCTATGGAATTAGTCCAGTTCTCGTCGGATGTGTTCCCCGCATAGTAACGTTTCAACGCTGATTGGATCAGGATTCGTGTGGCGATGGTTTTGCAGGTTGTTTCTAGAAGATCCAAATTTGAAGCAATTTGACTGGCCTTGGTGGTCGCAACGAGTTCGAGGCCCTTCGATCTACTCAAATCTCAGACGTGTGTTAACAGATTAGGAAGCAGCACATACTCGACATCCACAACAAAATTATAGGTGGTAAACCACTGAAATAGTCAGATGCGGTTCTCATTCATGCGATTCGAACTCCCTACCGTTGCGATAGCTAGAACCGCGACCCCCGAGACCGCAGTCAGCAACACCAGCAGCCCAAGCTGCACAGCAATGGGAATCCTCATTCAATCACATAAGACCAAGAATGGGTAAGATAGATAAGTTTGTCTGATAACTATCACGGTCAAAGGACAGTTCAAGCGTAGAGAAATCGAGATACCTGGTGAAAGTCAACGCCCGTGCCAAGATCCTATCTTGTCACACCTACATGAGTTCTTCAAGTATTCGTTGTGTTTGCTTTTTTTTTGCGATTTTTTTTCAGATTCTAAGAGAAATAAAGAAACAAAGTGATAATGCTTAGGTGAGATGGAAGAGAGTAGGACATTATGGGGGAGTGAAAACTGTCAACCAGGCAAAAAAGTGACCCAAATAGGTAAAAACTGTCAAAAGCAAGGCACAAACAGTCTAGAGGGGACTAGATGCATCGAGTGGCGACGTGCCCGGGATATTTTACAATTGGCATGCGACTTCTCCTATTTTATCCTGTACAATGTGTGAAGTTGGTATTTATTTGACGATGAAGGTGAAAATTGCCGACCTTCAAATTCCAACGCGATTGGATGGATGTGACAGCCGAACCTCCATTTCTGATTGGTCATATTTTTCTTCTTTTGAGACATCAAAATATCTTAATGGATGTATATTTCTACAGACTTTGTCCTAATATAGAACTAAAACAGAGACCAACAACACAAGTCCAATAGATCCAAACTGGCTTCTCGGGATATTGCCTCCGTTATCCTTAGTGCCGCTTGTGGCTTCACCTTGAGTCTCAGTAGGAGTGCTGGACGCGTTTTGAGTAGTCGATGTCGAGGTCGATGTATTCTTTGTGGCTAGATTCATGTGCTCAAAAGCAACCAAGTTGGAGGTAAAGACACTGGTAGCGCTCAATTGTGCCTCCATACCTGCAGTGCCATCCCATTTCGCCTTGTACCACTGTTGGCCACAAACAGTCCCATTGTCACCACCTGAACATTGTTTGGCGGCTCCAACGGCGGACCCCTGCAATCTCTGTAGGATCTCGGATTTGGTATGAGGGGCCATACGGGTGACACCCGCAAGGTCAGACGCAAAAAGTCCCTTGAAAACCTCCTGGTTCTGGTTGCAAGTTTTCACGGTCTCGCAGCTGCTCTCTACCATGATCTTGCCACCGTACTTCTCTGGGAAGAACTTATGGAAGCTTGTGTTGAGAAGACCATCGAGGCCTGATTTCCATTTAGATGTTTCCCCATTTGTCTTTTCTTTATGTTAGCGATCCTCGCGATCTTCAATCCAGACTTGGATACTGACCAGGTTGTACATATAAGCCGCCCCACTGATATATTCTCCGTAGCTGTAAGTCCACTGCAGATCTTGGTATGTCTTGCAATCGGATTTAACATCTACCACATCGCCAATCGTCCATTCGGTGGTGTTCAAAATCGGAACACTAGCACTCCAGTCCCATATCTTCTCCGCCCAATCGGAGTAGGTCTGGTTTTCGGTGTATCGGGCCAGACGCGCGGAGAGCTGAAACAGTCCGCCGTTGCTCATAGCATTCTTGATATCGTATCCATCCTGGTACGGGAAGATTTGCCAGCGCAAGCCACCATCGCAGCTCTCAGTATCCCATCGCGCAATCTGGGACTGAAACACACCATCGGCTAATGTCAACCACGAGGGCTTCGAGGGATCCTCGGTGTATTCCAGCTCTGCGGCAGTCATAGCAGCGAGACCCCAAGCCACTTGGTCGTCGTTACCCAGAAATTGGCTGTAGTTGGAAGGGAAGTAGTTGTTGTCCCCACGCTGCCAATACATGCCTTGACTCACAGCCTTGTTGTTGGAAGAGTCGCCGGTAAAATACCAATATTCGATCATTGTCTGGAACAAAACAGCGCCCCGCCACCATGTCCCATCAAGTTTACCAGGAATATTTCCTGTGATGTTGGAAGTATAGGTTGACATGGTGTTGAAGGCGGCAGTGGCTGCCGCGTTCTTGATAGATTCTGCTTGCATGTCAGGTATACTCAAATCCAACAATGTATTAATAGAATAGCCTACGCTCATCATTGATCTTGAGATCGATTGCCGCGGCAGAGCCTGCTAGGATGGCAACAGCAAATGCCGGAAGATTGTTGAACATACTGCGATCACAAAAAGGCAAACTTAAAATGAAACATGAACAAAAGGAGGATGTTATATTTTCATTTGTATAAGTTCCATCGGAACTCGGGGCTGAGCCCCTTTCAGAGGAAATCAGCACTAGCCCCGTTTAGAGTTCGTAACATGTACTCCGTACGTAAGAAAAACCGATAGCTCAATATTATCTTCCGGGAAAAGGACCAGATCTCGTTTCATCTGTATTTTATGTCCTCTGGATTCACGTATGAACCAGGCCAAGGCCAAGCAGGCCAAGAGCTGCACAAGTCTAATGCGACTCTTGGATTTTAGGTAACTACAATTTCTATAGGACACACAAAAGGTGCTTTAACATCGGGATCCTTTGAATATATATGTTTCGACCACATCACTGTTTTTATATTAAATAGACATCTTGTGAAGTTGATCTAGCCTGTGTAACATAGTACGTGTAGTTTAAAGACTATGCCGGAATAAAACTGTCTAGAATAAAAGCTATTGGAAAGATTTCGCATCATACACTTCTGATTGGAGTTTTTCATTTCTTACTTTCAAATCCCAATAACAGTCTTAGCTAATTGCCCTAGGTTTGTTATCAATCTACCTTCCTATAACTGTTATGTGATTGAAACATGTTTAAAGGATACCGATTTCGAAGTACCTTTGATATGCGCATCCCATAAAAAAAGTAGTTACTTAAAATCAAAGATTTGCATTGGTCTAGCTTTTGCATTAGATTCGTGCGGCCCGACACCTAGCATGGGCGGTTAATAGCCATTGACCGGATATATTGGCGGCCGAAGCCGGCACATCACTACCTCTTATATACTAGATCTCCCGCTTCCAACGGGTGGCCAAGGTTAAACGATGGCGCGAAGAAAGCTTATTTCACAATAGAGATGACTGGAATAGAAAGGCACATATTCGTAGATTATTACATATTTCTAGCACTACAAATTTAACTCTTCGATGTCAGTCAGGTAGTGGGATATCCGCAAATCGATCAGCGAAAAAGTGGCTTCAATTAAACCAAAGAGGCGTGGCCACTGCCTGCATTTGTCACGCCTAATCGATATAAAAAGTATAGACATCTAACAAGTCAACAAAACGACACCGTATAGTAACATTTACTGGGTGTAGCTGCAGCCATTGGGCTTGGAGGTCTCAACAACACGAGCAGCAATACCGACACAGTCGGAGTTGCCAGCAGGGTTGGAGACACCAGCAGAAGCCCAGATGCTCCAGGCACCGTCAATGCTGTTGGGGCAAGCGATCAGATCGTTTCCTGCGAACTGGAGGTGGCCATCCTTCTCGGTCCAACCCTCGCGCTCGGCGTTTTTGGGGGTGGGCTGGGCACCAGTGGTGTATCCTATCTTGCCCTGGCCTATATATGAATTAGTTATTTGCGGACCTAAGGCAATTGTGAGAGGTAACATACCCATGCCGGAACGATCGACATAGATCTCCTGGGGAGTGGCAGACTGATCATAGAGGTACAAAGCACCGTCGAGGATGTAGAAGGTAGCCTGCTGCTCCTCAGGACGAGCGCAGCTGGCACCCTGGTTAGGGAGACCGGCGAAGATGCTGCTCTTGGCGGCGTTGAAGGCGGAGTATTGAACGGCACTGCCGGAGTGAATGGCGACGACGCCGAAGGTCTTGGACTGGGTGGAAGGGGCGGCAGAGGCAACGGCACCGACGGAGGCAGCGATGGCGAGGTTCTTGAGCTGCATATTTGCGGATAGGGAGACTGAGAAGATTTGAGAAAGTATGAGAGTGGTTTAATTGAGAGGATTGATGATGGTTTAGAATTGACTTGAGATGGTGAAATGGGTTCCCTCTTTATACTTGAGCGCCTCTCCCGTCGCCGAGGTTGATGTCTCACCTATCGAGAACTATATAAGTCTCCGGCGTAGATATCCCGCAAAATGACACCAGTATGACTATTTTATGGGGCAGCCTTGTCGATCCCTCCTCGTGGTTCAATCAATGTCTCATCCCTTTAAGGATTACGGGGCATAATATCACAGATTCGGATTTATTTATTGGAAATGAACAGTCTTTCACAAGTCATTATTGGTATTTAGAGCGCGACTATTTTCAAAACCTCAATTTTCAGATTGAATATCCTGAGAAAAATACCTTGCAGACCCTGAAGGAATTCATGGCTCTCCACATTTTTTCATGTTTCTCCGATTTATACCCACGAGATCCGAATCAAGGCCAATTAGGGTCTAATGCCTTTCTGCACCGGAGAAACCCATGTAATAATAGAGTACTGTGCAGACCGGTTGTTTGACTCCCTTCGGGCATTTCAGGTGGCAAGTCACGTGTCGAACTAAGAATAGCACTGGAGTGGCTCGCCGTTCGCACTAGTTTAGGGCGAATTCCTTTCATTCCACTTCAAGGCTGCAGGTAGTAGTTGAGAATTCTAAGTGTTATATTGTTAGGAATAATATGGCTTATGAGTATTGAAGAATAACATTATAATATATCTACATATTTCGCTTGCTCCATGAATCATGAAGATGCAACGCCTAGAAATGAATTTCCCGTCTCGAACCAAACCAGGGTTGAGAGAATTTCTGTACAAGCGCTAGCTTGAGCATGCTCATACCCATATTGAGATGTGCTAATAACAAGAAAGTGATTTGCCTTACTCGGGAGCAGCGCACGAGAAGACACCACCAACTTCTCCTTTTTCGTACTTGATCATCTGTTGAGTGAGTTAGCGCAATTCCGGTCAAGAGTATCATGGAAAAACTTACAATGTCGTCAATGCTGGAATAGGTTCCTCCGACAAGTACCACCATACCAATCACGAAAATCAATATGTTGATGGCTCCCTTGAGCAAGTTCCTGTTCTCTCTCCAACTGCCTTTCCGAAGGAGCATGAACCACATCATGGCAGGGAAGTAGAAGGTGAAACCGGAGATGAAAAGAGCAGAAGAGATCGAAAGCAAGTCGTTAAAGAAAGGAATCACCTCGGCAATAATGAATGCCACAACGGTGGCGGCAGTGATCACAGCCAGCCACGTCAGCCATCCCATCTTGGTGTTGATGAAGCGGATGGGGGAGTTCTTGAAGATGCGACCGTGCACCACACGCCCAAAGACAACGGTATTGATCGAACCACTGATGAAGATCACAGGGAGAGCAACACCGTACGCAACGCGGCTGAGGGTAGTTCCGGCAGAGGTAAGTGCAGGGCTGGACACATCCTGGCCAACAAAGGCGTAGATCAGAGCACCAGTAATCGTGTAGATAAAGATCTCGGTGATACCCAGCGTCCAGATCGACTTGATGAAGTCCCGAGGAGTGTGCATTTCGTCCATGAAAGAGAACTGGCACATGGCGAAGCTGTAAGCGAAAATGATGTTCGTCACAGCGATGAAGGCTTCGGTGAAACTGATGTTATCCTTGGGCCACGCAGACCATGGGACTGCGGAGAGTCCACCGGGCGAGTTCGTCGCTTGCACACCGGTACCGATAATGGTGATTCCAATGGCAATGATGATGGATGCAAAATCAACATAGCCCAGAATGGCCACCTCGGTGAAACTGGGCGGGATAGCGAGCAAGAGCAGGATGATGGCAGAAACCACCGCAAAGATGATCGAGCAGATACCGGCTTTGGTGATGTCGAGGAATGCGATGGTTCCTGTCAGACAGTGCGAAGCCGTGAGGAAGATTAATTGGAGACCGAGCATCGCATTGACTAGCTCATATCCAAAGCGGCCACACCCTAACCGACGACCCATCAACCGACCCGCATCGGCATAATTGGCAACCTCGGGGAAGGCCAATTTCACCATTCCAACAATGTAACTGGTATAGATGGCGATGAAACCGATGCCGACACAGCAGATCACACCGGGGACCATGCCAAGTACCGCAAATGTGGAAGGGATCGACAGACTGCCGAGTGCAATGGCCTCGACAATGAGGACGATAGTGAGTCGCTTCCAGCCGAGACGGTTGAACTTCTTGATGCCGTGGTCGTAGACATTCCTCTCAGCCTCACTCATCTCCCCGACCATGTCCCCCTCGAATGGTGGAGGGGGAGCATATGCGGTCTTCTCGCCGTTTGCTCCCATCACCTTGTCGGTGTCATATGCGGTCTTCTCGCCGTCCGCTCCCATCACCTTGTCAGCGTCATGGTCGTTGGAAATATCTTCGAAGCCCATGATGGTGGTGGTGGAAGGGGAGGCTGGTCTGGCCGGATAGGAAGGGGAGGGAAAGGGTGTATAAGAAGGCAAATTTCGCGCACATCGAATGCGGCACTATCGGGAGGCAAAGCAGGATTTCCATGACTAACGAGATTTGATGAGCGTTACTTGGCTGGTTCAACACGTGGAGTACGACGCTGATCCACTTACACTGATCGGCTATCCAACGAGCTCACCGGAAACAGGGTAGGGACCCCATTGGGAATATGTGGAAGTGGATGGAAGTGGATGTTCACTGGATGGACCAATGTAATTTTAGGCGAAACGTACCGTCCGACGCCCCAGGTGCCCCGTTCGACCCAGTTTACTTACCGTCGTATGATAAGAAGGTTCGGAACAGTTAGGTAAAAGAAACTCAGCATTGGTGTAGGCGTAGTAAAGGGCCACTTGGGGACCACTTGAGTGCCACACTACGCTTTGACAAGGCACTTAAACTATATCCCCGCGTTACTGATTGCGGGGAGAAATAAAGCGGTAATTGTATAGTAGAATAGAGTATAGAAATCATCAACGGCAGGAATGATAGAGGTTTTCTTAATCACGCCACAGTAGATCCCGAGAGCCGAATTGCCAATGAAAGACTCGGGGGGGTTGGCTAGGCGCAGACTCGCCCGTCTGGGCGGCCGATAAGATTTGGGGCTGGTTCACGTGACTGCTGCAAACAGACCTCACCGGTCAATAAGGGGGTAATATCACATCAGCACATGGTACATTGTCCCACCTCCTTACGGAATACAAAGTTCAGATAATGCGGGTATTCTCGTATACTATGCAAGCTAATCATTTAGCCTTATTTTACCTTTTTTTTAATCCATAGCAACAGATCCTTTTGAGGTATATCCTAAAACCTGGAGAGCGCCACCAACGCTATCGGGTGTGGCCATGCGGGCCGTGGGAAAATACCGCAAATATTGACCTCATGATTCGCCGGCTTATCTAGAACTCAAACAGGATAATGGAGATCCTCCCCCAAAGTCGGCGGGTCATGGATATTATGGCGACATATCCTTTGTACGTAATTCCCCCAACTTTCGGTTACAATGTTCTTTGATGACCATTGCTTATATCGGTGCTAACGCCCCCAGGCTAGTTCCCCGCTAACATAATGCCGCGAAAGACCCCCCGGGATACCCGGAAGCAGCGGGTCATCTCGGGTATCCTCGAACTCGATACACATCCCCATGATTTTAATGGGAATCTGTTTCATGTCCAGTATGTGGTATATCTCCGCTGATGATCTTGTCGTCATATAGAAGGTCGTACCTTCTAGTTCCCCGTCCACATTTCGCGACCTTCCATTGCTCCATCCCCGCAGCCGTGTCAATGACCGAGTACGGGGTAAAGACTCCGACCGCGGTATTCGAGCAATATACAGCCTCAATGGAAGTGGGATGACTTCCCCAGGCGCCCTCTCATATCCACAGCATAGCGAAATGCAGATCTGTGTTCTCCATTGTCACAATCGTCAAACGCATTCACCCTCGGGGGTGCCGAGGTCGGCTCTCCTGACATAATACAATCTGGTCAACAGACGGGAAATTGAGCCGCGATGGATCTCACAAGCGATATTAATGTCTATCGAAAGTGGTCCAAATTCTTCTAGCTCCGTTTTCAAATTGCTTTGCTTCCCCACCCGATGGTGCGGTTCAGATTTTCGTGGAATGCGTTCTGTCAAATGAAGCTTACCCTTCTCCTTGGAAGATCATCCGACAGGCTTCAGCTTGGCTTTCATCTCTGAGCTTTGCTCAATGCGTCGAGGATTGTAATGACGGCAGAAAACTTCGCGATTAATCCAGAGACAATACAGCATGTCGTTAACACCAACGTTGCATATCTTCAAGGCCATCGAGGCTCCACCGCGGTGATGGCCGTCTCTTGAGTCGGAGAACTCCGGATCCATGACACCCTAATAGGGTCCATATAAAGAGATGTCGTCAATTGGCGTATCTACACAAATAAGAATTCAGGATAAACATCCACTGTCTCGTGTTTCTTGATTCTATGCATACAACATAACTCATCGTCACTGCTTTCCTGCCTTCACTGCTGTAGCACAGCCACTGGGCAATTGACTCTGAACACTAAACTTTCACTGTCAATTCTCTAACGGGCCTCGACTAGCATTCTTGCTTCAAGCAGTCAGTAATTGACTGTCCGACGTAATCGACGTTCTGTTTGTTGAGCCCAGCAATTGATATACGAGAGTTGTCCGCCATGTAGATATGATATTTCTCTGAGATCGCCAAATGTCAGTATGTCACCAAAAGATCAATTCCAAGGCTAGAACGAACCGCGAAGCTTTAGCACAACGCTTGGAGATAGTCCCAGGAATCCAAACATTCCAGACTGGCGGATCAGGTGGTCCCAAGTTCCAGGTGCGCCTACTCATGTTAATAAAAGTCATTGATCGCATACGTTGGAGACACAATGCTTACCGGAGGCCACCAAGCTATCGTACAATGCCGTCCTCATCGAGCGAATTCGGCCGCTCATGGTGATCAGATCATCATGCCAAGCCCCCCGAAGGGTGGCATCGGCTAATATGGTGCTCGCAATTTTCGCACCATAGGCCGGGGGGTTCGAAACTTCAGAACGCTGAAGCATTTCAAGCATCGATTGGGTCTTTACGGCCGCTTCTTCGGTGCTGGTTGCTAATAAAAAGCAGCCGACTCGTTCCCCTATCAAATATTGTTAACTGCTATTCCGACCATGAACTGACCATGGCACGAATATATACCATAGAGACCCATGTTTTTCGCAAACGACAGACAAACTCCAGCTTCCAAATTCATCTCCTCGATGAATAATCGAATGGCAAAGGCATCGTTATCAACATTGCCGGAATTGAAGCCTAAATAGGCAGTGTCAAAAAGTGGGAACAGCTGTCTCTCTTTAAAGAGGCGCGCAAGTTCTCGCCATTGCTCTTTGCTCGGATCACAGCCTGTTGGGTTGTGAGCACATGTATGGATGATGAAGACAGACCCGGGCTCGGCCGATTTCAATGCCGAATAATAAGAATCAATATCCAAATCTTTTATCTCCGGGTTGTAGTATCTGAAAAATTCACACTGGAACCCAAGTGACGAAAACACCTGATGGTGGTTCGACCATGTCGGCTCAGGTATGTATACTTTGGGAAGAGGCGTCTTGCAAGCTCTTAGCAACAGTCCAGCCAAGTGTAGTGCTCCAGTGCCGGAGAGACTTTGGCAAGTCGCCAGCTATTTATACACTAATCAGCTTTTAAAGATTCAATGCTGTGGCATCGGAGTTGGAGTTGCCAGTACTTTATCCTGTTGCCTTTGAAACAGCTCTGAGCCTAGTGCTAACTTTGCAGCCTCTTTGCGGAAATTTGCCAGACCAACAATAGGGAGATATTCGTGATTCAACTCCTGTGCTAGCAACTTCCGACTCTCGCGGACCGAGGGGAGAACCCACGGGTTCCCGTGCTCGTCACGGTACGTCCCCTGGCCCAAGTTGACTTTCTTGGGAGATTGATCTGCTACATACTGAGCAGTCAACGCAAAGATTGCATCGGGTGGGATGAAACGAGCCTGGTCAAACCAGGACTGAGTAGTAACGTTCCGAGCGCTGGTTTCAGAGGTCATCGTGTAAAATCGGTTCAATTTAGGACTGCGACGGAGAGACTGCATGGTCAATCTGGGCTATTTAGTATTAAAGGAAGCTGTATGTCGACAGGAGTCATCCTTGAAGTGATATCATACTCGGGTTCCAGGCCGAGTCACCCAAATACACCCCTCCGCATTCACTAACCCATTTAAGGAAATATATATCGGTCGGAGATGGGGCCGGTTAAACAAACTAGATACAAAGACTGCTAATTCGCTGATCGGGTGGAGGACCCGAAAAGTGGGCTCTTTTAGGTTGGTGATCTATGTACGAGATTGGCTTCGTCGGTGTCGACATCCGACATTGGCAGTTCAAACGTCAAAACAGCGGCCAAATAGCTTAAATTGATCGGAGATATGACCGTTTGCCCCTCATTTTGTCCCGAGAGGAGAATACCTCATCAGATCTGGATATCTTATAAGAGTTGTACTGGGACTAGAACTACTGACACTTGTACCGACTCAACCACTCAGTACTTTCGATACATACTTCTACAACCTCTACAATGGGTTCCCTCGCCGTTTCTCCTCAACCCCATGTCCCTTCGTCAGGAGTCTGGTGCCCCGCAGTCACCTTTTTCCACCATGACACCGACACACTCGACCTCGACTCCCAATACAAGTACTTTGCCTACCTATCAACAACCGGTCTAGCAGGTCTAGTGATCTTGGGCACCAACTCAGAGGCCTTCCTCCTCACCCGCGAAGAGCGATCCCAGCTCATCTCAACTGCCCGCGCCGCCGTTGGACCCGATTTCCCACTCATGGCCGGTGTGGGCGCCCACTCAACCAAGCAAACCCTCCAACTCGCCCAGGATGCCGCCGACGCCGGCGCCAACTACCTCCTCGTCCTCCCTCCCGCCTACTTTGGCAAAGCCACCAACATGAACGTGGTGAAGCGCTTCTTCTCCGAAGTCGCAGCCAAGGCCCCTCTTCCAGTCCTGATATACAATTTCCCCGGTGTGTGCAACGGGGTAGACATGGACTCCGATACTATTACCGCGATCACACGCGAGTCCGCGGCTAGCGGACGATCCAACGTGGTAGGAGTCAAATTGACCTGTGGATCTGTGGGGAAGATCACCCGGCTGGCTGCAGCATTTGCGCCCGAGGAGTTTGCCACTTTCGGTGGACAGTCTGATTTCCTGATTGGTGGGCTGGCTGCAGGGAGCGTTGGGTGTATTGCCGCTTTCGCGAATGTCTTTCCTAAAGTGACGGCGCGAATCTATGCTTTGTATCAGAAGGGTCAGATTGAGGAGGCTGTAGTGCTGCAAAGGAAGGCGGCGCTAGCGGAAAGTGCTATTAAAAGTGGTATTGCGTCCACGAAGCATGCGGTGGCTTGCTACTCTGCTAAGTTGGCAGGGATCCAGGATGCTGCTGGTAACTTGGCTCCTCGACACCCTTACGAAGAGGTGGGAGAGGGGGCTAAAGTTGCGGTTCGAGAGGTGATGGCTGCAGTTTCTGAGATTGAGAAGAGTCTGTGATAAGCTAGATAGAAGATCAGCATTTAATAGGCCCCCTTTTATCCATTCCAGTACTCCCAGCTCTATCGCACTACATAGGCTATAACTCAGATAATCCCATATAGACATAGGTTATGCATTTTGCATAAAGAAGATACCCTAAATCCGTATAAAAGAGATGAACCTCGGCTTAAAAGAAAAGAAATCTTTTGATTACTGATCGGGCTGGGCCTAAAGTGGAGATGTTCGAGTTCTCGAAGCCATCGAAGCCAATCACACGTCGTCGTCTATATTTTCGTCTCTTTTTCTTTATCTTATGGAGTCGAAATATACAACTGATTATTATTCTACAGCCCCCACTATAACTAAATGCAGCAATCTCTCCGATGGTGTTTTTTTTTTTTCGATAAATCGTTTATTATTTAGAAATAAAACTCGTAGGCCAAGAAAATTTTTAAACTCTCTACCTTCACATCCCAACGCAGATCGCAAGATCAACACTATGGAGGGTTCCGAGACGGCTAACGCCTTGCAGCTGCCAACCTCTATCCCATTCTGGCGACTCGTGATCAACCCCGGTGCTATCACCCAAGAGGTTGCTGACTACCCTTGCGATGGTTCAGGAACCGAAGAAGATCCTTATGTCGTGCAATGGATGCCCAAAGACTTTCGAAACCCTCTCGAGTTAAGAACTTCGATGAAATGGTTCATCACCATGGTCGCCGCTCTCGAGACCTTGGTCGTGGCTCTGGTCTCCTCCGCCTATACCGGCGGTCTTCTTCAAATTAGACAAGAATTTGGCGTCACCACCGAGGTTGCCACCTTGGGAGTATCCCTCTATGTCCTGGGCTTTGCCTTGGGTCCTCTGATCTGGGCCCCAATGAGTGAACTGTTCGGTCGCCAGATCGTCTTCGTCACCACCTACTGCGGCCTGACCATCTTCTGTGCCGCCTGCACGGGCGCGACAAACATCGAGACCATGCTGATCTTCCGATTCTTGTCTGGCGCTTTCGGTTCATCGCCCCTTACCAACTCGGGCGGTGTTATCGCCGACATGTTCATGGCTCGCGAACGTGGATTGGCCCTGTCGGCCTTTGCGTTGGCTCCATTCCTAGGACCTGTCATTGGGCCCATCGCTGGTGGCTTCCTGGGTGAGTCTAGCGGAGGCTGGAAGTGGGTGATGGGTCTCTTGGGTATCCTCTGTGCTGTTATGTGGGTCTTGGGAGCCGCATTGAAGCCTGAGACCTATGGCCCCGTGCTTCTTCGCCAGCGTGCAAACACTCTGTCCAAACTTACAGGCAAGGTCTACTGCAGCAAGTTGGATATCGATCAGGGTCGTCTCACTTTGAAAGCCGCTTTGAAAACCTCACTCTCGCGACCTATGATCCTTCTTTTCCAAGAACCTATCGTCTTGCTACTCTCCATCTACCTCGCTATCATCTACGGAACCCTCTACATGCTTTTCGGTGCCTTCCCGATTGTATATCAGGTCCATCGTGGATGGAGCCAAGGTATCGGTGGTTTAGCTTTCATCGGTGTCATGATTGGTATGCTTGGTGCGGTTGCATATTCAATCCCTGAAAACAAGCGCTACGCCAAACTCCTCGAGAAGAATGGCGGTTATGCGCCCCCAGAATCCCGCCTTCCGCCCTGCATGGTGGCCTCCATTGCCCTCCCTATCGGACTCTTCTGGTTCGCATGGACCAACGATCCATCCGTCCACTGGCTGGCAAGCGTCGCTGCCGGAGTTCCATTCGGCTTCGGAATGTTGCTCGTCTTCCTAAGTGTCTTCAACTACCTGATCGATGCGTATACCATCTTCGCCGCATCTGTCTTGGCAGCCAACACGTTGCTGCGGTCGTTGTTCGGATTCGCGTTCCCGCTGTTCACCACCTACATGTACCAAGATCTCGGAATCCACTGGGCATCCTGTATTCCGGCTTTCTTGGCTCTGGCATGCGTGCCTTTCCCCTTCCTGCTCTATAAATACGGATTGTCCATTCGAAACCACTGCAAGTACGCTGCGCAGTCCGAGGCCTTTGTTCAAAATCTTCTTCGCGGCCTCCAAAAGGCCAATGAGCAGCCTGGCGAGACCGAGCCGGAGAAACGTCCGTCCACATCGGACGATGAAGTCGCACCGCTCCCTGACATCAAGGAAACCTCCACGGATGTCAACTCGATTCATCAAACTCTTTCGCGCACCTCTACCAACGCCACACATCCCATTCATCGCGTGCCCACTTACGAGGCCAACCCTTATAATATTGACCGCGTGCACACACGGGAATCGTTCAAATAATCTAATCCATCGATTATAGAAGAGGAACATGGACGGGTTGGGAGACATCTGGACATACCAAGAGGGAAAGGTCCAGTCTTTTGGACTTCACGCTTTCTGATATTCATGTTGCATTACTTTGTCTTTTGCTTTTTTTTTTGTCAAGTTCCATATACCATAGATCGCGTTGACTACTAATTATAATTGCACTTCAAGATCTCTTGATCTTGTTTTATTCAATTAATTCTTGAGCTCTTACTCCATCAGTATGAAAATCGTTGTCCTAAGTAAGTTTGAACATCATAGACAAAAGGCACGATTTTATTCGAACTATATATATGAAAATATAAACAGCAAAGTCATCATTCGTCAACCGTAATACTCCATCCCTAGTATCTTGTCTCGATTGTGTCCAATGTGGTATCTCACATTTCACGAGCAAACAACAATGAACTGCAACAACCCCATTTTAGTGCACGCCATTGGCCACACCGTTAGCGAGGGCATTGATTTTATCAAGAGGTACTCCCGGCGGCACTCCAACAGAAATAGTGCTCTTTTTCCGGGGTCGCTCCGGCGCAGTCCAGATAGAACCATCATCAAGCAGGCTCTGGCCCAAAGCAAGCGCCTTGGACGGCGCTTCGCCCAGCCATTCGCTCTCCAGTCGCTCGATGTTCTGTTCGATTTCCCAAGCACGGCCACCTTCAATGAACATGGATGTGCCGTTGAGAGATTGGTCGGACAAAACGCCGGTGGCCACAGTAGCAACCTGCTCGGGGGTATTGATGGGAAGATTGGCTTGCTGCCACTGTGTCTCAACTTTCTTGATGCTATCGGTCTGGGTTACCCAAGGGCAGACGGTATTGATACGAAGGTAGTGCTTGTATGGAGAGGAGATGTAGTTTCTCAGGGAACGCATGAGACCAGTGACGCCGTGCTTGGAGGCTTGATATATGAAGAGAGATGGGCTGTCCTTGAAGCCGGAGACACATGAGAATAGGAGAATCGACCGGTCGCAGTTGGATCCACGGTTATGGCGCAAGTAGACAGAGGCGATTCGGGTAACATACATGGAACCGAGGAGGTTGACATCCATGACTTTGTGGGTTGGGGTCTTGAGGTGGGATTTATTGTTAGATGTTTCCAAAAGAAAAAGGGCCGGACCCAGCCAACCGGGGTTGTCCAGCTAGCGACAGCTTACCTGGCGAACGGTCTCCAGTGTAAGTGAAGTATCGAACCAATTCCCTATTTCCACGATACCAGCCGCTGAGACGACATGATCGATACGCTTATAGGTCTTAAAGGCCAGATCAAACAATGCCAGCACCGATGGGTAATCGGTAACATCGGTGGTCTGGAAAATGGCGCGCGGGGGCATATCTTCTTCCTCCGGGCGGAATTTTTCGCACCATTGCTTCAGTAGACGCTCGCCGGAGATGTTATCAAGGTCACCAATGCATACATTGGCGCCACGCTCCAAGCATTGTGTTACCAGACTCGCACCAATGCCATTGGCACCACCTGTATAAGATGAGATAAGATGATAGAGAAGTCGAACGAAGTCGACATACCTGTGATGAGCACTACCTTTTTGGCAAGGCAATTGGCGGGGATGTTGGGGATATACTGCGACATTGGGGGAGATCGGTGGGGAGATTTGGGTGGATCAATGGAGATGATCGTGGGGTAAAGTAGGATTTGCAGATAAAAGAAATCAACTGCGGACCATCAGCTGGCTTTTATATTTGCTGCCTGTTCAGATACAGGGGTCAAACAAAAATCGTACAAAATTCCCAGCGCCAGAATAGTGAGGGGAAACCAATCCGTTTGGATAACACCTTTTCCCTGGCATCTGGACGGGGATAACGGGTAACTCAGCCGAGGGGCCAAGGACGCCCAGGCTGTGTCCATCAGGGGCTTTTGCGTAAGCAAATGAGCGACTGCGTAGACAACCGGGCTGATTGGGAAGACCAGTAATATAAGAAATTATATATGGTCTGATGCGGGGAGGATAGCCAATGACGCTGGTGTTCAGATTGAAAATGGCGAAGCCAAAGCAGCCAAAACACACAGACGCGGGAGAAAACGAGACTAACCGTTGGCATTGACTTTCCCCGGCTTATGCCAGGGTACTCTCGGATTCCTGTGGTCCGTGGCCTCTCTGCCTTCCATCCCCCTGGACACAGTTGAGAAGTGATGCTCGAAGGTAGTATTTGCTCCACTTCTCGGAAAACCGGGTCGAATAGATGTAGGAACTGGGGTGCATATATGCGGGAACGGCAGAAACATAAGTACGAACACTCCACAATTCATTAATTCTATCGTACAAGCACAACCCATTTTTCCAATATACATGCCAAAGCATAGATGCCATTGCAAAGGGGAATACATGAAAACATCTCAATTCTATCCAAAGACCGAAAATACCACCGAAGATACCAATGCAGGCCGACGGATATTTACAACTGGCTATGCATAGAAATGTCTAGCGGCGAGAGACACAGCATAAGATACCAGACTTGCCCAGGAACCAGAGGGATCCAATGAAGCGGAAAATCGACAGACCGGCGGTCGTCCACAGAATAGCGGCGAAGTACTTGGAGGTACGGATGGTAGAAGTGTTCTGTGCATGTTAGTGGGTGCCACAATCTGGGGTTAAGAGATACATACCGTGAGACAGAGACGGGTAATTCCTTCACTGGTGATACACAATGCAAGGATCAGATTGCTGAAGATCCAAATCAACACCAGGTTGGTTCGGAAAGCCTTGTAGCCATCGTCCATGCTTGGTTCATCATTGTCTTCAGGCTCGACATATGGCTCCAGCGCGCGTTTGACCGTCGATTCAAACTGACTATCGATATCGGCCTGCGGCTTATCGACTTCTTCGATGAAATTTGACTTGGCGTCATCCTTCTTCGTCTCAGCGACGGGAAGGGAATCACCCTTGTCCGATCCCTTGGTGCCCCAGGAAACGTCATGCCAGTTGCAGAAAGCGTAGACCATCAGGATATTGATCGAACAGGTCATGCCAGCAAAGTATGCCCAGGAGGACGTGAACATGTGCCAGGGGTCCATGTACAAGAAACTTGCGAGGAAGTAAATGCCATAGGTCGAAACCAAGGCGATCAAGACGATACCAGCTCCCGCAGAACTGAAGAAAGACTGGATAAAGTGGCCAACACCTTCGTCCATAGAGAAATCAAGGGTGCCTCCAGTAAAGGCGTTCTTGACAAGATAAAACGATAGGATGATGATGTAAACTTGGAGGATACTGAAGTAGACGAACGAAAGCGTGTATGCGAGACGCGAACTGTTTAAAAGGTCAGATTGACGCTATGGGGTAATTGCTTCGAATTTGGACTTACCCCTTCGGTCGATTTCCTAGCGCTAAGATGAACTGCAGCATCAAGAAGAATATGTATCCATACTTCAGGAAGTTGTTCACAATTGGCGTGGCCTCGTTACCAAAGGGCCATCCCTTGTCCTTGTTGGCGCTACTAGGGGTTCCGACAAGATCCATGATGACAGTAGTAGTCAGCCAGAACGAGGCTAGGGATAGGTTAGTCAAAAGATTCAGCAAATAAAAAAAAATCGAGACATACCGAGAGAGAACCATGTCATGACAAGACCCATAAAGTTGTATGTCATCTGGATATGGAGGAAGAACAGCCGTAGGATATTGTGGCCGCTCTTATAGATTCGTCCGAAATGCATCATTGCATACAAACTGGCAGCGAACGAACCGTTCAACCAACGACGCCGTTGACTGATAAACTCGGCTGCACCCTCTGGCACATCGGTCTCGCCCTTTGACGCCTTGACATAGGTTAGATGCCATTTGAATCCAGCTTTTGCGACAAGCTCGAAACACAAGATACGATCCTCAGCAAGGAACATGTTCTTTTTGAAGATGTTCATGCCTTCGATACCCTTCTTGCCTAACTGCTTAGAGAGAGTATGATCACCGTGGAAGTACTGCTCCAAGGGGCGACCCATAATAGCGCGGTAGCGGTACGCGGAGAAGGCACCGGGTAACACACTGACGTACCCGAAGGCACTCTCTAGCGGTTTGTCAAGAATGTTGGAGATCTTGTACTCGAAGTTCTGTGCGGCGACAAGGGGATTCATCAAGTTCTTCCAACCTTTCCCTAACATTGCGTGAATCTCGCCGCAAGATCCACCCAAGTTCTTATCGTTGTAGAAGGACTCCCACAACGCAAGGAGTGATTTCTTTCCCGGCTTAGTTCCGGCATCAATAAGAATCACAACCTCGGGGTTAAGAATTCGACTGAAACCGTTGAAAAGCCAGCGGTGAGAGTTAATCTTCTTACTGTTCTTCTGCTTGAGACAGAAAATCATCTGAACAGGAGGAAGATTTGACGACTCGTTGCCCTGGGGCCGAATCAATTGTTGGTTGGAAGTGACAGAGAGTTGGGTAGTGTATTCGAACTAAGTAGCGTTAGTGTATTTTCGTCGACTATAAAACACCGGGATAGACGGATGGTATATTCCGCCAAGGCGAATCGAAAGGACTGTGGGAACTCACGATGTGTGCGACGGTTTCCCGACCATCGACGGAACGCTTCATGATGCCATCTTGGTAGATACCAATTGTGGCTAACAAGTCGAGAGTATTTTTGTCGCAAGGGTCGATACCGTCAAAAACCAAGGAGCACACGATCTTCTGCCAGGCCGGGCCACCTTTGTTCCAGAATTCCGACTTCTTCAAATTGACGATATCCCGAATATTCTGCATAACACCGTGCAGTGTTCGCGCAGTTAAAACTTTATCTTCATTGTAATAGGTGATAGCAATCAGGAGCTCGGTGTGTCGGTTGTACATAGCCGGTCGCAGGTTGTATCCGTTACGTAGAGTGAACTCGTCGGGGTCACAGGTGGCCGCGGTATCTATATGCGATTAGCTCCAGTCGCATCGCCAATATTCCACATGAAGACTTACAACGCAGATGGGTGAATTCTTCCGGGAATCCCTCCTCCGATTCCCGGTACTCCTTCTGAATCGCGTTCTGAATGGCACTTGGAACCGGGTAGTCGACACTGAGGACGGAGCCCTGGACCAGCTTAATCTTTCGCGTAGCATACCGCCGCAGGCCTGATCCAGGTGCCTGTCGGTTCTGCCAGGCTTCTGACGGAGTCTCAGACATAGGTGATTGAATCCCTGACGGAATACCCGAGCGACGGTTCATGCCTCCGGCAGACTCCTGGTATGGACCATCGGGGAAAGCAGTGACTCCAGGATCATGTAGTGTGTAACGACGGAGGGAATCGCTCGAGGCATATGGGTCATCGAAGGAAGTGTTGAATGGGCTGGGCTGATTACGGTACAGTAGAGACTGATGGCTGTCGATGTTCTCGGGTTTCTCCTCGTAGCCGTACCCTTGCTGTTGAACGAACTGTGTTAGCATCCACTGTTGTCTTGATGGTTGTGTTCTGTTTTTCGTGTCGGGTGGCATGTCACTCACTTCTCGTGGGCCATACAGGCTAGACTCGCTCGCCTGGGGTGAATGAGAGTTGCCGGAATGAGGCGAATGAGGCGATGTGCCTCTCTGAGGAAAAGACATAATGCGTGGTTCTCGTGTCCTCCGGCGCTGGTGGAAAGAAAATCGAGATCTAGCCGGCGGGTTGGTATCTCAAGAATCTAAAAACAAAATATGAAGTGAGAAGTTTCAATTCCAGGTACAATCCGACGCCTCAGTGATAACAGCGCAACAGCGCAATGATCTCTTGAGGTATGTTGGAAACAAGATGTTCCAGCCGATCTGACCACAGATCGAAGCTATGTGAGAAACAATATGGGATCTAAACGAACGTCGTTCAAAGAGAGATGTGCGTAAGAGAAAGACTCCAGATGCCATCGACTATCCAGGAGATATTTTTGGTGCAGAATTTGATTGGAGGTGCCAACGATGCGGGCTGTGAAAGGGCGACTGAGGTGGAACCCCAGCCCATCAGCAATTGCCGTTCGTCATCCACCCTTTCTAGGATCCACCAAGGAGCCCCCCGTCCGAGACAGGACATACATATGTATTGGGCATTGCCCACCGTATTTCCCCTGCGTATGCGTCGGATAACCATTGGAGGCTGTGTCCACCATGGACCCAGCCATCGAATGATATTCCCCTTGAGCATAATTCTCTCGATATCCAAGGTACTGCTGTGCGGGTACGAATTTGAGTCTCTGTGATCTGCGCCTTGCTGCGACGGACATAACTCGTCGAACATGTAAAAAGCTGCGGGTCAACGACGCGATGCGCCATAACATTGGTCAACAGACCTCTTCTATGACCCATCACAGGCACCCCCAAATTAATATACGCCTCCCTTTTACCACCTGAAACACCCCCTGAGAGACAGATCTTGAATCTCTGTACGGAGTTTATACTTCATGCTCGGAAGGACAGGCCCTGCAGAGGCTTCTTTGCCAAGCAATCACAGCATGGCGGCTGGGGGTGGCGAGTGCCCATGACGACAAGGCGTCAGGAAACGATCGGCCGCGTCTTCCAGGGGGCTGAATTCTGAATCTGCGACTGGTCCACGCGGTTCCACTTATCCAGCCATCGTTATAAGTTGGGTATGTGGGGAAAAAAATCGAAAAAATAGAATAGCGCTACCACAGCAACAGACATGCCGTCCGAAATATAATGTGTGTCATGTGTTGTCCTCGAGTCACGTGCCGTATACGTGTACAAAACTGTGCCCCTTATGTACATGTACAAAGTACAACATTGTACAGCACACAAAATTATAAATATAGCTGTCTTGAATATCATTTATCATTTATTTTTAGAAATTTGAACTCTTTAAAGTAAATGTGCTTACAAAGTTTAAAAGTGGAAAATATCTAATTCCCAACGAGAATATATATTTCCACACACCATAAGTTTCACGCTTCTGTAGTATCTTCTGTTTTTGTTTCAAATTGATTGTTTCTCTTTCGTACAGGCAACATTGTGTTCTATATTATTGAGTTCCTCTGATTTATCTATCCTTCGACTTCTCGGCTCTCGCCCGATACTCGGACTTCATTGCGAGCGCAGCTTCAAGAAGATGGAACCCCCCATACATCGTATCTCAAGAATTTGACTGACAAGCATGGTGTCGAGGGGCTGATGTTGATTTGCTGCATCTCTTTTAATTTCAACCGTATGGAACTTTCATCAATATACTCCGTACACCAGATGGTTTGGCATCGGGTTGTTAAGCCTTGCCCGAGGTCATTTGATATGACAATGCCGGAACAATATGCGGGGTAAATAATCTAGTTTAAACTCGCAGGGCTTTAAATTCTCACCGGGGTCTTTGCGATTCGATCAAAGACGAACTATTCTTCTCCAACTTTTGCATAACCATGTCGCCTCAGAGACCTGCGTTTGAGGCCCTGCCTTTGCGCAAAGATGGACCTCCAGGGAATGCTTGGGGGATGTTTGGGGATCAAGATCAGATGGGCATGCTCAATCTATTGACGCCAGAGAACACTATCGCGGCTGCTCGTGAGATTGTTGAGGGCGTGCGAGTCTCAACGGATTGGAACCTCAATAGTATGGCGACCCCATGCTTTGGGCGATCTGCCTTTGAGCATATTGTTAAGAACAAGGCTCCCCGGGCAGTCAATGATGATATATTGGTTTTCAACACTCAGAGTAGCAGCCAGTGGGATGGCTTCAGACATTATGGATCCAAGCAAGGAACTTTCTTTAATGGGTGTACCCAGGACGACATCCAGAATTCCACTCGAAATGGCATTCACGGTAATTCTCTCTGATTTTGAACCATCTGATTTTCACTGACCCTCCTTCAGTATGGGTGGAAAACGGCGGTATTGTTGGACGAGGCGTTCTCTTGGACTATTTGGGCTGGGCAGAGGCGAACGGGAAAGAAGTGAATTGCTTTGAAACCCAGTCAATCCCGGCTTCTGTACTCCAGGAGGTAGCTGCTAGTCAGAATACCACATTCCGACCGGGAGATATTTTGTTTATTCGCACGGGTTGGACTCGAGCATATGAACAGCTGTCCCAGGCGGAATGTCAGCAACTGGCCAACTATGCAGCACCTCCAGTGATTGGGGTAGAGTCGTCTGAGGCCATGCTGCGCTGGATTTGGGATCTTGAATTGGCCGCTGTGGTGGGAGATATGCCGAGCTTCGAAGCATATCCATGCCAGAACCAAGATTTCTTTCTCCATGAGTGGTTGCTGGCGGGCTGGGGCGTCCCAATTGGTGAGTTATTCGATCTCGAGCAGCTCAGCCAGGAGTGTCGCAAGAGAGGTCGCTGGACCTTTTTCTTTAGTAGCGTGCCATTGAAGGTGTGTTCACAAATTCCACCCTCCGGTTCCCAACTAACCACATTATTTCAGGTTCCCGGTGGGGTTGCAAGCCCCCCAAATGGCGTGGCTATATTCTGATCACAATTTCTTGTATCCTTTACCCCTTGTCGTTCATATCCCACAGTCTAACTCTCTGGAGATAGCGCAGAATGCAAGTGGGGTGGCATTAATAATGAGCCCCTCCAAGAGTGAAAGTCATGGACATATCAAAATGCAACTTTTTTTTTTACCTAGACTCTGATTTGCTCACTGAGTGAGTGAGTGTAGGGATGAGCGGCCTGAGTAAGCTAGATCAATAAAATGCGACACGTTAATTCTACCACGTGCAACCCTTCCCATTTAGATCGCCCACCAAAATAGGACTGGCGCAGTCAACGTGACCGTTCGTTCTAGCGGTCTCGATCCTATCCAAGTAAAAAGACTCACAGCGGGGCTATTCAATTGACCCATCATTTCCCCATTTCAGCCTATGCTCCTAGGAATACACCTCGGAAGACTTCGCTTTCAAGCCCTTGTTAGCTTATGTCAGTCGCGGCTATTATGTATGGAAGAGGGCTACGTGTGGAAGGCAGGAAAGGATGAAAAGGACGGCCCGAATTTTCCTGCGACGCCAAAGTTTGTGTCGCACTCATTGCTCCACCCCAGGTTCTCTCTAGTGTCCCTACTCTCCAGTGTCACTACTCTAGTGCGTCCCTATTCTCCAGTTGTCTAGTGACCGAGCCCGAGTAAGTAGTCTTAAATGAGTAGGCTTCAGATTTTGGTTGCATATCATAGGCGATGTCGCGGGGGGAAGGGGGGGGGCAGTGTGTCAGGAACTCGCGCCTAGCAAGATCATGCCGAGTCCCGCTCCAGCATCCCATATTGAAGAAATCGGGGAAAGCATCTGGACGGATCGTGGTGGGTAGGCCAGTGGTGGCCATTGGGTTGACTGTAGTGGATGAGTGACAGAAACGGATACATGAATGACTGTTGCACTTACACTCCTTATTTATATTAAAAAGGTAGTCACCTGCTGTCATATGGTCAACAATCTGTTAGCATGTCCCGGTTGACGTCCGGACAGTTTACCTTCTAGCCTCTTTTCCTCTTTCGTCTATAGTCATACACAGGTTAATGAGTACTCCATCTTGATCTTGCTAGTTACTAAAAGCCTGATTATGTCAACCGTCCGGGGGGACAATTTACCTTACATTCCCATCGCCACCTAGGTATGATACCAAACTATCGGTGGAATAAAATGAATGAATAATGGTATGAATTTCTCAGGGAGCGTGAAGGCTTCTAAGAAGCGGAATTCCGCCCGACCATACCGCTCACTAAGAGAGGAGACAGAACATCGAATTCTTCGAAAAAGAATTATCCTATTGATATTCTCGGCAAGACAGCCATTCTTCCCACTCCGCCATCTCCATCAATCCGGTCGAAAACCTTCAATCCCTCTCTTCAACTTAATTGATCTCCTTAAGATCAGTAATCAAGAGAAGTTGACTGCAGTGATAAAACGGAAGTCTTGTGCATCAAGCACAACATCTTGCATGTTAGGGGGCCGGACAGGAACGTCGAATAAAGCACAATATGGTATTGTCATTGGGGCACCATCGACTGTGGTTTTAGTCACATCCACTTCAGCGCACGAATATGGCTGCTGCATATTGGACGGCTGTTGGAGGAGGGGTGGCACGTTACTGGGATTCCGGCGGAGACTGTCAATGTAGGCTCTGGTCAAGGGTCGAGGGGCATTTGGTGGAGCAAGCTGCCATTGTTCAAAATGTACAGCAGTCTTCTTGATAGATATGATAATCACTATGCGTACTTCTCCATCAGAGGCTCCGAACCACCATCTAGCATCTTGAAGTAGTCTTGGCAGGCTCTCAGATACACCCGTTTCAACAACCACGGTGGGCCATTGCAAGCTGGTGCTAGATGGCCAACGTGCAGATGGGCAGAACACTTGGTCTCCCTCTTTGTTCCGCAATGGAGATTTGTATCGCGTCGCTCCGCCCCAACGATACAGCTCATTTAGTCCCATGCTATCCAGTTGTAGATTGACTTTCTGCAGGAGTCCCCTAGTGGTGTATTCATGGCGATACCCTGGTATCACGCGCAAAATACCTGTACCACCTTCAAACTCAAACCGGTAGTTCACACCCTTCAGGCAATCATGGTCCTCGAAGAGTCGCTCGGAGATGCGGGGGCTTATTTTGAGGAGAACAAGGAACTGGTTGCCGTTTTCTTCCTTGTCCTTTTCAAGTGTCTCTGCGATCTTCTCAGCTTCGAGCTGAACATGTTTCAGGCGGCTGAATATGCGAGTTACGACACTAGATGGGAGCGCTGTCATGATGTCAGGCATGGTGGGTAAGGGTGAAAGAGCTTCGGGGGACATGGCATCAGGGGAGGAAATGGATTCAGGCGAAAAGAATCCAGAGTCAGCGTGAGGAAGTAGTAAGGAATCAACAGCAGGTTCCATATTTAGGATGACGTCAAATGATGTGGGATGATGGGGGTGTGGTAGAGAACTTTTTAGAGCTGTGCCCGGATATTTTCCGACGGATCGATGGAATCTCCCGGGAGATGAAAACACACGCTCACTGAGATAATAGGTACATCTGGGGGAAGTTCTCAGGGAAGTTCTCAGGGAAGGAATTGATGTCGACTGGAGAGAAGATCCGCAGGAGCTCCCGGGGAAGGAATTGACGTTGACCGCAGAGAAGATTTGCAGAAATTCTCGGGGAAGGGATTGACAAAGACACAAGCTCACTGAGACAATAGGTCGATTGTAGAGAATATATATCGTGGAAAGGAAAATGATAGACAAGTGCTAGATTGTTGATGAACGGATGATAGACAAGATTTCGACTCACCCTTCTGCGGTGTCCACCCTGCTGATCAGTGGACTGAAGTAGATTCCTTACGAAAAGGGCCGTCGGAGAAGCCTCCACGATGGAGAACCTCCTGTGCTGACTCGCCGGAGGGTTGGGCAACGATACAGGCCTCGGGCGGAAGATATCTGGATCAACAAGATGTGCTTCAAGGGGAGGAGGAGGAGGAGGAGGAAAAGGAGAGAAATCGATGGGATATGATACAATAGCATCAGTTACTAGGAAGAGACATGAAGGTAGGATGGACTGGTTGTTTATTTGTTACGCAGCAATTGTGCTCTCAGTTATGTTTCGGTTATTCCATTCACTCGTCTTCATCTATCTGACTTTTCATCCTTCCTTTTCATCCTCCCCACCATTCCCCTGTCCGCATCTTACTTTTATCAGTTAACCACGTGAACGTCCATCACAAACTATACTGGCGCCACGCTTCATCCAGTTCTCGGTCCCAAATGGGGTTTAATGCCTCATCGTCACCTGAGGAGGAGACCCCGGACAGGATGTCGGTCGACCCAACGAGCGTCAGCCCCGTGCTGGACCACAACCTAAACCCGATGGATGAAGCAGATCTGCCAGATGTGGGAGCAATCTCACTGAGTTCGCCTGAATCCCTGTCCGCTGGATTCGATGGATCAGGCGAGTGGGCCACCCCAAGAAAAAAGAAGAAGAATGCATCAGCCTCTGATATAGATGAGTCGGATGGACCAGAAGAGCCCGCGGAACCGGAGGAGATTCCGCCCGACGTGGAAGACCCGGCAGCACACATATCATACTTCTGTCTACCCAAGACCCTATTCGTGGCTTTGTCCGTCTTCAGAGGAAGACCAATGCCCAAATCAAACGTGAGAAAGAACGAGAAATTGTTCCGAAGTGCCAGCCGCGCTACAACACCAGCTTCTTCCGGGAACATGCCGACCTAGGAAAGATTCGCCCAAGATCTATATGTACCAGTGGATGCGACATCATTGGAATATGGGGCATGCGCAGAATTGGCCCAGCTTGTAGTCGTGTCTGCTCGACCCGCATCGGGTGGAAGAGGAGAGCAGTGAAAGGCTCACATGGAAGAGAACCGCTACTATATTCCGTTCTATCGCGACGAAGACTACGAAGGAAAAGATCCGGCTGAAGAAAAGGCAAAGGATGCGCAGTTGATAATCAGCGCCCTTAATGCCCACCGTCTTATTCTGTTCGCGCAATATCAGATCATCAGTGAACCGATTGACGACAGCTTGCAGGAATCGATCTGGAATTTCCTATGGCAGGCAGACGTTATGTGCGCAGTCAAAGACCAGATTCTTGCAGACCACAGCAACAGCCTCTTCCCGACGGATAAAGCCGTGAGTTCCACCGCACCCTGAAGGGGAGTCAAGCACATGCTCTGGATCCTCTTGTCAGCAAGTCTCTCAGGAAATTGAGGCAGCCTCCATTAAGCATAGAGAAGGCGGGAGGACCCACTATCTTTGGGCTTTACCCGAACATTCAAGGGAGTGAAGAGAAAACCCTGAGCCGGAGGCGTACACATACCAAAAGCAGGCGGCATCCCGCGAGCTAGCCAACCGACCCAGATCCTCGGACGGGTTTTGGGGACTCGATGGAGCTGGTGATAAGTCAAGGTGAGGACCGGTGGGAGCTGTACAGTCGAGGGCGACCTAGTCGCGTTAATAATAGCAATACTTTATGTTGAACGAGAGAGACCGATGTGAACTAATACTAAAAGCTTACTATAGAGCGTAAGTGGCAAAATAAGTGTAGTTCTCTAAAAGGAGTAAGTTACTCAGCTTTATAACTCGCTACTTGCTTATAAAGTATAGCTAAGGTGGGCCCGATAGCTAGAAAGTATAGAAAATGACCGTAGGGGAAGTGTATTTCCGGCTGATATGCCAGTTGTTAGGCTAGCCCTATTGGTTAGGCGTGTTGAACAGTGGCGGGAAGAAACGTATAGTATTCTTTCTTAGAGACTAATTCTTGCTAAGTCCAGGTTTCCCGGGAAGGCACTCTTACATCTCTTCGTCCCTAAATCGTGCCCGTCACGATGATGAATTCAGCTAGCTTCCGAGTCCTCTTTCAGACACTTGCACGCTTGCAGTTATCAGGATGACATCTTGTGTGTCGCCATATTCATGCCGACAGCTCCCAGAAGTGCAACCCCTACAGTGGCAAACTTCCCACCACCCATCTGATGGGCTGCTATCCTCCAGCTACACCGTCTGTGGTGGTAGACCCGAGACCCGTCTCACCATCTCTGTTCTCAGAAGTATGACTCGAATCCGCTCTATCATATGGAGGAGTACATTGATAACAAGAGGCATTTTCACCAGGCTCTTGCTGGAACCCGTACGGAGGTGGGGTGGGGCTATGGGTATCCATGGGGACGGCTAGTCTGTGTGCAGAGCTGCAGTGACATGAGCTTGTGGACAGAAGGCTCCATGGCCATTGCTAGAGTGTTGTCCACTGTACAGTACATTGCGAAACTGGTGCAATCACCTCCACTCTTCGAGTGATTCTCTAGGTCCACCGCCAAGAGACACTAGAGCTCATTAGGAATAGCCCCGGAACATCAATATTTCTGTACCAGTCTCGATACTATCATTTACTTTCATTAAATACCCTGTCTTGTCTTTAAACTGTATTGGCGACCTAAGGGAACTAACATTTTCCAATGCATACATGTCAAACACTTAATCTAGGTGTTGCCTCGAGAATCCAGCAACCTGGCACTTCCTTCCGTCACTCCTATGTCCAAGTGACGGGCTGGGGTCTTACTCGGCACCAGACCTTGCAAAATAGTGGCTTACATTACTTGCGTACTGTACCTGCAGACTACTCGTGAACCCGCTTATCATAGTACTCAGCCTCTCTCCTCTTGACGCCCTGTAACACACTTGGTCGAAGCTAACACACAACTATGTTCATAGACTCCTCAGTGGCATCTTCTGCCTTGGGGGGATGACTTACACTCCTCTCAACGATGATGATGATGATGATGATGATGATGATGATGATACTTACCGGCCTGAACTGCCTAACCGATGGGAACGGATAACCTCGTATGCCCCCACCCCCGGTTACCTAGACCGCGAATAGACACCATTGGTAATCTCCCTTTCACCCGACCCTGGGGACATAGTTGGTGAATGTTCACCTTCCTTGCATCAACATCTGCCCGACCAGCTGGGGTTTTGATCCCGTGGTTGCACGTACGGATAGAAGGGTTAAATTGAACAATCGAGTTGTGGTGGAGGATACAAAACAAGACCTGACGCAACCGCCTATATCCTACTGGTAACAGATAAAAGAGGACGCTAGTAATACTCTACGACGGAAGACAGCCCATGGCCGACGGGTAACGCTAGATGATATTGACATGGCGTTATCGATGAACTGCTAGAGAGCGGTAGAAACATCCACTAGAGCAAGGTGGAGTCCTTACTTAGTCTTTGTTGTTGCTTGTTAAGATTCCGGCACCACTCTAAAAGAGAGATAGAGCGCCTAAGACAATGGCTAGGGGAATAGAGGCATTCTGGAGATCGTTTGGGTGAACTTTGAGCCACCATGCAAAAAATACAAATGGCCCTGCAACCATGACAAAATGATAGGTGAAGACGTAGGCAAACGAAACCGCAAACACGGCTTCAAGTCCCCATATCGGTGACGACTTGTCCCTTTCGAAACATCTCGTTCTCTTTGGGATGCGCTCTAAGTGCACGACACCAGTTGGTGGTGGCAGGCAGTCATGGGGAAGCGGCTAAGTGCAGGGGAAATGATAAGTGTAAAATAGGGCCTCAAATAAATGGTGTGGAATTGGGGGATTCCTAGCATCTGGAGCTCCAGCACGAGGTGCATATTGGTAGTCATTGTGGGTGGGAAGATCTTTGTGCTCGCGAACCATGCGCTCTCGTGTCAACCTGTTGAACTGGTGTGTGTCAGTGCTTGGAGTGCAATAAATCACAGCGTCGGGTGTACCTTTACCACTTGGCAAAATTCTAATCGCCAAATAGAGAACCATAATCTCAGTCGGCCTCTGTGGGTCCGATAGCATTCCTTGAGTTCTTGGAAGACACTACAGTCGGTACTTTGGTCTTTGACCGAGATCTGGGCCGGTGTCAGAGTCCTCCGTGCTCCCTGGATGCCAATTAATATCCAGCTGTGAGTTAGTTCAGACGAATCCATCCCAGAAACCCGAGATTCTTGGCTGGCGACGGAACTCCTTTGGTGAGGTTCAGAGAGGGGCCCTATTACGCTAGGTTGACTATTGCCACTAGGCAAGTTCCCCGACGAATGAGGGCTTACATTATCATCTGGCGGTGTATATTTTTGAGCAACTGATGAAATCGTTGTGCCGGGTAGTGACGAAGGCGCTTTCGAAAATCTGTCATTCGCCCAGATATTCAGGAGTGCTCCAAACCCGTTCGCTCTGCACCAGTGTGGTAACACAGGTTCGTCATTTGACAACTCAAGTATCTTCTTCACTAAGTCGTTTTGTTCCAGGGATAATTCATCCCACTGCTGCGCACCACAGGTCTGCTAAACTTTATTGTTATATATATAAAAAAACGAAATTTCTTTTAACTTACGCATCGCCAGAACATTCGAGATTCACCTTGTAACAATCGCTTCCGCGGTTCCAGAGGCCACCAATTCTATCTTACTTGAGTGCTGTCTTCTATCCATGCTTTCAGCCTGTTAGCTAATGAGAGATCCTGCTCCTGTGAAACCGAAATATGTTTTTTCGGGATCGATAGGAGGACATGCTTTCTTTAATTAAGGACGACTTGACGAAACAGAGTGTCTAGACGAGCGGAAGAGTTTTTAATAGGTCAATCAAGAACTCTATTTCTCCTAGCGAAATAAGAGATCTTGGCTCTTCTTGTCTAAAAAGATGTCGGCAAAATGAATTGATAGTTGATAGATAGGCGGACGCTAAGGAGCAGCTGTCTTCAAAAAAAAAAAAAAAACTCTTAATGTGGTTCATGAAAATAATTTCGGCTTGAGTCCAACGAGCTGAAAGAGGGGCACGTCGTCAGCCTCGTCATCATGTGACACCAGCACGCTCAGCCAGGAAAATTATTGACAGGAAAAGTCTTTCGAAGAGTGTAGGTTGTTGCACTAGTTTCGGGACGTACTGTAAGTAGACCTCTCAATAGCCCGCAAATGGGCCCAAGCCCCCGGCCCACAGCCCAACCCGCAGTGGGCTATGGGATCAGTCTTCAAAGCCCAGCCCAACCCACAGCCCATTAATGGGCGCTTATCAAAGCCCGTCAAAAGCCCATTTCTGTGCATAAATACAGTCTTGGCACGTATAAAGTAGCTGATAAATGGCTGTATTTTACGGATGTACTAACCTATATATTCAGTTTCATCACATCATTATAGTAAGAAGTAGGAATTTAGTAGATATTATACTTATTTTTAGCATTATGATGCCAGATTTTATGCAAATTTTCATATAAAATCACCTTATAAAGATCTAACTCAACCACGAATTCGTACCGAGGAGAACTACTGAGTATTAGCATAAAGAGATATAGGTCTATACTCAGGTGTTAACTATAGTGGTACTAATGGTAGTACCTCTATTTATATCAGAGAGGAAGAGATGCGAAGGGAAGATGGTATGTTTAAGTATTCTTAGTATATTTAGTCCAATTGATCAGTCTTTTAAGTTATTTTATAAGCCTATAAGAAGAAGGCTTCTGTATAGCTTCATGTATCGCTCAGGTGGTAATTTAAATACCTTAAAAAACCAGAGAACAATGCATTGATTATACAGCTACGATAAACTGGCATGTTTATATTGTTTGGGGCCCATTATGGGCCCGAATGGGCTTTGCGGGCTATTGAGAGGTCTAACTGTAAGTGTCCCGCTGCTATATGGTTCGACGTTCAGTATTGATGATTTCCTTGGATTCAACTGATCTTTCGGTGATTTTGGTCTATCGCATAGAGCCCAAGATCATATTGCAGACAATAACTCACCTGAGGATATGAGCTTGATCTCTCGACTTGGTCATAAGAGCAGCCCTCTAGGTGATGGTCGTTATATTCACTTTTGGGGGTACGGCATATTGAAAAAGAAAGGTCGCGATACAATTGGAGACTGTGGATAGAATCATTCGGTGGTTTGAAATTGTTGGGATGGATAAATATGCCGATGAAACTTAGTGATAGTTTTCTAATGTCAGGACAAACGCCTTAATTTATATCTTTGAGAATGCCTTACCACCATATGATTAATTACATATAATATTGTACAACAATCCAAGCTAGTAGTATGAGAATTACACTAAACCACCCCAGGAAGCAGGAGGACAGGAAACTGCCAATCATTGCCCCATGATCACTGTGGATAGAGTGAATGATAGCATAAACCAGCGAATTTGATCGCGCAAATTATTGCGGAAATCAAACATTGTCGCGCGCCCATTTCACAATATGTCGCGGCTGTCGCTGAAGAAAGGTTAAATGCGTCATGCAGAACCATGTCGCAATCTGAACCTGGAATGCATTGTTGAGCGTACCTTTTTAGGACGCCCCGCAGCGAAGCGCCTTCGTGGCATGGCGGCCCAAGAGAATAATACCGTAATATCGGCAGAATCCGATGGGAAGAAGTGAAGAGACTGACTAGGAATCCCGAAGAGGTCAGTGAGGTCTGCTATAACAATTTGCGGATATGGTAAATGACCCGATATCTAATGGAGAGGATATGCCGCAGTCTAGTCTAGGTAATCCGTGAGCAATCAATCACAATCACTTAAGCGCTCACTAAGCGCTCATTAACTAGACCTCCGCTTTATCACGTGATGTAATTGAGCAGCTCATTGAGTCTAAGCCCGGACTAAAATTTACTCAGTGAGCCTGACTCTGAGCGCCCTGGTAAAAGCAGCTAAGATATGAAAGCCCCACCCGGTAGAGGAAATATGCTACGTACAGTGACAAAAGTAGTATAAATCAATGTCCTCAACGTACCACATGGCATTGGGGAGGTCGGGCCGAAAAGATAAAGGGAAAAAAGCGGAGAAACCGGGGCTTTCCGTCCCGGTCTGTGTCATTCTACGTTTCAATCCTAGCCTATCTGTGTGGTCTAACAGATCTTAACAGATCTGAGATCTAGCAAGAATATGGTCCTTGGAAATGCAAGAATCTCGCGTCAAGCAGAAGACCGCTCAAGAAGGTCGATGGTAGCCTGTAACCGTTGCCGTTCTAGAAAAACTCGCTGCGCCGGCAATCCACCCCACCCTTGTGCAGCATGCGTGGATGCGGGCAAGAATTGTGTATATTCAGAGGCTGAAAAGCGAGTCTCCATAACCGAGAGGTAAAGTCAGTCCAAGGTTGTTGAAAAAAGAGTCAAGGCTGAACTTATTTTGCAGCTACTTTCGTCAACTACAAGCGCAAGCTCCTACTTTGCGAGGTAGGTTTCATACCTACCTAGATAGTCATCTGGACGCAGTTTAACCACCCAGAATAGAAGATAGTCATCCAACGCCATCAAGTGAGCCATCGACATCCAATCGCTACTCTGAGGGGCCACCAGAACGCGACGACTGGTGGTACAAAGGGACAGATAATCTGTTCTTGAATCGATTGGGCGAACACCGTACGTCTTCCACCAGAAGATAGCCCATTTTTATCATCGGTTTGCTAATCTTTCCTCAGATTTCGTGGGTGCCTCGTCCACCACACATCTCGCGAAACGGCTCAACCCCGGCTCCACAAATCTTGCATGGGATGTGCGCCCACTTTACGATGACCCTTCATCATTGAAAAGACCGATTGGTGGCTCATTACCTCAATTGCCACCTTTTGAGTTTGCGAAACGACTATTCTGGGTACAATACGCCTACATCGGTACCATCTTCTCCCTTATTCAACCCATGGAGTTTGAAGAACGGCTCGATCTAGTCTACCACCAACCACTTGACTTTGCGCATCGCGAGTCTTGCCTAGTATACTGCCAAACACTCTTAGTTATTTCTTTTGGCTTGATGTACAGTGTGAATCAGTGGATTGGCGAGGAAGGTCCTCCCGGCTTTAAATACTTCAAGCATGCGTTACGTTTCTTGCCCGATATTCACGAAGAGGGCTCGATTCTCTTCGTTGAGGTGCTATGCTATGTGGCATACTACATGCAGAATCTGAACAGGCGGGACGCTGCCTTCCTCTATGTGTGTATCGCTTCCATTGGGCTTCCATTGTACTAACGTCGTCAGATTGGACTCGCTCTGCGCATGGCTATCTCACTAGGCCTACACCAAGAAGTGTCTAACCCCTCAATAAGTGAAGGAGATCGCAACCGTCGACGTCGGGCTTGGTGGTCTGTTTACAGCTTGGACCGGTAATTTGGCTACTTCTCTCAGTTTTCCGAAAGCAAGACTCATACTTATGAACAGGTTACTCTCGGTCAAGTCTGGCAACCCTATTACAATTCACGATGGAGACATTGGGATAACCTGGCCCACAACTGTAGTGTGTTGCCTTCCATGGTATGTCTAGGTATTAGCTAATATGACCTTTTCTACCTAGGGTGGATCGAACCTTGATCCATGGCCATCAACCGTTCTCACTCATTATACACAACTATCCCGTATACTGGGACGAATTGGGGAAGGTAGCAATCCTCCCTTTATCTCTCGTATTGCCAAGCTGACCTAGATGGCCACAGAAATCTACAGAAAGAAACCTGGATCCGGATCCAACCTCGTTGCTTCTGTGCAGAGTATCACAAATGACCTTTCTGGCTGGCTGCGGCAAGTACCAGACCGGCTCCGTATCGATTTCAATACACTCGATACCCACATCAATCGAGAGACTGTCTCGATCAATTTGCACTTCTACTCGTGTGTGAACATGACTGCACGCCCGTTGGTCTTCTATGTCATTCAACGACGACTCGACGCGGAAGTCCTTGGATCCACAACAGAAGATTGGAAAGAAGGGCTAGCTCCCAATACAGTCGCCGTCATTGATAGCTGTATCACGGCAGCGCGAGCAACCACGGTGATCATGGATGCAGCTGCAAAACATAATCTCGTTGGTAGGTGATCGCAATATCCCATTTCTTCTGCCATGAAATAATCTAATTAAACGAACTCGCCAGCTACATATGGATACCTCGATGGTGAATATGTCTTCTCCGCTGCACTGCTGTTGGTCATGGTGAATGCCGCGTTTCCACCTAATGAAACCAATGCCCGGGCCATGGAGACCGCACTGAACCTTCTGCGCGGTATGGCAGATCGCGGAAATACATATTTGGACTCGCGTCACACATTACTGTTGGAATTACGGGCAGCCATTGGGCCTAGACGTGCTGAGGAAAAGGATACTACTGATACGGCAAATTCTCTTGCTACAGGTCAGAAGGCCCCTGTGACGCCGATGACCGAAAACGGCGCAAATATATCAGACAATGTTCCAGATTTGAGCACAGAGTTAGCAACTTCCCAAGTGCTTACTTATAACTGGCCACAGCCGCCAGATCTCCCCTCTTTCCGAGATATTGCCTTCCAGTTTGATCTAAACGATGACCCAGCACTCTGGGAAGGGGCTTTGGATCAAATCGATATTGACATGGACACTGACTGGATTGAGAATACTTTAAAGCGATAAGGACAAATATATACCATCTAAAAATCTTCCCACGGCTGTATTGTGTGCTTTATACTTGGTAGTATTCCACTAGTTTATACTACACATACCCTACGTGATGGACATACATGCCTGAGGCCCACGGATTTCTCCGCAAATTGCTACAATTGTTATTATTATTAGCTCACATACCCCTATCTTCCCCTCCATCCTCCATCCAAACCCCACGGCTTATCAAGCCGTGGAGATGTCGGCCCGAGAAAGCCGAAATAGGCGTCATCGGCCCGACACGTGACATGAATCTAATGGGTGAGACGGCGGTGATCATTTGAGATGGGCTGGGGTATCGGCGCGAGCTTTGTGACATAAATGAATACGGATCCCTTCTAGCCATCTTTACCTGTTGTTATTTCCTTCTCTCTTCTTATACCCACCTCACATCTTCCCCCACACACTAGTCACAATGTCTGACTCAGGGAAGATCACTATCTCTATCGATCGTGGCGGCACATTTACTGATGTCCACGCGATTCAACCTGGCCGCCCCGACATTATCTTGAAGCTTCTCTCTGTTGATCCTTCTAACTACCAGGATGCACCAACTGAGGGCATCCGTCGCATTTTAGAGTTGGCTACCGGGGAGTCACATCCCCGAGGCCAACCATTGAAACTCGACCGCATTGGTTGCCTGCGCATGGGCACAACCGTTGCCACCAATGCCTTGCTCGAGCGCAAGGGCGCTCGCTCGGTCCTCTTCACAACTAAAGGATTTAAAGATTTATTAAAAATTGGCGATCAGTCTCGCCCCGCCATTTTTGACCTATCAATGGCTCGCCCCGGAGTTCTCCCGGAGAGTGTCGTCGAGGTCAACGAACGTGTGCTGTCCTGCCATCCTTCCGCTGACAGCGATTGCTTCTCCGACTGCCGGATAGTAGAGGGAACCACCGGCGAGAAATTCCGTGTGGTGCAAGAGCTAGACATCGCTCAGGTGAAGGCAGAGCTCCAACGACTGAAGGAGCAAGGGATTCTGTCAATATCTGTGGCGCTATTACATTCCTACGCATATCCCGAGCACGAGCGTCAAATTGGTGAGATCGCTCAAGAGATGGGATTCTCAGTTACCCTCTCTTCAAAACTTCAACCTATGATCAAGATCGTGCCTCGTGGCATGTCGGCCGCCGCCGATGCCTACCTTACACCCGTTATTAAGACATACATCGACTCCATCTCTTCCAGCTTTGAAGGTGGCTTGGAGAGTCAGCAGGATTGCCGATTTGAGTTCATGCAATCAGATGGTGGACTGGTCGATTTCCGCAAATTCAGCGGACTGAAGGCCATTTTGTCTGGCCCCGCTGCTGGCGTGGTCGGCTTTGCAGCCACCAGCTGGGATCCCACAGAGAAGACCCCCGTCATCGGTTTCGATATGGGTGGCACCAGCACAGATGTCTCCAGATTTGACGGCCACCTTGAACATGTATTTGCATCCAAGGTTGCAGGCGTGATGATCCAGTCCCCTCAGCTTGATATCATCACTGTCGCTGCTGGTGGTGGTTCCATTCTCACTTGGCGCAACGGCCTGTTCTATGTTGGACCTGAGTCTGCAAGTGCTCACCCTGGCCCTGCATGCTACCGCAAGGGTGGCCCTCTCACGGTGACAGATGCCAATCTGTTCCTTGGCCGTCTTCTGCCGGAGTACTTCCCCAAGATCTTCGGCCCTAATGAGAACGAAGCTTTGGACACAGAGGTGACCGCACGCCTTTTCAATGAACTCACACAAAAGATCAACATCGAGCGCAAACAACAAGGCCAGTCAGAGTTTTCCGCAGAGGAAGTCGCGCTTGGCTTCCTCAATGTTGCAGATGAGGCTATGTCCCGGCCAATCCGGAATCTCACAGAGGCTCGTGGCTACGAGACCGCATCTCATCATTTGGCATGCTTTGGGGGTGCTGGTGGCCAGCACGCATGCTCAGTTGCCAAAACTCTCGGAATCTCCCGCATTATCATTCACAAGTACTCTTCCATTCTGTCGGCGTACGGTCTTGCTCTTGCAGAGGTTGTCAAGGAGTCCCAGGAGCCTGTTTCGTCAGTCTACCTATCTTCACAATCTGCTCTTCTTCAACAGCTGGCGGACTTGTCAGCAGCAGCAACCAAGGATATGGAATCCCAAGGCTTCCCTTCCACCCAAGTGCGCCATGAGCAATACTTGAACATGCGCTACGAAGGCTCTGACACCAGTCTGATGATCCTGAAGCCCGAGAACTCGGATGATTTCCTGGAGGAATTCCGCATTCGTCACCGCCGCGAATTCAACTTCAACTCTGACCGACCTGTTCTTGTTGATGACGTTCGAGTGCGAACCATCGCTTCATCCAAGGTGCGCTCCGAGGAAAGTCCCTTGGTTCAACTGAAAGCAGCCAATATGCAAGATGTCGCGACGGCTCCGAACAACACCACTTCAGCCTACTTCGGCGATTCGAGTCGGACTGATACACCAGTTTACCTTCTCGGTGAACTGAAGAAGAATTCCCGCATCTATGGCCCGGCTGTTATCATTGATCAGACTCAAACAATTGTCGTCGCTCCCAATGCCGTGGCGAACCTGCTCGACACCTGCGTTGTCATCGATCTGAAGGACGAACCAACCTCTTCCGGAAGCACCTTGTCATTGGATATCGACCCCATCCGACTTACTATCTTTGGACACCGATTCATGTCCATCGCTGAGCAGATGGGTCGTACGCTGCAGAAGACTTCCGTTTCAACCAACATCAAGGAGCGACTGGATTTCTCTTGCGCTCTATTCTCCCCCGATGGAGGCTTGGTGGCCAATGCGCCCCATGTGCCGGTTCATCTTGGATCGATGCAATTTGCCGTGCGTTATCAGCATGAGAAGTGGCTAGGCAACTTGAAGGATGGTGATGTTTTGGTGGCTAATCACCCCAGCTGCGGAGGAACCCATCTTCCCGATATTACAGTAAGTCTTCTTCACATTGAATACTCTCATCAGATACTAACTTGTTCATAGGTCATTACACCCGTCTTTGACCGACCTGGTGGCTCCGAGATTATGTTCTACGTGGCTTCCCGTGGTCATCACGCTGATATTGGTGGTATCCTCCCTGGATCAATGCCTCCTAAGTCCACCGAGCTGTGGCAAGAAGGGGCCGCCATTGAAGGCGATAAGATTGTCAGTGATGGTGTCTTGGATGAAGCCCGTTTGATCGAGTTGCTGGTCACAAAGCCCTCGCAATACCCCGGTTGCGCTGGAGCCCGTTGCATCAGCGACAACTTGTCCGATCTGAAGGCCCAGATTGCCGCCAATGCTCGTGGAATTAGCTTGATTCAAACTCTATTCAACGAATATGGAACCCAGACCGTGCAAAAGTACATGTACGCCATCCAGGCAACCGCCGAGTCTGCTGTGCGCAACCTTCTCAAGGAGCTATACAAGAAGTTCAATGGCCAGCCATTGGAGTCGGTCGACTACATGGATGATGGCACTCCCATTCGATTGAAGGTCACCATTGATGGTACCGATGGATCAGCTATCTTCGACTTTGAGGGTACTGGCCCTGAGGTGTACGGCAGCTGGAACGCTCCCATTGCCATTACTCACTCCGCCATCATCTACTGTCTGCGCTGCATGATCAACGCAGATGTCCCACTGAACCAGGGATGCCTGGCGCCAATTGACATTCGTGTCCCAACATCCAGCATTCTGTCACCGAGCAAGACCGCTGCCGTCGTTGGCGGCAATGTTGTCACCTCCCAGCGCATCACTGACGTCGTGTTCAAGGCCTTCCAGGCTTGTGCCGCGTCTCAGGGCTGCTGCAACAACCTGACCTTCGGTACAGACGCCAAGCTTGATCCATCCACCGGTGCTGTCATCAAGCCTGGATTCGGATATTACGAGACTATCGCTGGTGGCAGTGGTGCTGGTCCAACTTGGAAGGGCGAGTCAGGTATCCATGTTCACATGACCAACACGCGGATTACCGATCCCGAGATCCTGGAAAAGCGCTACCCCACGATGCTCCGCCAGTTCACCCTACGCGAGGGCTCTGGCGGTCAGGGTAAGAACCCTGGTGGTGAGGGAGTGGTTCGCGAGATTGAATTCCTTTCACCAATTCAATGTTCGATTCTGTCTGAGCGCCGCGTTCACCGGCCTTACGGAGTTCAAGGTGGTGAGGATGCGCAGACCGGATTCAACCTGTGGATCACGCGGGATGAGGAAACTGGCGCTGAGCGCCGTGTCAACATCGGCGGTAAAAACACCGTTTCGATGAAGACACACGACCGGATTGTGATTAACACTCCCGGTGGTGGTGGCTGGGGTGCTGTTTGAATGGGTTATATAGCGAGCATGACATTTTTATTATACCAATCTCAATTAAATACATAGAGATGCAATGGTCTTTTTGACCAAATGAATAAATTCACAAGTTCCTTCTTCACAACTTAGACTTTCCAAATACTGGTCGCCACATTTCATTCGAAAGTCGGCTTGTGTTTACCATATCCGGCGTCAGTTGGTCTAACGAAGAGACTCCAAGCATCTTCATGGTGATTTCAAGTTCTTCGGCGAGGACTGCGAGTGTGTTAGCTTGACCTTGACCTGAAATTCAGTCCCAACTTACTGTCTGTGCATCTTTCCACCCCTTCAGCGCCGTATGCCGCGAGGGCATAGTAGTAAGGCCGGCCCACTCCAACCGCAGTTGCCCCGAGACACAATGCCTTCAGGACATCTGCTCCGTCGCGAAGACCTCCGTCGACAAAGACCTGTAGCTTGTCGAAGGCCTCCGGGTAGTAAGTGCGAATCTCCAGGAGCGTCATCAATGAGCTTGGGGCGGAATGAATCTGCCTGCCTCCATGATTGCTCAATAGAATTCCCTGCACGCCATGTTGGACAGCCATCTTCACGTCCTCTACGCTTTGAATCCCCTTGAGAACCAGTGGGCCACCCCACTCTGATGCAATCCAGTCCAAATCCTCCCAAGTGAGTCCAGCGTCTACCGAACCGGGAACCTGCCGACCACCAAACGCTGGCGCGAAGTCGTTCTCATCGTGAATGTCTCTTGAACTTTCGGTCAAACCAGCGTCGAGGATTTCTTGTGCTTGAAGGTACCGATCGGCAGTGCGCTTTCCTAGTGTCGAGGTGTCCACTGTGACCCACAGACTTTGATATCCGGCTGCCTTGACTCTTTGAATGAGGGACTTGGCTCTTGTTCGGTCCACAGGCACGTAGAGCTGGAATGACAAGTTCGAAGGGCTTTGGTTGCCAAGTAGCCGTTGCTCGTCCAGGTGAGCGTCCATGATCTCTTCAAGTGGCTTAGTAGATGCCGTACTTATCATGGTGTGCATGCCTTTGCGGGTTGCTCCTCTCACCAGCAAGGGTTCAGCGCCAGGGTGTGAGCTACCCAGTGTACCCATGGCCGATACGAAGAAGGGGAACTGGGAGGTATGTCCCAAGATATTCCTTCGAGTGTCCATCGAATCGACACTCCTCAAGATTCGGGGTCGAAAGTTGACCAGAGACCAGTCATCGAGATTGGTCCTCATTGACAGGCCTGAAGCAGCTGAGCTTGATGCATAAACCCATGACTTCTCCGGTAGAACATTCTTTGCGACCTTCTCGAAGTCTGTGGTGGTGACGCACAGAGAGAAATGGGGAATATTCTTGTTTTCCATCTTAGTTATCGTTATAGCTTAGGATATGAAGCTAGAAAAAAAAAACGAGACACGTAAGTGTGAATAAAATATATACTTCACAGAAGATCAGATAACGGTCCCGAAGTCGGCCCCGGGTCGGAAAACCACTCGGCTACTGATTCCGGGACGGTTATGTCCATTTAAAGTAAAAGCGATTGCCGAATTATTATAGTTCTTGAATATGGAGACACATAACATCCGATTTTAGACCACTGTGGGATGGCTTTCCCTTTCCGCTTTGTGCACCCCTCTAAGTATTACATCACAACACTCACCGTGAACTCAGCCCTGGAGGTCGGGACCTCGGGAGCATTAACTACCAGAGTCAGGTTAATCTGCTTGATTCGTGGTGATCGACCCTTACTGCCCCTTGCTCCTAGGAATATGAATTCAGCTCTAGCTATCTATACATCCGCAAAAACATTCCCAACATATTGGCCATGTCTACTAGATAATGGAGCCGCCCATAGCAAATCTCGCGGCCCTCATTTGCCCAAGATATTCTAACTAGCGCTCATATTCAAGAGCGCTATCAAATGAGTATCGACTCGTGGAACTGTCTTAGATTAAGATGTGTTTATAAGGGCTAGACTTGGCAGTAATCCGGCTGGGTTCAGCTCTTGGACCACCTTGACCCTGACCCTCTGATGCATAAATTTCCCGCGCTTTGTCTGTAATAGAAGATATACATCGACAAAACATCGTTATTTATTTCTGTTTTGTCTACCTAACTATTTATACTAGTTTCCTACTATAAAATGTGCTAGATAAGTAGAAATAATATAGAGTCTGTCTAGGTAGAGAATTTGATGCCATTGAACTTCATCCGTACGCTCATCATAGTCCAATATACAACATGCTAAAATATGCGAAAAACAAGAAGTTCCATTACACGAGCTGAACAAACATATGTACAAACCCCTGGGGAGTGGGTTAGGGCAGATCATACTCTTGCCAAGCATCGTGGTTTCTCCGGGCGATGTCTGGGTAATGGGATATTGTCGGTGATCTGATGGCTCTCGGAGATCTGTTAGCTCTCGGTAGCCTATCAGGGCCCCATAAGTCATTGGTGACTATGTAGTTTGTTTAGTCTGAACGGGAATATGACCAAGAATATTTCTGCCGATCGCGATCTGTATCTATACTTTCAGTGTGCAACCCTTGAATGCCATATTCAATAAATTTCCTTTCCATCACCCTTCTCGTTTGAATAGAATCGCTGAATATTCCTAAGGTTCTCTATCCAGGAACGAGCAGTGGGGCGAACGGCTCGGCAGAACCCATTACCTTAATATCTATATATGGATTTACATTCCCCACTTAGTACCTCAGGAAGTGGTAATATTTAGAAGAAGCATAGAACTTTGGTTTTCGAGATGTCAAGTTTATAAATTGAATACACTGAACATATATATTGCCGAGCGTCCTTCCTACTGCAGTGGGGAAATGTGAATATCTCGATCGCCCCACTCTTTACACTAACCACTTTGATATTCTTCCTAGCAGACACGAATAGTTGCAAGCATTGGAGTGGGATATACGATCTGGTGTGTAGATCACTAGTGCGATATGTGGCGTTGATTCCCTGGCTAGTGGCCAGCTAAAATGAAAGGGACAGTTAAGATAAAAGGGGACTTCGCCCATGTGCAAAGACATCAAGCCCAAAACTTCAAATATGTTGTGCCGTTCTTTCAAGTCATTCGTTTTTGCGCTGGCTCTCGGTGCCAACACCGTGTTGGCACAGGATTCTGTCGATTCGCTCGTGGGCCGTCGCCTCATTGAGTATCAGATGCCGTTCGCCACTCAGACGCATGGGATTGCGCGCGTGCAGGATACAAATTTCGTGCTGCTGTCGCAGATGTCTGATAGCGATCTTATCAAGGTCGAGCTGGATCCAACCACGTAGGGGCCCATTGCTTATCACTCGTTCCCTATGGGAGAGAGCAGCGATTCCCAGCTACATGACGTGTGGCCATCGACGGTGCACCCCGGCATGATGTAGCTATCACTACAGGGCGAGAATAAGCTACTGCTCGTGGATCCCGGCAAAGACCGACTGAGCCGTCCATCATAAAGTCTATTGATATCCCGGAGCCGGGAAACGGCCCGCATTGTGTGTTTGAGATTGGCAACCGCGTCTAGGCTGGCCTCAAAAGCATCCTGCATGTATCTTTACTGTTGGGAACCATACGATATATAGTAGGGAGTCTTATAAGTATACGTGGCATCCGAGCAAACTGGCAAGTACTCTGTGTTCTCTGCCGATGTCTCCGACCTCGCAGACCAGACAATATATGATTGCCTTAACAGCCCCGTGTTTATCAAGGAGGAGCCGACCATCGGTTTTATCTACGTCGCTCAAGACAATAAGTCGTCCATCATGCGTATCAAGGTCACCACCGGCAAGACGAAACAGCTACCAATTCCGCCTAGCGTCGGCAACACTGCCGTCGGAATGACTACCGTCCACAATCCCTTGAGTGGTGTATGGTTCACTCTCGGGGGGAATGCCACTGGCGGCACCGGCACCTTTGGCCATATCGGATCCGAAGGCAAGATGAAGTTCTTCCAGCTCCAGCATCCGATGCTCGGCACCAATTCCGGTCTACTGCATATCGCTGACGCGTGGAGCGCAGTTGGTGAGCCAGCCTTATGGCTCTTGTCGACGTCGCTGCTTAGCTCCAATTCGCCCGATGTCTTGATCCTCGTGGCTTTTGACGACGACATCACATCCATTGCCGGCGAAGAGTACATCTCCATGCTCACTCAACACTCCAAGGTGCACCGCATCTTGACCATGGATCCCACGGTGTTGGTGTCCGAGCTCTCCACATTTACACTCGCCCTCACGTACAGCAGTACGGGTCCCGGGGAATGGCTGCCAGCTCAGTCTGTCAGTAACAAGGTTTATGCCGAGGCCCTTTGAAGGGGAATTTCTTGGTGAAAAGCTTATGGAGATGCCCCATCGCATATTAAAAAATTTCGTCGGGAAATGAGGATTATGCGGTCTTGATACCATAGCTTAAATATTAATATAACCAAACATTGCACGTTGTTTGAAGTTTGCATTTAAATTACGGGCAAGGGTTGGCAAAAGGATTTCTAGTAAACATGTAGCTCTGTTTGGTTACCAGAGCCGTATCTATACGACCTTTGCCTGTTCGATCATCCTTCGGCTTAACGAAACTGAAAAAAACCCACTTTCACTATCTTAAAAGCGGTGGCAGCCTAGACACGAAAACCATACTTGGCGGACGAGGTGCTACGCATATTGGTTCATATGGACCTTGATGGAATTTTATTTGCGGAGCTCCAATATCACATTAAACTAGATGATGCCAAAAGGACATCCGAAAGACGCCCGAAATTGGCCGCAGGTGACGCTATTTTTGGCCGTCTATTTGCTAACCTTGCTGTAATATCACAGACCGACAGTTAATAGGTGATCATTTAGTAATCCCCCAGTGAAATACTCAGTGAGCAAGACCCTGAGCGCCCTCATAAAGCGGCGGGACCTCAATCGGGCAAATCGCGGCCGTGGCCTAAAGTCCGGTACATATAGTGACATATATCTATTGTCCCTCGACTTTCTATGTAGTCATCTCTTTTTATTTATTTTTTGTATCGGAAATGTGGTCCCGTATTATCAGGAATTGACCAACACGAACGAGCCTTGGAGAGGTCTATACAAGCATCTCATTCAAAATCTGGTTCAATTAATATAAGCTTAGATTCCCAAAATGGTTCAAAGGAACTCGTATTCATACGGCAACATTCTCTTCTGTGCATCTAATGAGCGAGGTCCACGGGAAATTTCAATTGCCCTTTTTATTGGTGCAAATGCGGACATGGGTTTGGGCATGGTCAAAGTTGCAGGCTGCTCCGCATCCTAAAAGACATATTAGACTCTAGTAGGGACGAACTTTTAGGTTAATAGTCATACCTGTCGGTACTGCAAGATAAGAGTCAGTCGGATCAACATTGAATATCACCTTGAACAACAGAGACTTACTTCCTGACTACCATAGGGAATGGCAATCACGGTTCCGATGAACAGCGTACAAATCCATTGAAGACGCATGATATATGAGAGGAACCGAACTTGAAATTCAAATTCAAGCTAGCCCTGGAGACCACTTTTGCCGGTATGGACCGAGTTATGAAATAATTCAACTGAACACGAGCCTGACTCTAGTCATAAGAAATCAGAAAACAAAGTTCATTGTATATATACTACCTTTCTATTTTTTGACGTCTGCAGCCAAAAATCTGACGTCAATGGAATGTGGATATCCACATTCCATCTGCCACCTCTCATATCCCTTGATTGACATGCCAGCTCATAAACATTCATGGGAGGTTTCTGTTTGCATCTTCCTAGGACCAGGAGATAAAGAAAACAACTAGAGTAAAAAACCGCAGATATCTTATATGATCTAATATAGAATATCATCCAATGGGTATCTTTTGAAAATTCAGCATCCCGCATCTATCCCTGGCTCTTTTGATTGTTGTGATGCTGTCTGAAAACAAAACATGACGCTTGGTGGCAGTCGGCCAAGTAGAAATTCAGTGATTACAGCTGCCACGGCACCAGAAGCAGCGGCACCCGACCATCTGGCCATGGCCAACAGTGAGGAATCTCGGAGACCGTCTTTGTCAGTGTGTATGGCACAATTCATCACTCAAGCTGGTCTCGGCATGTCCATTACTCCAGTCTATATCACCGGTGATAGCTTTGGTGCCACCAATCCTGCCAACCTAAGCTGGTTTGCAGCCGCCTACAGCCTAACGGTTGGCACCTTTATTCTCGTTGCTGGCCGACTGGGCGATGTCTTTGGTCATCGAAACATGTTTGTGATGGGTCTTTGCTGGTTTAGTGTCTGGCTGTGTGGGTATCTTGTCTAGATTGATATCATCTTTGACTCCGACATTGACCCAGGGCGATTATTGTGCTCCATGGCTATAAGATTGAATTCACAGTAAACAATAAGCCAAGTAGAGATTGGGGGAAAAATAGAAACAAAAACCACGCTCCCTTTTTCTCATCCACCCAAGTGGAATCCCAAGTGGAATTCTGAGTTCGACATCTTCCGTCGGGTCCGATCCGACGGAATTGGAGTTGTCAATATAAATATTTTGCAACGTCGGTGTATGAACAACTCGTTGAATTTAGGGCTTACTTTGTGTTGAATGGTTAAATGGCTTATGCAGTCTACTATTAGGCTAAATTATTAGATTATAGCCTGGAAGCGTTGATCTATACCTGCTGAAAGAAACACGTAACTCCTTAGGAATTTTGATTGAAAGTATCAAATTAGATATTTCAACACGCCCAACGTAATATCAACTTGGTTATCTGAATATAGTCCTTATATGCTCTGGGATGCTTTATGTTATATCCAACTCTTTACGAGCCTTGAAGCCCTCTAGGGCTGCCTAAAGTGGTTGTTTTGTTTGTTAGTAAGCATCACATGCCTGACCTGTCCCAGGCTTAAGCTGTTTCTTTCAACTTTCGCTCTCTTCACTTTTCTTTTACATCCTCTTTTCATTAAGACTCAATATGTTTGTCGCAATACCCGGTTGACCAGCTATAGGGCTTCTTTTCTGATTTTTCAACGTGTTTCCATTCCGGTTGCCATTCTCTATAAGCTTCGCGTTAATACTGCATCTTCCCCGCGAAAAAAAAAAAAAGTGACGTGGAGTCCAAGAACACCCATTGACCTCGATGAAAAAATCACCACCTATCGTGTTTATTGCCAGGTGAGTATTTACTTCTGTTGCACTGTTTTTTCTGCTCACTAGCCTTCTAGACATGGCGCCCGACTCGATGCTGCAGACAAAAATTGGCACTTAACCTCCCCAAGCCCCTTCGATCCACCTCTTTCCTACGGTGGATGGATGCAGTCTCGGGCACTTGGTATACGTATAGGAAGTCTCCTAAGGGCCCGACAGTTCACTGGAGAAGACCCAGTGAGTCAGCGCACCGATCATCCGACCTCGGATAAACAGGCAACACCCACCCCCGCATCCTCGGACCTATCCCACCAATACAACGTCATTGTCCATACCTCTCCTTACCTTCGATGCCTGCAAACTGCAATAGGGGTTAGTGCTGGCATCAACCAAGAAACATCGGGCACAGAAGCATCCGAAGCAACTAGTTCAGCTCCCACTGTCCCCGCAGTTTCATCAAAAGCTGACCAGCGATGTCTGCTTCGCGTCGACGCATTTTTGGGCGAATGGCTATCGCCCGACTACTTTGACCAAATCACGCCACCGCCGGGCTCGGAAAGAATGGTGGCGTCTGCCAAAGGGGAATTACTCCGTCGTGCCGAGGTCATCCCACCCACCGATGGGTTGACAAGGGCGTTGTCAGGCCACTTCCCTGGAGGTTGGCGTAGCCAGTCACATCCTACTTCACCAATCGATGAAGACCGCGGCTTACATTCCGCAGCATCTCAGCGCCAGCGTGCCAGCACCCACGACATTCTTCAGAAGCCTATCCACCTCAAACATGCAAACAAGACTCTCGGTCGCCTGGAAACAGACCTTCCGCCTACTTCAGACGCATATTATGTACCGCCAACTCCCGGTTACGCTGTTTCTAACTCAGATCCCATTCCTACGGGATATGTTGCTCATGCACGGAACGCATGTACAAGGATCGACTACCAGTGGGACAGTATGCGCACTCCTTATTGGGGTACAGGGGGCGAGTTCGGCGAGGAATGGAGTACCATGCACGAACGGGTGTATGATGGATTTCAACACATGATTAACTGGTACCGGGAGCAGGATCAATCTGAGGACGGTTCTACGGAATCGAACGGTGAGGTAAATGACGGTAATGCACAAACAGTCCTCGTTATTATCACACATGGCGCGGATTGCAATGCTTTGATCGGTGCCTTGAATGGACACTCGGTTTTACTCGATATTAACACAGCTTCACTCACTATGGCTGTGCGACGCAACCGTGTGAACAAACAGCATGACAGGGACCACATGTCTACATCACCGGGCCCAGTGAACCAATCGGTGTCACGGGAATACTCCTTGCAGCTTGTGGCGTCGACAGACCATCTGCGCCCGGGAATAAACCCCTCACAGCTCACCTCGCTGTTATCCCCTTCCGTTCCCAATGTACTTTCACCGCCTCCGATATCTTCCTATCGGAATCGCCTTGGCTCTCGCCCATCGGTCTTCCAAGAAACATTATCAAATGGGTCACCTAGTAATAGCTCTCAGGCATGGACGCTGGCGATGCGCCCATCAACTAGTTCAACTACTTCTCGTGTTGCCTCTGGACTTTGGAACTCGACCGCGTCACTCACCGATAAAGCGGATGCAGAGGAGAACTTTGTACCGAACTTCGGTGATCGACCGGTCAGTCAAGATTCGACAGTCCCTGATGGGTCAGACAAGTCTGCAGATCTTGGCTGGACGAAGCATTTACCCCAACGGACACAGTCACAGCGTGGTTTATGGGGTAGTGCTCAGCCCTTGGAGGATCGTGAAGCTGGAAAGCGGCGATGGACGGTGGCGGAGCAAAAGCTGTGAAATCTTTCTCTTTAAACTTTTAGGATACCTCTTGCATGGCGTGGTTTTGCTTTATCTTATATTCCAATATTACTCTAGGGCTTTGTAACTACGTGATGACCCAGCCCTCAGGCACCCAGGCACCAGTCTTGGAATGCCGCGGCTTCCCCCTCATGTTTATCTCCCCTCTTTACTCTCTTCTCTTCCCCTCTTGCCCTCTTCCTTCAATTATCTCTTAAATATTCCATCAAGTTGAGACTTCCATGTCAAACATTGAAACAGACGGTCTATCCGTCACTTATTCCTCTGATCGAACTGGATCTCCAGATCTACGGCTGATCCACTATAATGATGTTTACCATGTCGAGTATGCGCTTATCTCTCCCTTCTTCTCTCTAGCTTCATAAACTTTAGATTGGGATGAAACTAAATTATCTGATATAGATCTGGTTCTGCAGAGCCTGTCGGCGGGGTATCTCGGTTCCAATCCCTTGTGAAACACTATCGTTCTCACCCCCAGTTCGCCGGACAGCCCGATATCCTAACCTTCTTCTCCGGCGATGCGTTCAACCCGAGTATCGAAAGTACAATCACAAAGGGCAGGCATATGGTACCATTCCTCAACACAGTGGGCACCGATGTAGCGTGTGTGGGTGTGAGTATGGCAACCAGCTGCCCGCCAGGCATATGTACACCGCTAATCTAACTATCTAGAATCATGATCTGGATTTTGGAGTAGTCCAATTCCGCCACTTGGCTAGCCAATGTCATTTCCCTTGGCTTTTAGCGAACGTGCTCGACCCGGCACTAGGAAAAGATATCCCAATAGCCGACTGCGGGAAGACTCGCATGTTGACCTCGTCCAATGGGCTCAAGATTGGCGTTTTGGGCCTCGGAGAGAGAGAATGGTATGCGCTCCTAGAATTTATCCTCCGATGCTTTTATTTATTTGCTTACTTGGGTTTCCCTTAGGCTCGGCACAATAAACTCTCTTCCCCCTGGTCTGATCTATAAATCCGCATCTGAAACAGCTCGAGTGCTTGCGAAACAGCTCCGAGATGAGGGAGCAGACCTCGTCATCGCTGTCACCCACCAACGCGAACCGAATGACTACAAACTGGCTAACAACCTGTCACCCGATCTTGTGGACATCATTCTCGGAGGCCATGATCACTATTACGCCCATGCCGTTGTTAATGGAATCCATGTTATGCGGTCAGGGACTGACTTCAAACAGTTGAGTTACATCGAGGCTTTCCGCAAACCCGATGGTTTGCCTGGCTGGGACTTCAACATCGTGCGGCGAGATGTTGTTCGCTCAATCCCCGAAGATCCTGATACAGTGGCATTGGTGGGCCGGCTTACTTCGAGTCTCAACGCCAAACTAGAAAAGCCAGTCGGATTTACAGTCACCCCGCTCGATGGCCGGTTTTCTACAGTGCGGCAGCGTGAATCTAATTTAGGTAATTTTGTCTGCGACCTGATGCGCTTCTATTATTCGGCCGATTGTGCCATGATGGCGGGCGGCACAATTCGCGGCGATCAAATCTACCCGCCAGGGATACTGAAGTTGAAAGACCTTCTGAACTGCTTCCCTTTCGAAGACCCCGTTGTGTTGGTGCGCGTTCGTGGGCATGCATTGCTGGCTGCGCTCGAGAATGGGGTTAGCCAGCTTCCCGCCCTCGAGGGCCGATTCTCGCAAGTATCCAATATCAATTACGGGTTTAAGCTAGACGCACCACCGGGGTCGCGCATTACATTCGCTCGTGTTGGCGGCGAGCCCATTGACTTGAAGCGTGAGTATCTTCTCGCCACACGCGGCTATATGGCCCGAGGAAAAGACGGGTTCTCGTCATTGCTTATCCAAGCCGAAGGAGGCGACGCGGAAGAGCTTGTGTCCGAAGAAAATGGTGTTCTCATCAGTACAATCCTGCGGCAATATTTCCTAAGTCTCAAGGTACTCGGGAAATGGAACCGGTGGAGCGCCAGTTTAGGGCGGCACTGGGGTACTGTACATCGCAATCTGCACTGCAAAGGCTGGCTGAAGCCGGCCTCTCCCCAAAAACGAGAAAAAGGCAGGCGAAAAGCCGCTCACGAAGCCTCCTCTCCGACGGACAGGCCGAGGAGCATACTACTATGGTCGATTCCCCAAAGAAGCTGAACAGGCCGCAGACGCTGTCGCCGAGGACGAGACGAATGGCAACGCCATGGATTCCGACTCGGATGAGGATCCAGACATCCTCACATCCTCGCGACCGACCACAAATTACGTCACCCAGCCAGCGAAATCATCTGCTGAAGAGGAGCATCGTCTACAAATCGCGCGGCGAGTTGTCCGAAAGTGGATGCGGCACGCAGGCCTGCAGTGCAGAACGTTGAATACTATGGACGGCGAAGGGGAATTCACTCCGGCCTGGACGTCGGGAATTTCCCCTCGGCTGGAAGGACGCATTGTGATAGAGTAGACATACTTCTCTCCCTTCTGTCTTTGTCTTTCAGGTTCTACCGGTGTTTGTTTTCGGGGATCTTCTTGTCCTCTTCAACTTGTTATGTTTGCTGTTTACCTACATTTGCATAATGGATATGCGTTGGATTGTCTGGCGTTTTTGACTAAACGCAATGCATCGATACCCTGAATATTCATGAACTATGTTATTCAATCGGCCTTCTTCTTGGGAGACTCTTTTTGCAACAGATAGTCTCCTCCTCTCCAAGCCTTGTAAACCCCGTAAAGACCACAAAATGGCCAGACATCCCAAAGGGCACGTTTGACCGATCCTTTCCACCCACTCTCGAATTCTCCCCGATGCGGACCAGGGAGATCAGATTCCCGCACTCGGACCTTTTCATACAGAGATGGAAGATGCTGTGCATGGTATTTAGCCCGTAGAGAATCATACGCGGGTTTATTATAGATGTTCCAGAACTCGTCTTCTGTATAGTAAGTATGTGCATATAGCCATTTCTTTCCTCCAAGACTGTGGACCTTGTGTTCAAGCTGTCGATTTTGAGCCACAAATCCAGCTGGATCAGTGGTAACGGCAGGTCCCCAGATTCCAAAATTGAGAAGTTGTGACCTGTGTGAATCCACATTGTCTCCCTTCCCAACATCTGCCGGCTGTCCTTCCAACCCACCGGCGCTTCCCGGTGGTAGCGGACAGAGCCAAAGCGGATATTGGCCAAAGTTTTCAGGGCGGTCCAGCCAGTCCAGGAACTCGGCAGCAGTGGATATCGGTACACCGACATCTTGGATGATATATCGACGTCCGAGCCCGCTGGCGTGGAGAGCGTGATACATCACCTTGGTGTGCATGAATCGGTTGAGAAGCCAGCGTGTAAGGAAAGTGAACGGAACACAGAAATAGCGGAATGCATAACGGGCAACCCAAAAGCCACCCCGATCATAGCGGAATAGGTAGTCAGTGAGAGGAATGTAGTCCACTGCATCTGGCGTGGGGGATGGACTCTCTCGGTCGGAGATCTTGGAGTCCAAGCTCTTAGATTGAGCAATTCGTTCGACGTGCAAATAAAACCAATCGTCTTGTCGACGAGTAAAGTATCGAGGATTCACATTGGAACGTTGTTCAACTTGTCTTCCAGCACAAACAACAATCTTATCCCGTGCATAAACAATTCCATCCAGATATTCAGTGCTTGGATCAGCGCTAGCCTCTTCAAAGACCCGCACCGCATCCTTCATATTGGAATTGACGTAGTATTTCAGCTCCACCAATGGCTGTGACTTTTTCAATCGAATTTCCAATAGGGTGACCACCCCCAATGTTCCAAAGGAAGATGCCGTACCCCAGAACAAGTCCGAGTGCTTATCCGCCGGTTCCGAGTCGGTCTTGACACGATCGTTGTATGCCTTCACCACCTGACCATCTGCCAGGACCATTTCAATCCAATTGACCGTGTGATCGAAGAATCCCTCGCGGAAAGAGCTACTCTCCCCCGATGTCCCTGAAAATCCGCCGCCAACCGAGATATTGGGGAATTCGACAACCACCAATGGGACTAAACCGTGGGCCTTTGTGGCAGCCACCAGAGCATCCATACAGACATTGGGTTCGACTATAGCTGTACATCGGTTGGTATCGATGTGCAGGACGCGGGTGAGGGGTTCTGTGCTGACGGTATTGGAGAGAGATCGGTTGGAAGGACGAGTACTGTTGGTGGCACCATGATATATACGAAATGGTTGCTGGCGACTGTGAAAGTCAGCTACCCGTGCTGAGATTTCTTGTACAGCTGTAGTATGATCCATTATGGATAAAAGATATACAAATATATGCAAAGACCAGATGCAAGATGCAAGGGCAAGGAGAATAGGTGAGAATGTGGGGAAAATCCAGGCTCCCGGAGTCTCCGCATTTACTGTGACCACTTGGAGATGTGACTGTAACACTACATTTGTGTGAAACCAAGTACAATATCGGTATCATTAACATAAAATAAAGAAGAAAACAGTAGAAAACCAAAGGCTATTGAATGCCAACTGGGCGTGCTCCAGCGAGATTGACTACTCTGCCACCTCCAGCTGCCGCAGGCGCCCGAGGCTGCACCCAACCAGGAACATTGGAATCTTGACTTTCACGTGTAGAGATGGTCTGCCAGACATTGGGGAATCCGGTGGGTAAGATGCCTTTGATCTTGGCACCAGGAACTGCGAATCGAGGCTCGCGGTGGAGAAGGTAACCGCCCATCAGGCCCTGTGTGATCAAGGATGCGAAAATCGATTCAATCTCTTGCATCATAGATGCATCTGCTTCTGTTCTGTCGTCAAAGTCGTACGCATATGGATTCAGTTCGTAATCGCCATAATCCTCTTCTGGGTCTCCATCGACCAATTGACCCGGTTGATTGGGCTGCAATCGCCCTTCTTCGGTATAAAATCCATCCGGGGCCAAATAATCCCCATATTTTCCTAGTATCTCCTGATCGGTGGAGGGACTGGCCCTTCCATCGGCCTCTTCTAGGCGAGTGTAGTCGAGATCTGTGGGTTCAGAAACAACTTGTGATCCGTAGAGGTTGGTAGTGGCCGGACTATTTCCAGATGATGCGTGCTGTGCTTGTAGCCATCGTATAGCCACGATGAGCTTTTTGAGATTGAGGACTGGTGGAGGTCCCTTCTGCGCCTGCGCCTGTGGACCTCCCCAGGAACCTCCATACATGAAAACCTTGCGTGCAAAAGATCGCCACACAAGGATCTCGCATCGATTTCGGAGGGTAAACAGAATTCCTTTACGTGCAAACCATTCGGCGGTCGGCGAGCCAAAGAAGAGATGTTGTCGGAAAGCCAGGTAATCTCCCCGGACAATCAATCGACACAGTGGCTGGAAGTGTGCTGCTAATCCTTGTGCTTCTGGTCGTTGGAGGAGTGCCTGGGATGGGAATCGGCCTAAGATAATGTTGCATGGAATGAGGTATGAGAGGATCAAGTGCCGTTGACTTATGGCCTGACGATGACATTGGTCATAGGCGGCCTGCAAAGCAATGCGGGCAGGGAAGAAGAGGTTATTGGCGAAAAGGTAGCGCCCGAGATAGTAAAGGTAGGTGACACGTTGTGAGGCTGGGAAGTAGGCCAAGGGGGGTGATTGGGCGCTGATGCTTGCAAACATCTGCTCGGCGTTGCGTAGTTTGCCGCACTGTGTTTCGTCAGCACCAAGCTCCGAGGGTAAGATAGTCAAAAAATAGGCCGTCGTACCTGGAACAGCAGTTTTAGGCAGAGATTCGCCATGAGATAGATACCGATGCGCTTGCCCTCGGGCTTACCGTGAGGGCCGGGAGTGCCGGTGCGGTCAGTGAGGCACTTGATGAAGGCTTCGCGCACCACGTTGGCCGATTTTTCCACCAAAGTCACTTTCTCGATGCTCTCGTCCTGGGCCGCCAGGCCTTCCATTCGTCGAATATGTGCGATCAGGTCCGGCCGACGATCGAGACCCATTGCCAATTTTGCCAGGACTTTGGACAAGTAGAGAACCGTAGGAAGAACGACCACACCCATTTGACTATCTCCGAGGGCGAGTACACATTGACTACAGTTGATGAAAAGATTTGAGTCAGCTTAAGCTCGAAGATATGGGAGCATCCTCTGGGGACAGAGCGCATTCAAAATCCTCCACGGGGTAGCAAAACTTACTTGAGCAGCGCCTTCAATTGGTTGTATGTTTCCAGTAAGTTGTCGGTGTTCATGTCGCGTAGGAAGATCAAGTAAAGCTTGACGAAGGTCGGAAAGGCCGTCCATGAGCCACCCTTGGATCGCGGCACGAGAGGCTCGCATCGTTGGAGAAGTTCGGCTTCGGCTTTGGCCCCCGGGGCATAGTTCTGTCGTAGTTCAGTGACCATGCGCTGGTAAATGTCTGAGAGCGGTGGCTCGAGCTGAAGAAAGTCCTGAACTTTGGCGCCATCGCGCTTCTGGACCAATTCCTGCAAACTGCCGAGGAATTGGTCGAGGACGGGTGTTTGGCCCATGTTGAAAGAGCGAACTGCTCGACAATCAACTGGAAGAGTCGCACCAGATAAATTAATTTGATTGAACGATCATTGTGTTATTTAAATAATTTTAACGGTTAAAGAAACCAAACCCTTGGGAGGGTTGCAGAGGCAAGAGACTCATCTGTTGACGGCATTGATGGCAGAATCCGCCACCGCCCTTTGTATACAACCATGCGATGAGGGGGTTGAGTCGATTTTCGATAATATTCAATTGCGCTAAACCATTGGGCGTTCCAATGGAGATAGACTGAATAGCAGACTGATAATAGCAGTTCTATTATAGTTTAAATAGGTTGGCGCCGGTTCCTACATGTAAACTATCTCTACCTATCTACGGAGTACTATTCTTGCATAAGCGAACTCTCTTCCTTGGTAAAACTAGTGGAAATATTATCTCAATCTCATCAATCGATGATTTCAAAGTCATCGAGAAATGAACAGAGAAAAAAGGGGCTTGGAATCACGTTCCACGCAGTGTCATACTACATATTAGCTATAGTTCGACGATCTATACAATATACTTTGTACTTACAAGGTGAAGGCTTTCAAAGTTGGTTGTATTATCTTTACACAATGATAGGTAGTATTATAATTAACTAAGTGTTTGAAAAATTAGGTTTCTTTTTGCATCTTAAAGGACGAATGTCCCAGAAAATGAGACTTCTTTGTCGTTTAATAAGTGTATCCCGCGCGACATGTACATAGCCCTGGAGAGTCCCAATTCTTTATAAATGCTTGTAGTTATATTATTCTAAGTTTCGTTCCTCTCTATTATTGGAATTATACATGTAGGCACCCTGCACAGTTCCCATACTGTAAATCACAGCATATCAAAGCTGGTTGATATTGGTGGAATAGGTAAAATACACCAATTCAGAGACTTACGTGGAGTTATGAAGAATATCGGGGCACATGCATAAACCAAGCAAATACAAACATTACTAGTGCAATGTTCTAGTATATTATA